AAATAACAATTTTTTGAATAATTAGAATTTTAGTTCACTATTGTTTTTCTACTAATACTGTATCATATTTCTATTTATATATTTTATTATTAATATTGAATTTACTTAAAACTTATAAAAAAAATAGTATCCAAGCGGGAGTTAAGGCGCAATAGGGCAATTGTTTATAAAATTGATATCAGTTCTTTGTAATCATTGTTAAAATTGTGTTCTACAATGTATTATGTAAATAATTGTTTTAACTTTATGATAAATAAGTTAGAAAGCTTCATGTTTAGTTTTATATTTTACTTTGTTCTATGTTCGGCTAAGTTCGCATTACATGTACATGAATATGTTTATTTAGTAGATTCCACACTGCACAGTGTAGCGTAAAAATAATATTGTAAAAAAGAACATTAGAAACCAATAAATTTCCTAGGTTTAGAAACTTACTAAATTTAGGTGTCATTGTGTTGAACATATTATAAGAACATTGTGCAATTTTTTTATTAGTGGACGTATTATCATTGAGTATATATTGGATCTCTTTGAAATAGACTAAATATAATATGTGCGCCTACCTATTGTAATTATTAGCATTTAGCTGCATACTCTGCGACTCAAGGTTCATAAAAATAACTACGATCGCCGTATTTCTTTATAAAAAAAAAGTAACCTTAATTTGATATATTGCAGCACAATACGACAGTGGCGTACTTACGGGAGGGGGGTATGGGTTCAAACCCCCCAGACCAAAAAAAAAAAATGTGAATAAGTAATATATTTTAGGTATTTATTGTATATTTGTTAAAATATTACTCTCTGAAGTAATTTAGAACTTGAAGTAAATAAATATAATAAATAATAATAATTTAATAATTATTTTTAACTATTAAGTGTTAAGTGTTTTGACTTTTGTTAACTATTAAATGCTCAAACGCACCTATTCTGATATTAAAAATACGAATTTACAATCATTTTATATACCTAGCTATTTTACTGTAAACTGTTTAAAAAGGTGTATAAATAGCTGATAACTCAATAATAACTATTGTGATTATTAATTTATATTAATTAATATTTAATATATTATCAGAGATGGGCAAAATAGTTACCAAAATGCATTTCAAATAGTGTTATTTTTTACAACCCCCCCCCCCCCCCAGAGCAAGATTGAATGTACGCCACTGCAATACGATTTAAAATTACTTAATTAAATTCCAAGCCGGGAAATTATAATTCATTCATGCTAATTATTACAAAGAAATTTGTAAAAAGATTTTAAAATAATAACTTTCCTGATTCAAATTTAAATTATTACATAAAGGAATAATAAACATATTATGTTTCCTGGGTGGCGTCTCTTTTGGCCCATATGTAACTAAACCTTAAGAGTAAAGCAAGTACACTTTTCGGTCAAAACTGATAACAAGTAACAACTTTCGTTAAACCGCTATAATATCTTTTATAATTAAGTCTTTTATAACTAAGTTTCAAATACAAAAAATTGTTTCCTTTCTGTAACCTTATAATGAATAAAACATTGAAAAGTTCATTATATTAAGTTTAAGAAAATATGGTTCCCAAACTGAATTATTGAACAAAATCCTCCATACCTTCGTTGATTATTTCAATACTAATTTTAATTTTTATGAACTGTGTTATATTTTACATAAATTGAGTTTGTCGTTGCATTGTGTAGGTTTTTCAACAATGAAATTATGTATACAGCGGTCGTTATTATGAAACATTGAAATCGCGAAAAATCAAAACAATTTTCTCGATTATTTTTTTTTGATTTTTCTTCTTTAATAACAAGGAAGCACCATACCAGAGTCACATACGTCCATGTTACATGCAACACAACGACGGTCGACGGTAATGTCCGTAGCACAAGGTTAGGCGGCATAACTCCACACATGCTGAGACCCTGGTACTAGTGGTGCACTAAATGAAGCGGTTAGTTAGGAACCGAGACAATCCAGACAACCCAGTCAATTTTCAACTATCTTTTTTGTAGATAGAAGACGTTTGTTTTTGTTTACTTTTCTAGCATTTTGTCAGAAAATAATTACTTTTGTTGATTTGAAAACTTTATAACATTCAAAAATATTTAAAAAAAATAATTACTACTAAATCACTATATTTGATTTAAGAGTTGTTATTTTTTGACACGAGTTTTGATCTACAACATTTGCATACCATATTGAGTATATTGAGTTTGCATATATCAGTCCAGTGGATACAAAATGATTGTTATAAAAAAAAAAATGTAAAATAAATTGTAAAACCCGCTTAACTCGTTGAAACTAGTATAATAGTATGTGTTTAAGAAATAAACATAATATAGGTTATTTTAACGTTTAATTAGTGTGATTTTATTACTCTCATATTATGCGCACAACTCATAAAATTATGCTTTTGTACAAAAAATTACATCTAATAAAGTAGTATCCACAGATTCACAGAAATAATAACTTAGGTATGCTAGAGGTAAAAATATTTATATTTTTTTAAAAATATATATAGATTTGTCGGATTAAGGCATACCTAATAAATGATACATTTTTAAACACATTAATGTAAAATCAATACCTTCTCCGGTTGCTTCTCTTTTCTCCACTGGGAAATATTCTTTAGACATATTATAATATACCGATTCACAAATTTCCAATGTAAGCCCATTTAATAATTAATATTAATTATGCAATCGTAACCGATTTATGTAATTAATTGCATGCATGTGATGATTTACAAATATTAAAGGAAAAATAAATGTCATTGCATATGCAAATATGAATACCACTAGTTGTAATGATAATATAAGTAGTGATGTTTGGTTTTTATTGTGTTCTTATGCAATGCGCTTTAGTTGATTTGTAAAATTGTACTATAAGTTTACGATTTATAAGTCTTATATTTCTATAGCGCTTTGTTGAAGTTGTACTAAAAGTGCAAAAACAAGAAAATGGTTATTTAATATAGGCCAGTCAATAAAGGAAAATTAGCGGAAAAAATTCCCAACCAAGTTTTATTGGTATATTATGTACTTATACTAAAAGTCCCCATCGATCGGACTGGAGCTTTTTTTATAAGCTTCGGAAAGTTAAAAATGTTGTACTTTTGTCAAAAACTTAAAAAATACTGCAAATATTAAAAAAAAATGTTTATGACATAATTTCCTACTAAAAAGCTCTCTTATACTTTATTTTAACTAATAGTTTTACAAAAAAATCAGTATGAAATTCGGCATATTTAAAAAAATTATTTTTTACGCCTTTTTTTCATAATAAACAATAATTTTGTTTATTATACAATATACATACATATTTTACATGCAAGCAATTGAGGTATTCTTAAAAATATAGCTATACCAATTACAGCTTTGTGTTAGGTACTATATTACACGTTTACAATGAACTTGATAAGCATACAATATCATTGTTAGTTTTTAGTTTTGAAAACTTTTAATTCCATTTTTTGCTGTTTCATCGTGCGAGAAAAAGGGATTATTATACACGGAAATAATTGTACTTAAATCTTTTGATTTTCTAATAATCGAATATATTTTTTTTCCTTTCTGAAATAAAGCAGATGTTGAATCACAGCCAGTTAGCACATGATAAAACAATATTTTATTTTTTATCTTTTCATTGTAAGTTTGTAAAAATTTAGAACTAAACATTTTTTTTTCTATTTTGTCAGAACTGGGTTTTTAGAAATAAATATTATTTCTCTCGGAGTTATAGCTACAAGAAGCACCAACAAGTCAATGTCTTTTCCAAATAAAATAACTTTAGGATGACATCTTGATACATTTATCGCATTGTTAACAATTATGTGTCAGCATCATCACCCGCAACTTTAACAATAAATCCATGTTGTATGAATTTTGTTGTAAGCATTTTTATAAATTTAATTTTATTATTATCATTTGATAAAAAGTTTTTTTTGTAACGCAAATGACCATATGGTCGTCAAATAAAATATCGGCACACTTTTTGTTTATTTTTCGACGAGTCGTTCTGAGTTTTTGATGCTTTTTGCTCTTTACTGATATCCATCAAATACAATGATTTTATCGGAACTAAAATGTTTTTCTACATAATAAATGTATGAATCACAAATCGATTGAAATGTTTGGAGTAGTTGCCATACAACTCTGTAAAGGAGAAACCCTCCGTCTAGTACATAATATCTTCCATTTGTAATATTATTGTGTAGGTAATGCTAACAATACAAACTAAAAACTTATATATTCCATCATATGTAATATTATCTCGCTACAACTTACGTTTAAACGTTCTTAACTGAGAAAATAAAATAATATATTAATAAAATGGTAGTATACTAATGATTACAAACTAAAAGACAAAATTAAAAAATAATATGTGATATGTAGCTCACGTTACATGTGTAATATTATGTACGATATATAAAATTGTTAGTGTAAAAAATCATTTTTTTAAATATGCCGAAGTTCATTAGGCATTTTTCAACTTGGGAATTTATAACAAATAACTTATTACTTATATTTTATGTATATATTAAAACATTTAGATCTGTGAATAAATTCTTGTCTGTTTGATTGATATGGGCTAAAATGTGTATACTGAGCCATTGGTATAAGTTATAACGTATTAGTCAACACAAGAAAGTATGTATGATACAGATTATTATCAAAATATTTCTATTATTTTTAATTATTTGTTTCATATTTATTTTGGGGACTAACATTATTTATTTATAAATTGTTGGCTGAATTACTTTTGTATAATTCATTATATTATTATGAGATATTATGCCATTTAGACTTTATGTCCTCGGATTTTTTTACCGTTTACCGGCTATTTGTTAAAGTAGGTAAATTCTGAAGTCCCTTATTTACTCTACATATGAATGTATTACAATTTAAGAAGGATCTGATACTATTATTATTGATTGTAAATAATAAATGTTTACGTGTTGTATGTACTTATTACGAATATAGTAACCAGAATATTATGTTTTTCTTTTAGATGGTTTTTAGATTAAATTTGATGCTCCACGTCCAATGCGGTCATATGATGTGTCCACATGAACGAAGAGAACGTGCGGCAACAGATTATTTCAGATGCCACCTACCTAGGTGCTGCCACAGTGTTAAGCATCATCGGAGTGGTCGGTTTTTTGTTCAATGCCTGTGTCATATTTATTATGATTAGAGACCCACAGGTGATTAAAAAACAAATTTAATTAATATATTATATTTTATTCGAGAAGTTTTGTAGTGCAATATTATTTAATTAACTCAACAAACAATTAAGTGCCTAATAATAATTAAAACATAAAATAATATTTAATTATTCGATGCCTATGTATTTTATCAAAAGCTTATACACGTTTGTTAATTAGTTGTAGACTTGTTTAGGTTTATTCGAAATGTCAAACTATAGAGTTTTGTCTATAGTGGGATTACTTGTAGGGTCAAATACATTATTGCCTATCTATCATTAATTTAAAATAGTAATAATATGATGTACTAACTTACAATTAGATTAGAAGTTAGTTAATTCCTTTATGTGCATTAAACTGATTAAACATTAACATAGCATCGATCAATATTAAGTTAAAACTTTCTCACTGCTTACACACTCTGTAAGCGGCAATAACTAGTTAATAATAAATGCATAAATCGTGTATGTATGTTTTAGTCAAATAAATAAACTTAAAATATTGTCTAAAGAAATTATAATATAATAGTTGAACATTACCATTACAATATTAAATATTACAGCTGTGGACCCCTCAAAATGTGATCATATTCAACTTAGCATCATCGGATTTTGCAGTGTCTATACTTGGAAATCCAGTAACTTTGGCTGCAGCCATCACTAAAGGGTGGATTTTCGGCCAAACACTATGTATTCTATATGGATTTTTTAACGCATTATTGGGTCAGTAATTATAAATGTTACAATTAGGTATATATCAAATAAAAAGTGCGCGTTAACGTTTTCTTCAAATTGATTGAGACGAGACAACAGTGATTTACGAAAACTAACTTCCGACGGACTAAAATCATTGTTTTTTTTGCTCAGCCAATGTAAATGATCTTACGGAAATAAAATATATATTAATATTACTAATTGAATGTTAATTAATAGTTTTAATTGGTATTATACTAGATTTTATTTTAGAGCAATAAGATACATAACAGAACAATATAAACTTAGAAAATTTAAACTGATAAATCCTGTACTTAATCTGTTACGGTTTTTCATGGGATTTAGTGTAGTAGTGTACACCTTTAAACCTAATACCTATATCATTAAAATTCACGGTTAGGCATTAAGGGGTAAATAGGGTAAATTTAAGTTAGTTTAACCTTTTAACTAGTTTTAAATAAATTATAATGACTTTAATAGTGAAATGTCCTCTTTAGTTTAAAATTAATTTAATAATTATTAAATGTTAAAAACTATTAATTTTCAATGTTACATTCAAACTCTTTCACTAAACTTAGATAAAAGAAAAGATTTTATTCTCTTTGTTAACAAGATTTATTTTATTCAAATTGTTTTAATAGTTCTGACTAAGGCAAAGTTGACTTACTAACATCCTATCTTTCAAATGTTTTAAAACCACAACCCGTGGCTCTGCTTGTCCAACATATTGATATTATAAATAACTTTATCAATTCCCCCTCCCTATATTATTTTCCGACAAACCTACCTCTCCTAGTGAAGTCACTTACTTATAACCTAAATATTGGTCATATCTTGACATATTATAGATTTTCATAGTTCACCAATGTTATTGAGGGAAAAATAATGTATTCTCTGAAAATCTCTGAGTTTTCAAATGCACATTCCAAATTCAAAACGTTGATTTCAATCATATCTTTAAACTTCGTAGTTCGTTAGTATTGTGTTTTCGACTTCTCGGTATATACTGATGAACACTTCAGAAGAATCGCATAATAGGAATTAGGAAAACAGAGCGTAGCTTCTATAGAATATATTAGGTACCATCGTAATCCAACGTAATGTTTAAATAGATAATATGAGCTCAATTTATTCATTAATAAATTGAGTATAATAAAAGTATAGTTTACTACTTCTGTAATACAGTTTTTTCATCAGCGGAAAAGCTAATAATTATAATAATCAAATTTCAAACGGATGAACAAATCCCTGGAGCAGAGCAGAGAAGCCAGTTATGTTCGGAACCATTAGTATAATTAAGACCTTCGTTGAACTGATTTTCTCAACAATCGCCGTTGTAGATTAAATCGAAATCATTCATATCAAGATGAGTTTTGAAATTTCACGAACAAAAAATATATAAAAAAAAATATATATTAGCACAAATAGTTAACAAAACCCGCTATGGCATCATTTTTCTTTAAAAAAAATCATGTGCTTAAGTTTATGATGTTACATTATGTTAAGACAGTTAGATTACTATTGCCGCGCCGAAGATTTTTGTTAAAAAATGCTTTCTGATTTTTTTTCTTCTAAACGATTGATACTTATTATAGGTATAGCATCGATAACAACACTCTCGGTATTGGCGTACGACAGGTACTTGATGATACGGTATCCATTCAGCTCCCGGAGACTGACAAGAGAGACAGCGCTGTACGCTATTGCCGGCATCTGGATCTACGCTTTCATAGTGACTGGACCGCCATTGTTCGGATGGAACCGCTATGTGAAAGAATCGGCTGACATCAGGTATAAAGACCAAAGCGAATTCCAAATAAAATATCGATGACATAAATAAACTACTGAAAATCACTACTATACTGTTAACGCGTTTACAGAATACGAAAATAACGCTCGATCGAATATTATCAGATAATTAATCTTTCTAACCGGACGCGTCTTCCGTAGAATACCCAGTTGAAAAATAATGATAATAATGTGTTATTAATATATTTATATAAAACTTTCAAAAATCGTATTGTTTTGATGAAACAGTTAAAACATCAATAAATAAAAATTGTAACGAACTAAGATAATATAGTGGTTAACATGGCAAATTATAACTAAATTGAACGATGAGAACGAGTGCCGCCAAGTCCCCAAATAATGGTTTGATTAAAACTAAATTAATTTATGCTAGCTTAATGAAGATCATTGATTTTTAGTACAAATTTAATTGGATATAAATTTAATGGAAGCCAAATGAAATGTAAAAAATAAAATTAGCCTATATTTCTATTTTAACAGAAAATAATAAGTCCCAAAAATTACAAAATAGGTTTTTATAACAATTTGTATTATTAATTCAGAGAAAAAATTGAGTATTTTCATCTAGTAGTTCTTAATTAGCTGAAAATACTGTATAGGATTTATCAAGACAACTTTTTTCTGGAATTTATCCCTGAGGGAAGCTCTACTAGAAATAATGCAGGGCGCATAACATACAGTTTTACATAAAAAAAATCTACAGACAGTAAGTGACTGTTTTTGTTCCTAAGAATATAACGTGTTGTGTAAATAACTTTAATAATTTAACGAATATAAACATACTTATTACTTGCTGTTTTGGCTGAAGCGACTGGAGCAGGCTTGTGCCATGTGTGCAAGATTTCTTCGAGATAAGGGGGGATTAGTACTAGGTAGATGTACTTAGATTAGGTTGTATCTGTGTAGAAAACACCGATACAACAACCAAAAAAAATATTATGTCCGCTTTTACTATTATGAAAGATACCTAGTGCTATTTCTCACTGTTACACCGCTGTTCTAGTCAGAACTATTTTTTTTTTTTAATACTATCAAGGAGAACAAAAATTAGGCTATACAAAGCCCTGGTCAGGCTTATTGTAGTATATGCATGCGGGGCCATACCAAAGAAGGCAGATGCGAGAAGAAACTAATGACATTTGAGAGGAAAATATTAAGGAGGATTTTCGGCCCTAAAAAGAATACTGAAAACAAAGAATACGAACGAAGGACGAATGCAGATATTAAGGAAGGGATTTGTTTAACGAAACCGATAGGGTAGATGTTCTAAAAAGTCGACGAAGACTTAGCTGGGCATGATATGTGTGGAAAGCGGAGGGTAGAATAGTAAACAAGGTCACAATGAGTAAGCCAGATCGAACAAGGCCAAGACAGCGGTGGAGCGACTGAGTCAGAGAAGATCTAGGAAGCTCTAGGAGAAGCTCTTAGGAATCAGAGATGGAGAAAGATTAGCGTTGGATAGAGGCATAGTGGAAGCGGCGATGGGTCTAAACGGCCTCAAATAAATCATAGGAAAAACTGGTACTATTAATTTGTATCATTATATTAGTGTTTTATGTTTTTTAGCTGTTCGGTTGACTGGGAAAGCGGAGAACATACTTATTATGTAATCTACATATTTTTGTTCGGATTATTCATACCGGTCATAGTCATTGTCTATTCATACATAGGCCTCGTGGTCACTGTAAGAAAGGTAAGCGTTAAAATGAATAAAACAATTATATTTTAATATATAGTGTATAAAAGAAGTTAACCTGCGGGTAACGGGCTACGAATGTTCCTCGTCAAAATATAAATGCAAAACTTTGAAAATAATATTATATTATGTTGTATAGCGCATTATTATTTGCACAATATTATTAAACAACGTTTTACTGTTTACAAAATTATGATAAGCTACCAATTAAACAAGTATTTGAATATTACAGCTTTAGAACTGAAAAGTTTTAAAAATCTATTAAACGTTGTAATTAAATATTTTACTGTTGCCTTTTCATTAAGTAATTCATTTAACGTTATATTATATTTAGCTTAATGTTAGTAAAGTTTATCATCATTCGCGGAGAATAATTACAACCGAATTCATATATCAATTAATTAAAGGGACTACACTTAAACTTTAGCAAAGTGGTTAGTGGACTTTGCATAAAATCGATTATTATTAACATGCTAGTTAATGAATATTATATATCTTTTAACGTTTAATTGACAAATTTATATATATATATATATATATTGTATTTGCCTTTGACTCCAACAGAGAGCTTCTGAGAAAATCCTCGGTCAAGCGACCAAAGCGGAGTTCAGGGTAGCTGTCATGGTAGCCGTTATGATTTTGGCGTTTTTAACTGCTTGGTTGCCGTACGCCGTACTAGCTCTTTTGATTGCCTTCACCGGCATTCGAATAAGCCCTACAGCTAGCATGATACCAGCTTTGTGCGCCAAATCGAGTATATGTTACAATCCAATCATTTATATTGGCCTCAATACACAGGTGGGTTTTTGATATTTCCTATTTCATAATATAAATTTAAAAGAAATATCGGCAAGTGGCAACTCTCAACAAGACAGAAGCCTTTTTAATGTAAACTACATAATGTAGTATAAGTCTATGTGCGCCGTGAGTGCATGTGAGAAATACAAAATAATAAAAACCAGTCTGCGGTTAACGCTGAAGATGACACAGTTCGAAAATAATGTATCAAATGTTATAAACATACTCAGAAAGCCTTTAGGAAACGTCCGCGACACGTTGTTAAGAGGTCGTCGCACCGGTGATTTTCAGTGGTAAAAACATGTTTAAGCAGACTGAAAATAACTCGTTTAATTTTGGTTTTGGAGTAAAAGCACCCATTATAAAATTTAAAGAAAACAATATTCCAAAGGGCAAGACGGTGCGTTTTAAAAAAAAAAAATCATTTTTTGTAAAGTTACAGTCATTTAAAAATGTTAAAATAGTCGTTATTTCTGAACTAAGTATTGAGCGTTATACTCGGAATAATGAAAAAAACGCACCGTCTTGCCCTCCGGAATGTTGTTCTCTTTTAATTTTATAATGGGTGCTTTTACTCTAAAACCAAAACTAAGCGAGTTATTTTCAGTCTGCTTAAACATATACAGATGAAAAAACATTTTTAAATCACTTTCAAGGATGCCGTGATAGTACAAAAAATAAATGAACTACCAAAATAAAGTCCTAGTTATTGTGAACTAATAATTACACATCGAAGTTTTACCTTTAAATTAAGATTTTGTAAAAAGTTGCCTATACTTTACTCCTTAAAAACGGGCGGTGCGACGCCCTCTTAATACCAAAATAATAACCATTGCCAATATTTCCGTCTGTATTTGACAGCACACGCTATAACTACTAAATCGAATTACAGTAATAATAATCGTGTTGTAACATAATGGTTTCTGTCACAGTTCCGTTCGGCGTGGAAGCGGTTCCTGAAAATCCCTGCGCATCCGGACGGGTCTATGGAATGCGATACGGTCACTGGCAATTCCAAACTGGTTGCCGGTCAACAAGACCTGATGATATCATCGACGAACGTTCTCCGCGACTGCGACACATCGCCTGCATCCACTGTATGCACTTTGGGAGACCTTAACCGCAATCCTGAGCATAGCGAATGCAACCTGGAGATGTTGGCCAACATAGGCGGTGTTCACGAGGGGCTCGACAACAGCTGGCACGTGTCAGACGTGGGAGACGTTCCGCTGTAATTCCACAACAGTGCACTGCAGAGAAAACACATTATACATATTTTAATAAACGATAATCACTTTTAGCCCAAAACACATAGGCGTGTGCCTGTGACGCCTACCCCGTGAGCTGGGGGTGTCTGCTTTTAGGGTGGTTTACCTACGTTGTGCTCGTCTTTTACGGGTGTTTTTCTCGTTAATTAGAAATTAAGCGATAGATAATTTTATTAAATTATTCTTGTTCAAAAATCCGTTTCCTGTGCACGCCAATATAGGCTAGTGAAAATGTGTTAAACCCCCTCCTCCTCTCAATTACACATATATATTGTTCAACAACACGACAAACAAGAGAACGGCTTTCGGTAAAATCAAATTTTATTAGTTGAATAAAAAATATAATATAGAATATATCATGCAAATTGTAATTAGCATTGTGTGTTATCACGGTGTTTCAAAAATTCCTAAAGGACATTCCAGATTTGTGTTTGATTGTTGAATAGGTACGACGACATAATTTTATTTTACATTATACCCGGATATCCGTTATGATGTTTCCCGAATTCGCTAAATAACTATTACCTATAAATTTTAAGCTAACCGCTCGCTCTTGTTGGAACTTAGGTAATTTCGGTTTTTTTTAATAACAATAATATTAGGTTCTACATTAGTTCTAGAAAATAGTGTTAGAGTTGAGATTCATATTACTGATATTTAAAATTTATAAATACTATAATTGTTTAGGTATGTTATATTTTTACTTTAAATTATAATATATACTATTGCTATGAAGTTATTATTGTAGAAAAAAAATACTCGAACTATGTACATGGATATTTATTTTGTTTTTTCAATACAGGTATCCGGTTTCTTTAGTGGTTACTTTAAGTAATAAAATAAAGTTCCAGTTATAGTTTTAAACATTAAATAAAAAACAGTATTTGGAGGTTTTTTTTTATTTTGGCTGTAACCATTGAGTTGATAACATTTAATCATTTTCACATTAACATTTAAACATGTCTATACCAATTAAACATTAGCTCTATTGATGAACTGCAATACATTTTAATGTAACTAATACATTTTAACTTAACATAAAATACTATAGTTTAATTGTTAATTTATTAGAATATTATTTTTAGTGTAAACTTATTTTACTTATTAACTACATTTGTCTTGAAGTAAAAGAAATATAAAGAACTTATGTAACGATATTCTGATATTAACGATTTATGTTTTTAATGTATCTACCTTATTATTACAATACTCTACTTACATAGTACAATACATGTATTTATATTTTTAGTGTATTACAATTTACATTATAATTAATACCTATATGTAGTTTTCAATACTCAAAAGTCAAAACGAATAGGACAGGGGCAGGCGAGAGTGTAGAGCTAGCAACAAATTTGACGTTACAATAATCAACCATTTTAACAACTTATTTAATCAGGAGTGTTACTATTTTATTTTGGTACTTGGTAGGTATTTAAAATACTTTACCAACCTTTATTTAACTTTTCATATGGGTCATAATATGTTTATTGGCGATGAATAAAGAAATACAAGTTGTGATAAAAGGCGTTAAAAAAAAAAAAAAATGACCGCAGTTGGAAAAACATTACATAGATACCTATGTAATAAAATTTTGCTTTTTATAAAACGTGGCAGCCATCAATAACGGCAAATTGGTTGATTTCTTAGATAATTATTGTTTGGATATTGTTTTATATTAAAATTGTAATTTAGTTATTAAAAACTAGTATACATTATTAAGTGATTACATAAGTGTTATTACTTTATAAACTAGAATGGTTCCTTTTTTTAGTTTTTTTTTAAATTTTGTGACCTGAATAACACTGTCATAACAATAATTGTATGATTGTGCCATGTTCTAACTAAATGGCTAATGGAACGTGTTGATCCTAGTACATATTGTTTTTGGTTTATTTTGAATCAGTATAAAACTTTGAAAAATATTAACTAGTAGATGGCTAAATTTGCCCTTAATGTTTTGGTTTAGACCGGGAAGACATAAGTCTTTTAACTTTGTTACTTATACTAACTTGTAACTGTATTATTTAACAGTGTAAACACGCAATATGTACTTCACTACAATGGTATTGTAATGTTAATGATAATAAAACAAAACTTTTGGTATTCGGTTGTTCATTGTTAAATTGCCTTATAGTAATACTGTTTAAATTAAAAAAAAATTGAACATTTTCTATAAGAGTAAAAGCAAGTTGAAATAATAAAAGAAACTTATTATTAACTCATAATATAATAAACATATAATGAAATATTGAGGTAAATTTTAACAAATCAACTAAAATTGGTTAAAAGCAATAACACAAATTAAAATCGAATTTGGTGACTAGCTTTAGATTTCTAAGACTGTAGCAGTTGTTTTGATTTTCGAAATGTATTTATCGACAATAGGCTGCACATCTTCCTTCAAAAAGTATGTAACCTGTTGAAAAATAACGATTGTTACACATGAACATAATTATTTGTATTAGTGGCAGTATTTACTTGATTTGGAGCACATCCAATAAAAGTAGACGGATCTAACAGTTGAGGTAGTTGATCAAGTATTGGTGCAAAATATGGATCTTTTACAACTCTATCTAATAGATCATTATCTTGACCATCGATGCGAACCGTACTAGCAGCTTGTAATGACAAAACTCTTATTTTTTCATGACAAATCTAAAAAAAAATATTTATTACAATTATTGTTACAAAAATAATACAATACATTGTTTAAAAACATTTCAAATTGAACAAAATATAATTTAAAAAAAAATATTAAGAAATCAACATTTTATAGTCATGTTATACATCACACTTTAAGCATAAAATAATATTTTTAATTTGCTTAATGAATATAATACAAAATCAAACTAGATCTATTTGTAAAAGAAGAACTTTGTTATAGTTTTCTAATATTGTTTTAAGTATTATACATCAGTGTTGTAACACAGTATTCAAAATTAACAGTCATTAATGTCGAGACTGTAAAATGTGATAAAATGTTTAGTAAATAGACGAATTTTGAGCCAACTAAAGTTTATTGAAACCTAGTGTAAAACATAAAAACAATAGCTATCACAAATAAATTGTTGAACTTCATTAAATATTCTGCATTAAACCTTGGCATTTTTTGTTAAAATAACAAAAGACTATTTGAAAATAATTTTTTTCGAGTACATAAAAATATATGCAGATGGATAAGATTCATTAACCATAGTTTTTTTTAAATAAAAAAATATACTTAGTAATTATAGTTAAACAAAAAAAAAGCTGTAATACTCTATGATCAAATGTTTACATTTAAGGAGCCTTTAAATTGTAATCCGACAATAGTTTTAAAAATAAAGAATATTTTTATTTGCATCGATCAAAGTATATTTAAAATTTTTTTTTAATATTATGGTAAAAATGATTAAACAACTTATAAAATTGCAATTTAAGAAATAGAAATCATTAACTTAACTAAGAATAAATTTTAAACTGTGCCTTGATCAATGCGTTGTAAATAATTTTAAGGATTCAAATGTATTTTTTAAAATTTTAAATCTGACTTTTCTTAGGAACGTACTGTTAGAAGTAGAAACATATGGTTTTATACAAAAATAGAGTCAGTAAATTAAAATACATACTTTTTTGCTGAGTTACGACAGAAGTTTAAAAAATTTAGGAATTAATTTTAAGTTTTACTGAAAATTTGACTATAGAATGCTCCTTAATAAATGAGGTCTTCTAAGGATAAATGTTCAATACATTTCCAAATTACAACAATAGTTAATGTTTTAATTTTCAAGCAAAACATAATAATTTATATTACTTGTCTATCCCCACCAGATTTAACCATGGCGATAATGATATTTTCGGTGGCCATGAAAGGTAAAACTTTGTCTATGTTTCTCGATATAACTTTTGGAAACACAGTTAAGCCTTCAAGAATATTTTGTAATGTTAACATAATACTGTCAGCAGCTAGAAATGCTTCTGACAAACACAAACGCCTAAAAATAAACAAATTATTTCAATACAACATAATAAATAGTGAATAAATACAAATCATAAATACCTGTTTGCGCTATCGTCCAATGTACGTTCTAACCATTGGACAGATGCAGTATTTAGCGGATTATTGACTAAATTCATTAAGTAACGTGCAATAGAACATACTCTTTCGCTTCTCATAGGATTTTGTTTATAGGCCATAGCGCTAGAACCAATTTGCGTTGTTTCAAATGGTTCGCCTATTTCATTCATGCCAGCTAATAATCTCAAATCCGTGCACATCTGTCAAACAATAATTTTAAATTATATTTAAAAATCAAACAAATAAATACCACAGACACATAATCAAGTATCGTTCTTAATCAAAATACATCTGATGTTAATAATACTTGACATAAGTTTAGCATACCTTATGAGTAGCAGATCCAAGAACACTTAGAGAGGACACAATTTCTGCATCAACAATTCGAGGGTAAGTCTGTCCTGTAACGGGGTACGATGACTGGAACCCTGCAAGTTGTGTCACTTTCTCGTCCAATTTTCTTACTTTTTCATAGTCACCTATCCAACAATATACAGGTACATTAACACATAAAGAAAAACGAAGCTAAATTTACCATTGAATAGTTGCAAGAAGGACGCCTGAGTTCCGGTAGTTCCTTTGATACCGCGAAACTTAAGATCGCATCTGACACGACTCAGCGTTTTTTCGCACAACAACAAGTCTTGCAGCCAAAGACATGCCCGCTTACCAACGGTCGTCAGCTGAGCTGGTCTACACAAGAGAATTGATTAATCATACATTATAATAATAAAAATTTAATGATAATAAACAGTTGGGATTGTACTAAATACACTTACTGGAAATGTGTAAAACCTAATGTGGCCAACGATTTGTGGTTATCGGCGAACTCGGCCAAAGTCTTTATGCACCCAGCCAGCTTTGGCAATAGAATGTCAAAAGCGTCTCTGATTACCACCAGGTCCTGAAAATTGAGTTTAATATAAGTTAATACATATTTCATGCAGCTAATTGGTTTAAAACAACTAATCCCATATTATAAAAGCACACGAGTTTTTTGGTAAGTGTTACTGTAGTTTTTTAAAATAAAAACTGTAAACATATACGTTTTTCAGATATGGTAAACTGTAAAGCATACAATATATATAATAAGTTATCACTTACTTATTTTTAATAGTACAAGAAAAAAGAAGAAAATTCACTTTTGATCAATTGTTTACAATTGTTTTAAATTAGTGTATTAACTTTGTAAGTTAACTAGAATAAATAATTTATTAATCTGAACGCACGGCAGAGCGCCAGGCCAAGTTCCAGCAATGTCAGTGTATCTTTACATGAACCAATTCACCCAGGTTTTCTAACCCACATATCTCTGTTTCCTCTTAAGATAAGCTTTTAAAACTTAAAACATAGATTAAGCTCAAGTAGCTTAGGATACTGTGAAAAAATGAGCCCTTAATAATAAGCCTTTTCATAAGGGGAGAATTTTTAATTTTTAATTTTTTTACTGACTGACTGACTCACTCACTCGTCATCAAAATTATAAAACGCTTCCCGTATAGGTGAAATGTGAAATTTGGCACAAAGGTAATTCTTATAGTGTAACAAAAGAGAAAAATCTGAAAGTTGCAATTTTCTAAAATTTAATGCCGCTTGAGGGAGTGTTCCTTGGCTTTAATGGTTCACTTCACCCAGGAGGGCTCCCCAACGACCGCGGACCGACTAGTAGCGCTAGTCGTTATTTACGGGCTGGGGAGGTATGTCTCAAGGAGTGATTCTGTCGAAGGCCATTTAACATTTGGCCTCAATGACATACTTTAGTAGCTTTTTACGACATGCGTGTAGACCTTGGAAGTATTCTTTCTCCCCTATCCACAGGGATATACAACAAAAACCTAACAGTGAAAAAGGGCCAAGTTCCAAACGCCCTACCAAAAATGTCAGCCTATCAAAGTGATATCTACATTGTGGCCAAGTCTGCTATTTATTTAGTTCATAACCCCACTTCACTCCTACTTTCATGAGCAACACTGCTCTTTTATTCGCATTGCTTAACACTTGGCCAGTTTCTGAATGAAACTGTATACTATATCTACAGAACATGGTGGTAAGTATGCTTACGGCGTTGTCTCCTATATCACAAGAAGTTGCTCCCAAATGAATAATAGGCGCGGCGGTCGGACAGCAGGTTGCGTAAGTATGCACGTGGGCCATGATGTCATGTCGGGTGAGCTTTTCTTCTTTGGCGGCCGCTTCAAAGTCCACATTTTCCACGTTTTCCTGTAGTTCCTTCAGCTGTTCGTCGGTTATGTCCAAACCAAGTTCCTAGAAATATTTCAAATCGTTAAAAAATCAGTCGTTGAAATCTCTTTTGTGTAAAAAATAATAAAGTAATCAAAACACTTTTGGAGGCGCGGCGTTCGCTGTTGTTGCCACGATATTCTAGTTTTAAAAGTAATATTCCAAGCACAATACGATAAAACCATATTATAACCACGATTTAGTATACAAGTCTATGGTGACACGATTTGTTGTGTAAACACCGATGACTCCGGCGGAATCTCTAATCTTATCAGGTGGCAGGAGTCAAGTACCACCGCGGCCAACGCCTTGCGCATAACACAGTAGAATGTAGACAAATAATATTATGTGTCAGCAGAAAGAATGCCGTACAATGACGAGATATGCAATGCCAACAGATAAGACGGCCAGTATGTCGTATGAAGAGCTTTGTCAGGTTTAATCAACGACGTCAGTCAGCGGGCCTAGACCTGTTGTTGTTTTGTACCGCAGCCGCCTAAGGATCGCACAAGTAGGATGGTGAACATAGCCAGCGTGGGTACGGTTGTCATCAAAGTGGTGAAGCTGGTAAGACTATAGCCGGGATTTTATTACAATTTTTTTTAGACAAATTTTAATAGTACCTATCTAAATAACGGTCGTACTTTATTATTTTTTTTTACAGGTGTTAAACATAATTATACTAGTGCTGTACAGAACGGGATATAGGGGACAGTTTTTGGGAGTAGGCGGCACGTGGAATCTAAACGAGGAGAAAAATCCGGATGCGGAAATCGTGGCTTCCGGGGTGTTCATAGGATTCTTTATATACACCACGGTCATACTGATATCCTATGGGTTCGGCTCAAACCATCAGAAGAAAACATTGGTGGTAAGTTTGCGATAATTTGTAAGCAAAATCTTTGCTTAAACATAAGGGGTACATTATTCACGAGTATTAAACGTCCATTATTATAACTGGGCCTTTTTTTACTTAGCATAAAAGGAGCCACGGTATAAGTGTAGGATTGTACATGTAATATAACTACTGGGAATTTTCGCAGGACATCATCATGAACTTTGTGGGCATGTTCTTGTTTATCGCAGTCGGAGGGATAGCTCTTCACTATTGGATAGGCTACCAGAACGAGAACAAGTACATCAGTGTGACATCGGAAAGGGCAATAGGCATAACGGTGGGAGTATTGTGCGTGTTGTCTGGAGCCGTTTACCTAATCGATACGGTTCTGTCGTTTGTACACTTTGCACGCGAAATAGAATTCGAATAACTCGCCAATTCCTTTCCACTCCAATCTAATTCATCAGAGGATATTTTTTTTATATTTTTTTTACACAAAACACCCTTTGAGCACACCGGAGGAACCAAACAAAACGCTGGGAATATTTGTTTTTATTTGGTATATCAGTAGACTAAGCGTTTAAATATTACATAATATTATATATTAATATGTTTATTCGCCTCTCTCATCATCGATTCCATCCATGTAATCTTTTTTTATTATTTGTACATAAAACTAATTAGTCGATAAGATAAAAGTTTTAAGTGTAGCATATAAATGGATACCTATAAACGTAATTGTGTACAATAATTTGGTTTCGATATTTATTTTACTTAAATCGTTTATTTACTGAAACGTTAAGGCTAATGCAATATTAAAATGTATTTTAACTCTTATTGTCTAAATAAAATCAATATAGATATACGATTAGATATTAAATAGTGCAATATAATTCAACACGTCAGCTGTCCATAGATATTAAGTTTTAATATTAGATATAATACAATGTAATAGAAATTAGAATTATATACATATGGTATAATCCACAATAAACAAACATTTTATATAGAATGTATAGGTTGTTATTTAAAAACTGTTGACTTTTTTAATGGTAAAACTACTTATTTTTATTATTTACACTTAAAGGATTAGGTAACAGATAACACGCACCAATGTGAAATACAGAAAATTCGATTAGTCATCTGTGTTATTAGCTATGAATGACGTGCATGATAATAAGCAAACGGTGCTGAAAATAACTTAGTAGTGGTAGCAAATAATAGAAGTTAATTTTTAACAGATTTCAATTATAGTTAAATAAGGTCGAGGTTATCGTAATTTGCTAACAATATAAAAGCTGAAAACATAAGCAAGGTTCAGATCAAGTTCCGGTCATTCAAATTTTCTTAAAATTATAATTATTGATATCAGCATAATAAATTGTTTTTTAAATGACTAGTTTTGTTTGCACTGAATAAAAAAAGTTGCAAATAGAATGTCTTTACAGAACTCATTAAAAAAGCGATACAAATAATAAACCTATTAATTGTTATAAACATAATTGTAATATTATGTAATGTTCGTCAAGTCCATTAAACATTATATTTTAACTGTACGACTGAACAACTAATAGTAAAAATTGAGTTTATTTAATTTAAATAAACTCTGAGCTGTGATAAAATAATTCAGAAAATTGCAAGTTCAAATAATCTTAATGAAATACAGGTAAATTAATATAAAAATGAAGTATAAACTTTTTTATTTTACGCATTTCATACAGAAAAATTATCTTACTATGATAAGTAAAAATAAATTTGTATTTTATGTGTATCTTGCTAATTCTCGAGCTATAAAATTGGCCGAGTTAAGAAGAGTCTGCTGTCTGGAATATATTTTTAATGCCAGGACTGGTTATTACATAATATGTAATATTATGTTTGACAAAAATTATTCTATGCTCACTACCTACTTTTAAGTGTCTTTTAGTCCCGTGATTACACAGTATATTATAAAATTAGGATTCAAATATTGCGCCGAGTGCAAATGGTTTTATAATATTTAAAATTTTAATCTAGAAATTTTCCAGTTTATTAGACTTACAACATATAATATTATTGAAGACTAGTCTTATTAACAACTAGACTTTCAAGCACAATACGCACAAGTTTAACGCATTATAAATCATAACACAGGGTGATTGTTTTATCATGGGCCACTCAATATTTCACTGGGTTTAATTAATAATTTAATTGTTTTTCTTCAAAGAGATTTTATATGATGTGATCTTAATTTCCCACAAACTTTTTTGTTCTTACCCCCTCTCAAATTAGTTTTTATGATAGAAACTTCTGAAACTTAAACGGTAACGTACATATTTTATTAACTTTTTAAATTAAGAATATTTTACTAAAAATGTTGACTGGTTGATAACCAGTTTTGAAACACTATTTTTACAGTTATAAAAGCTTAAAAGTTAGAACGAGAGGGAAAGTGTGGGTGAAAAGTGCGCCCAAAAAAAAATTAAATTATTAATTGAACTCAGTGAGATATTGAGTGGCCCATGATAAAAAAAAATTATTCTGTATAGCTAGGCGTGGTTTGTGATTACTAAGTGAACCAGTTGAGTAATGTTTATCTATGTAGACAATAATTAATAATATACTGAAAGCGTTAATAAATACTGTTAATATTGAACGAAATTGAGGCGATTAAACGAGATATTTTATTGTTGAGACATTCGAAGTTTGTTAAAAAAACAACTATACAATCGTTAAAAATGTATGTTTTAATCAGAACTATAATGCCGGTCCATTGATTACCGACAATTCGTAATAAAATGTTTTTTATTTGTCTCTTTAATTTTAGGGAAATCGTGATCGCATTTATTAATTACTTGTCTGGCGCAATGAAATCAAATGGGTTTTGCTTTCTGGCTTACTGCGTTCTTATTTTTAAAAAAACGCGACGGTAACGTTGTCGGGAAATTAACATACGTTACGAATCGATTTGTTTCGGAGTAGGAAAAAAAAATCTGTAAGAAAACTCCATATTATGCAAAGGAAACCGGCGAAACCGTCGGTCGGAAAGTAGTGAACGCGCACCCGCTTCGCACGTCGCTTCCAGGCGACGTTCACACGCCACAACTAGGCCGGCACTTGTTGTCCCTACGATTGAAATAAAAATCCGAAACAACATGACCAGATAGGTGTACAATAGCCCACATCGTGTCCCTCGTGGTCGGCGCAGGGCGTTAGCACAATGGTAATATTATGGTTGCGGCTACTGTGAAAAATGTTTCCGAGTTGGGTGTAACGTCCGACACGGTGGGAGAGCGACCGAGAGATCACTTCCTCTGGTTACGGCAAAACTAATATTATAGTCGTTAAGGAATATCTATAAGAAAAAAAAAACACTAGCTAGTAATAACAACAATAAGGAAAACACATAGATGTATACCGGTGAGTGGAGGGAGATATTCGGTTAACGCCAGGACGACGGTGCAGCCAGGAAGGAGTGTATCGCCTGCGCGTTAAACAACCATTACCCTTAATACTCTTAGGTGTAACACATCAAAAACTTAATTGTGGCTGTTATTTGTAACAATTAAGTCGCGCCCTACCCCTTCGGACAAGTTAAGAGCGACAACACCCACGCATTCGAACAACCCACAGTCGTTTAGTGGAGTTTCGGCAGACGTTACCGTCATGGCCAACGACAAGTCTCTCAAGGAGTCGCTGTTGGCAGCTTCGCCTTTTCTCATCAAAGTCGTGGAAATCGTGAGTACCCGCACATTCGACTTGACACTCTTATGACAAATTATCACTTTTGCCGTATCGCAAAATAACGTTATTCTTGTTTATACCTACTAAAATGTGTCCCTCGTTCAGCTCTTAGGATTGACCAGCATGTGCCTCATCGTCAGCCCATATTCGTCTAGACTGCACACGAGCACAGGACGGGCAGGGTTCGTATACTCAGCTATGTCTGGAGCAGTCCTCGTCGACCTATTGATAGTGGCCAGTCATTTCCTTCAACAGCGGATACCCAAAAAACCGGTGAGTCTAAGTCCTAGTCCCTCGTAATCATCTACTGATATCATGATTGTGCTTTTTGTCTTTACGACTTTGTAAACTTCCCGATGACACCACGATTTTACATCACATTTAAAGAACTGACAAGGTCTAACTTAAACTTGTTAACACGTTAATGACCTTTCAATATAACTCTTGCAAACACTTCAGCAATTAAATACAAAATAAATTATGGCTAGATATATTACCACACTGAATGTTAACCCTAGTGTAATAAATTTTCTTTCCAAAGCAACTGCACCAACTTTGTACTTGATTTGTATTAGTATTTAGAAATAGTTCTAGCGCATAATATTTCTTTAAGCTATGATTATTATAACATAGAGTTATGATATTGATTTAAAACAATATAACATTGATTTCTTCCATAGTGTTTGGTCGTATCCTGCTGGTATGGAGCCATGTTGGCCATAGCTGCCGGTGTAATATTCTCAGACTGGAGAGCCCTACAGTTTGCTTTGCAAGTACGACCGTCCAAGCACCGAATGGATCTGATGATTTCCTCGGCTGTGACCACCACTCTGACTTCGCTAACGTTTTTCGCAGACTTTGTGTTAACTTTTAAGTATGGGTAACGTTACAGCCAAACAGCCAACAACCTAATCGCCTATAATTCCTATGGCATTACCCAAGTCCTAACCAAAATCAATTACAACCAGATTGGAAACAAGACTTTAAATAAAACTATTATTATTATTATTATTACTATTACTGTTGTTACTATATTACATACATACAGAAGGCAACACAAATCACCATATACACCAAACGACTAGGCTTCATGATTTGTAAGGATTGTTATTTTTTTTGTTTTACGTCACCACACTCTTATTAATATTTTTTAATCATATTTAACTTGTACTATTTTGTTTTATGTATAAATGTATTTTCATACTAAGAGTTAATTATATAAAATCAAATATAACTTTTACATCTATATTCCAACATAGTTTCCAGGTTGGAACAATCACGCCATGATAGGGGGTTCAATAATGGTTTTAAACCGTAAGATAACTTATTGACATTCCAATCAGGTCATTAACATGTTAAGGATTATATGAATTTAATATCAAAATAATTACAATACAAAACTACCTAATGTTTTTTCACGTAAAGTTTGATAACGCTAATATTGTAACTGCGATGGTTACGAAATAATAATAATTAACATAACAAATCAAACTTGGTAGACTACCACACATGATTATTGTAGCTGAACACTAACATAAAGCATTATAACAGAATGATAGATTACAATAATGTAAGTATAGATTATTAAGAAACCAGTTCGAGTAGATTTATTATACAACTATAATAGTACATAATAATTATCTACATTTATTGTATATAACATTATAATTAACACGTTTTCATTATAAAACAAAATTAAATTATCTAATAACTCATTACTTTATAAAATATGGTTTAAATAAAAAAACCAAGTTATTGTAACTTTGTCTTTAATTATATAGGTTATAATTATAACAACGAAAGGTGAAGGGGTGGGTTACACTTCTAAAAAGAAAATTTAATTTCCCATAAAATCAATGTGTACGCTAAAACGAATAATAAAAATAAGAATAAAGAAGCAACATAATTTCAAATTTTGATTGAAAAAAGAAAATTTTAAATACTAAGTAGTTAATGAAAATTTAAAGAATAAAAACTAAAAGTATTGATCACGACAATTGTATAAATTAACTATGTATAATAGACATAAATATCTATTTTAAAATCAATGAAATGTATTTTAGGGTATTATTTTAAAATATTAATAATATTCTTTTTAGTACATTTTTTTAATTCGTAAAATATCCTAATTATGTATTGATAAATATTGAACTAAAAATTTTAATTAACATTATTTAACACCTTTGTGGTACACACCTATTAAACTGAATAATAAAAACAAAAAATATCACATTCTTGGTGGTTGACAATGAACAATGCTTTTCCAAATATCTTCTATGTTAAAAGCATTAGTATCTAATGTTGTACTGGTGGGTTGATTAGTTGCAGAAGTTGCAGAAGATTTTTTGAGTAGACTCGGAGAAAACCACGAAGCATTTAAACGTTCAGTTGAAGAAGAATATACTTTTAAATTAGGTGATCCAGACATAGAATACGATTGAGGTTTAGAAAAATCGGTTAATGGACTAGACGGTGGTTGGCTATTTTTTTGCAATTTAGGTTTCATAACATAGTTTACATTAGACACAACCTGAGTGGGACAATTGAAGTCTATAGACGATAACGGTCTTCTAAACATATCATTATTTGATGATGACAAATTTAAACCAACATTTTTCAAGCAATTGTTATTAGTCCAGACAGAACGCGATTGTACTGAAGGCAAACCCTTATCAAATGAGCTAATATTACAGTTATTATTAATAGAAGTCATCGGACGTAAGCCTTGAAAAGCATGATGTAATTGTGAGCTTGTAGTTCTATTTTTTTTCATATTAATTCCTGCTGGATAATTGGACATCTCAAAATTGTCAGACTGGTTGGATTTTGAATAGTTATCTGGAATTTTTGAGTGCTCTGGTAAATTGATATTTTCTTCATTGGAACAGTTAGCAATATGCTTTGGGATAAATGGCTTGAAAAGCAAACGTTTATACGGAGTCGGAGACATTACATTTGGTCGGGTGGCATTGTTTGGAACAATAGGCACAAAACGCACTCTGTTACCTTGTGGATTAATTAAAATACTTTTCTTTAAATCTTCCCATCTTTCCTTTAATTCGAAAAATTCCAGTCATCCGTTAGTTAAAATTAAAATTATAACATTTTAATATATTATAATAATATGTTATATTTAATACAAATACTATTTACAGCTAAGTCATAAAATAGGTTCATGTTACTATTTTTACTAACTACATTATACAATTTTAGTAAAACTACATTTTAGTTAGTCTTCAAATCTAATCAACTATTTTGTACATTTGTTACCAAACTATATAATATAATAACAATATAAGATTAATTGAATTCATTTGTATTTAACATTTAATAAGTCAGTTACATATTCCAATAATATAATTCAAACAAGCTTCAACAAACATACAAAATCATATTGTTGGTGTTAGGTGTAAAAAGTTAGTAATAAATATTAATATTATCAAATATATGATAAAATAATACCTATAACAGATATATTGGTTTCAATATCAAACGGTTAAATTATTCATGATGCCAAATAATATGAATGGTATGATGATAGCGAATGTGAAGTAATGAATGTATGTAATAAAAAAATTATGTCTACAATATTTACAGAGATGTATCCACAGAAATTGTCATCTTCTGATAATAGATTTTACATTTAATCAAAAGCACCAGAGGAAAAACCAAACACTTACACATCTGTATTATTGTAAATAATTTTAAGATCCAAAAACGCATAAATAATTTCATAAATTATATTTTAATATTGTTTTAAAAAACTTTTTTAGCTAAATGAATTATTTCTTGGGTTATTTATCAAAACTTATCAATAATTATTAGTCTTATTGCTTAATTTTTGAAGAAAAAAAAATGTATAAATCCCATTAAGTAAATCTCAATAAGGATACCTATCAGTATTTTTTTATGAAATAAATATAACACTCGTGCTTCTTTGTAAAAATGTCTAATGTAATTGCCAATTAGATGTCCATTATCAATTGAACCACTTAGCGACTTAGATACTGATGTTCACTTGCTATCATATAATCAAAAATAATTTAATCGAGTGGCAAATTTAAGAAAAAACATTAATTAACTTTAATTACAAACTTATAATGCCAAAAATACGTTTACGATTTTGGTGAATTTTTTAAAAAAAGAACATTTGAATAACATCGGCTAACTTTTTTGTAAGTTAGTAGATTTCTTTATTGGATATTTTTGTTCCCACTATTTTATCAGTATAATATACAAAGTAGCTATGAAATAAACTAGATTCTAATATTGTTTTGCAAATTCCAAAGTATATATAAGTATAAATTTATTTTACCTTTTCAGCTTGCGCTAATACTGTCCAGAGATATCTCCATGTTGTAAACTTTTTCTTGTCACTAAAATTGTACTTCATTTCTACTGAAGCATATCTTGTCGACAAAGGAGATACATATGTATCATAAGAATTAGACATTATGAAGAACTCAAAATATGAAATGAGAAAATTTATAAACAAAACAATTACCACACGGGCAGTTATTTAAGGAAAACGAAAAAATAAATAATTGTAAAATGTCAACTTTAAGATAAAAACAAAATTGTGCAGCCGGTGCGCAATCGATAGAAAACTGATAACAACTCGTAAGCCTCAGCAGCTGTTTATAATGATTAGCTGATTATCCACCTTATCATAGTTTGTCGTTTCAAGCACAAGTTAATAGATATTTTACCTTCTACGTTTTATTAAATATGTTTTTTCTCTTCCTAGAGTAGGTAATAGTTTTAATGAAGAAAACTCGTCAGGTTAAATGAATTGTTTTTTAATAAAGGCTACTAAAAAAAAATTAATAATAATAAATAAATTGTTAAATCAAATATCATGCATATTATCTGTTTAAAGAGTAATTAAAAGTGATTTAATTTCATTAATTAAAAATTAAATTAAATTTATATAATATATTATATTTTAATTATTTGTGTTCCTTTCTTTTGTTTTTAATGTATTATAGGTAGTTTTGTTGGCGCTAAATAAAAGGAATAATAAATTATAATATAAATAAAATTAGTCAATTATTTCTTAATTTGTTTTAACCCCGTACTGTACAAACTTTTATTAGGTGTTAGGTGTAACAAACCAAAATTTGGTGGTAGTCGTAGGATATACGCTGTCAACATACATTTAAATAATAATGTTTAAAAAAAATCATTGATTGCGCCTAATTCTACATTACAACATTATACTTTCTAAGTACTGTAAATATAAATACATACAATTTCATGCATTATTAGTTTAAAAAACAACCTATTTATATAATTATGCTTACCCAGTTTTCTGTGTCATTAAAATAGTACATTTTAACTCCATATCTATTAAATGAATCTTTTAGTTTTTTCTTAAAAATTTGTGCTGCTCTAAAAAACATAATTAGTTTTATAGTATTGCTACTATAAGTAGTATAATTTGTCTAATATACTTAAGTGATTTGAAAGACAAAAATATCTTGGAATCATCTTCACATTCAAACTTTAACAATAATGAAGGATGGTTGAGTACAAAAAAATTGATTTCCTAAAAAATATAGCATAACATATTTAGTTTTAAATTTCAAACTGATAGAAAAATACAATGTTGTATATTACATTTTTAATGAAGTGTTTTGTGTTGTTTCTTTGGGAAAGTCCATATATCATCATGATTGTATTTCTTAAACTCTTTTGTACAATCAATGGCTTACCCATCTCACTTTCTTTAAGTAACGTTCCATTGTACATATCAATGGCAACTTCAACAGCAGCTAAATTTCTATACATTATATAGCCAAACCCTTTATTCAATCCTCCATTTCCTTTAAGTAGTCGAACACTGTATATTGGACCAGATTTTCTGTAACAAAATTAATTAAATTACATAATATTATATTAAGACATTACTTACAGTCATTATTCGATTTAAGATTTTTAAGTTGGGTAAAGGACACTTTTCTTATGACTATGTACTTTATTAATATCATTTCAAAGTACATACCTACCAAATATATATGAATTATCAAAAACCGTTACTAAAAGAAACATTATTTTTAAAATAATTTATTTAAAAATTGAATGCATTATACCGAATTTAAGACTTAGTTTAAAATGTATGGTAAATACTGGAATTACACAACATATAATGTTCGAATTCCCAGTTTGTTAAAAAAATACGTAGGTACGAATGGAAATATTAAAAATAAAAAATAAAAATTTATATATAGGGTACATACGATGACAGCGGTCACCGCACCACAAAGATGTTCCGTCTTTGACGTGATGGTGAACTATAAAATATTTATAATCGTTTTTCTCCTAAGAAAAAATATGCAATGTTCCATTTTAGCTATTGACTGTTGTTGATAAAATAAATGCGGGTGAATTTGATAAGGCCAAGTCGCTCTATATTTCTAAGAAAAATGGTTGAATGGCTGAAGGCAATAGGTAGACATCAATCAGTCGTTTGACCGTGCAATCTCCCTGGAAATAAATCATACGGCGACTGGTCTGTCATTTGGAAAAAAATTTTACCTAATTGGAAAACTCTAATTTCGAATACTATAAACTACAATCTATATTACAAAAATGATGAAACAAACGAAATGACGCCATGGCGTTATAACGTCTAGGTAGCTGAAAAAAGGCTATCTGCGACGTGAATATTGTAAAATAATCGACAGCGGTAGACTACACTTATAATATAATATATAATTTATAAATTATCGCTCAACAAAGAGTACCTACTGTAACAGTTATAATTTATAACTATCATTAATAGTAAGTATACCATCGTTTATATATTATCTATTATAATTGTAATTTTTTAAACAGTTCACCTATAGTTAAATAGTAAAATAGTAAGACGCCCGTGCCTTGCGTAGGTACGAGAAACGATTATGTAATTACTTGGAAAAGTTGATGAATTTTTCGATGGTGTAGTGCAACGGCAAATTACCCACGTAAACTTCATGGTCGTTGTCGGGTTCTGGGTCTTTGTTCTGATCCAGAGGCTTGTACACGATTTGAGAGTTGATGGTCATTATGGCGTAGTTCATATCCACATTCAGTTTGGCGGCCATTGCGGTTGTATTTTTAAAAACCGTGTCGTTCGGTATAAGTTTTAACAGAGTATGTGGTATTTTAAATGGAATTTTTCATACCTAAACGACGATAATTGTATTGAAAAAGAACTTGTGAGGTAATATCAGCTGATGTGCCGTGCTCGAAGGCCGTGCGGCAAATGAAGACCAATGGTCGACGACAATGGCCGACAGATCTCTCGAGTGGTGCAAAAGACCAGACGGCCCGTCGAAGAAAGGAAGGGTGTCTTGTCCGGTGACCTCTCTCTCCGTCTTCATTATGGTGCTGCCAATATTGTAGTCATAACATGAGCAGCTGCTGAAAAAAAAAATCTACTGATGTAAAAAAAAAATGTAATTCTTATTCCCGTACACACATGCCACATAATGATAAACAATATCATGTAAACATAGTAAACGGAAAACGCTATTTTTTAAAACTATTTTAAAATAAAAAGTAAAAACTACGCATATTATTTTAATTGGACTGATGATAATTAATAATTAAAAACAAGTGTAAATGCGAAAATAATGTTTTGAATTTAAAAAAATGTAAATCATTAATTATTGTTGTTAACCATTATTTTAGATTTTACCATATTTATACTCAATGAAAACTAGAAATTAAATCTATATAGTCGAATTTTATTTGAATGGTTATGTCTAACTCAATTATTTTACCATAAATTGTTTTAGATTAGAACAGATTTATACATTTATATATTATACAAATATTGAATTTTTGGCTGATAATTTTGAAATACCAAAGTTAATTTTAAAAACATACAAAAAGTACTATACTTAATTAAAACATTCTTTTTTATGTTTACAAGTCCTAACGTATTTTTTGAGAATAGTGGTTAAAAAACGACTAAAATTAATTAAATATATTTACAAAAATTGTGTGTACATTTTTAGCTGTGAAGGTATTGGTTTTATAATGGTGTTTTTTCTTTTTTTTTTGTGTATGTACACAAAAAAACTACTTTTTTCCTGTAAACCGAATTATTCACATACCTAGCACTTCTATGGTCCAAAATCGTATGCAGATGGTATTTTGAAGGGTTAAAACTAAAAATAGTCAACACCTTCCTTAAAACCGGGAAAACCCGAAAACAAAATTGTCCAGTTTTTCAAACGTCAACTTTGATTTGATACATCTTCTCGAAAAACGAGGTTAATCTAAGTACTTATTCATTTAACATGGCCATTTACTTAGCGATAATCAAATCTCTACAATGAAGTTAAAGTTTTAATACCACACATAAGTATCCTGAATATTTTAGTACATAACAGCTTAGGGATTTAATTTATCTTTTTAAGACACGTCTAAACAAATTTGTGTTGTTATTTATTGTTTCATTTTTTCTTATAATTACTACATCTTTAAAAATGTTTATTAAAGTCTCTTCATGATTCTATTATTTTAGTTAAATTTCTTAAGGAAGTAGAACCAAAAACAACATGCTTTTCTTCAATCTCACTTTATAATTACATTAAAATACAATAAAACAAAGGAAATAAAGTATTAAGTAGAAATAAATAGAAGTGATATTATGTATAGAATAGATACTTACATCAGTCATGGTTTTTCTGTTATTAATGCTGTCTACATTCCATTTATTAAGAAATGTATACTTTTCTTATATTATAAAAAAATATAGAAATAATACATATTATAAAATAAATAGATACAATTGCAAGTTGCAGCATCTCATCATATTTGAAAGTATATGCTCTTATCTCGTTCTCATCCAGATCTGCTATTTTGCACACAACAAGTTTAATAGGCTATAATATGACTGATTTAAATATGTTAATATTTACTTAAGATTGGTCAAGTTGTGAAAATTTAAATGATATAGACGTAGCTATGGACATATTTAATGGGAAAATTAATGAGGCTATTTCCAATTCTACTAAAATGTATATAATAAAATTATCAAATCAGATATTAAAAGGTTGGATATCAAGCGGTCTGGTTAACTCTATTTTAACTTAGTGAAAATTTAAAAACAGATTAGATAATCCCATTTTTATTTATCATTAAGAAAGATATAATTGTTTTAGGAATATCATATACCTACATAGTTTAGTTAGAACTACTAGTTCAAACTTGTAGAAGATAATTCTAACTTTATACTGTTAAATAGTTGTACTTAACTATGAAAAGAATAAAAGTTGTAGGAATTTAATTTATTGTTATCTTCAGGTAAGTGCCCTAATAGTTTTAACAAATGTCAAATGTGTCTTCATTCCTATACACAAACCGGGAAATAAATAATTGGTCATTATTATTATTTATTATTTCAGTCTGTAATTATAATCATTAGACTGTAGCCATTTTAAACCAATATTGTTATCACTGTCTCTATCAAAAATATTTGAAAATCATTAAATTTCAAATAATGAAGTAATATAATATTTAGTTATTAAAACATATTTACATAGTTTTACGAGTTTCTTATAGTTGAATTTGAATAAAACTTAGTATATAGTTTTCAATATTCAAAAATATTTTAATCTGGATAACTTAAAGTTTAGAGGTCTATAAAACTATTCAATTATTATCAAGACATTATTTATGTATATTTATAGTTATTAGACAATAGCAGGCATTGTTAAGGATTTAACTTACTAAGGCTTATTTATTATTTATTTGTAGAATCTATAATTATTCACTGCATTATACTTGGCAAATAAATAAAGATAACGTTGTCTGGACTTTATAATAAAATTTATATCGAACACATCATTGTATACTCAAACAAAGAGAGTATTCAATATGTTAAACATTTTTTATTTGAACACATAATATAATAATAATAAATTATTATAACTAATAGTTAGCCCTTGACTACTGAGTAGGCTGTGCTTAGGTGTAAACCTAATGAACAACATGTAATATCTACAATACAAAATTCATAGTTTAGGTTTATTAAAATATGTACTACATTCCTCAATTTGTTAGGTATATAATAAAATATATCTTAGCACTTAGCAGATGTAAAACATTTTATTGGATAGGTACTTGTTTATTGTACTACTGAAAGGGTATTTAATTAGTATCGATCTGACCATTAACATATAATTGCTATTAGATGCACCTATTATATTTATTTTACAGTTGTGTTTCCGGTAAAACAAAGTATATTATAAGCTTGGTATATCTGAAGTGTTCGATTAATAAATTGGTAAAAATGCATAATAATAAAACATAAAATAAAAGACTTTCATCAGAAAGCGCGATTGACCATCGACATCACCTCAAGACTATATTGCTGTTCTAGAAACCACTAAAAGTATCGTTGCATTTTCTGAGTTGATAAAAGGTAAAAGAACAATACCTACACATACTCACACTAGTGTAACACAGAACGTTAAGCCTGTAGGGAGTAAACATCTATGTTAGATAAAATATCATGATTGGATCAGGGTCTATACTCGAGGAAAGTTCTTTGTCTTAATACCTTAGATCATCCAAAAACCATTTAACCCTAACCCTTAACCATTTCTTTGTAAGTTCAATTTCTTTATCTTTTTTTATGCATTATAAAATGGTTAATTAAATTGAAAATACTGATGTATTTAATTAATAGTATTTTTGTTATACATTTTAGAACACGTTTGTGTATACATATTTCATATTTATTATTATAATTGGATTTTATAACATAAAACACAAAGGTATAATGTTATTATTATTGTACATACGCGGTACGCCTCCACAAAAAATTAAATACAACACAAAGCGTGCGCCGTGTAAATGTTATAACTTTTAAGCCAATTTATGTCAGCCTACAGTTATTTTAATTAATAAAGGGCTGTGTAATTCTTCTTGAAACTATATTGCTATTATACATTACAAAATAACCATGAAAGAGAATGAGTTTTCGAAAAATAAAAACTAAAATTATATTTTTACTCACAAAAAATTGTAATTATATTACAATATAATATCAGCAAAATATGGTTTAACTAAGATTATTTCGATTTTACACTAAACATTAAATGTATTTTTAGAGTGAAAATTTTCAAGGTAGTCCATCAAAAAATTATGCCATTTTAGTTCAGACTTCAGACGTCCAAGCAATAAAGACGACTAGACTGTTTAATGTGTATTGCAACATTTGCCAGCGATTAACGGGTAAGTTTTGCTTTTAACTTGGTTGGATGCGTTGGCAGAGTATAGAGATTAGCAGATGTCAGCCCGTTGGACAATTATAACAGAAAAACCTAACACATATCTAACTGTACACAATGATATGTCTATTATTTATTATTTTCTTAATGTATAATTTTAGGTTAGGCGAAAAAAATTATACGCATATTATTTATATGAAATGTTTAAAATAATTTATGTAATTTTCTTATATATTCAGGAAACTAAAACATCAAAACATTTGTGTTATAATATTCTATGATTTAAAAATATTTCATCGGACTATTTTTAAATATTTTAAGTTCTTTTAATTATTATTAAACTTAAAAAAAATACTAAAGTAATGTAAATTAATTTATAGTTATTAACTTAAATGACAAAACAAAAAAAATTAATAATTTATGATAAACTGAAGCTCGGTTGCCTTAACAATTAAGAGAACACGTTAAAAAGGGCTACTTTTAAGCATTAACAGAGGTAGAAAGACTAGCCTCTAGTTTTTGATGTCTCACTTTAATCATTCCCTGTAGTCATATACTTTGGCAATATTACAGTAGTCGGTTAGATTATCCAATGAATCTGAGTATATATTTTTTGCTGTTTCTAGTTAAGTAGAAAATATAGTATTAACTTTTCGGTACAGGACTACTTTGATAAATACCGATCAGTAAAAAATGGGATACCGCGTATTTATTTTGAAATATGTACCTAGTGGACAAATTTAAGTATTGAAATATATTGATCATACTTGAAAACTTGATTTAATCATAAATATTTACAATTTTTATTTGAAAAAAATAAAAGGAGTAGGTACACAATATTAATTGATTTAACCACATATACAATTTAAACAGCTTACACAAATATTGTAGTATTGTACGACGAATTAAAAATTATTGTGACAATATCCAGGACAATTATGCAGTAGGCATACGTCTTACTAATGATAAAATCAGTTAAATACATTTTTCAGTAGGTACCTACAAGCAAAGTTTCGGAATTGTTTAAATTAGAATTTTCGTCAACATCGCAGTCCGATTAACTTTCCGAGTTTCTGTAAATTATGCGATTCGAAGAGAATACTTAATGAATTCTTTATGGTCTGGTGGTTAAAATGTCCGTAGAAATGCAACATTAGAATTCAAAAAGGGACACTTACCGACGACTTTTGCTGAACTTCATATTTCTTACCATGAATTATATTTATTTTAATAATACACCAAGTAAAAATATATAATGCGAGAAAAGTTTGTACACAATTAGTGTTCAGTTAGGTAAATACAATTTTAAAATAGCTTTTTTTTTTTACATTTTTTACTTTTGTCTCTAGCGTTTTGTGTAGGAAGTACATACATAATTTGGACACTTTAAACAAATTTACCCAAGGGCTTAGGAAAATACAGAGAAGGCAGAAAAATTGAGATTTGAACTCAATTCGGACTTAAGTTGTTACTTTAACGTAAGCTTGACCTAACTATTAAATTAGTTACCTATATCTATTTGAATTTGAACATTGAACCTTTTTACTACAGGTCAGAGTATTATTATTTATTCTTTTAGACGTTTTGCAACGACAGTCAGCATAAACCAAAACATAAATCTTTTTAGATGAAAAATACAATTTTATGCTAGGCATATTTTCCCCGAAAATGACTAAATGCGTTGTTGGCCGTATTGAACTCAGGGTACCCGTATTACCCGGTATTTAATGTGTATCCTAACCTATGTAATTACTAAATAGATAACAAAATATGTTTTTCAAGTTTTTCGTATATTGATGCAAGGAACAAACAATTTTAGATGTACATACTATTTTATCATTTATACCATTTAACATCGACATATTAGGTATTCAAAACAACACTTCTCGCAAAACCAGCTGTTTTTATAAATAAATAATTAATAAAAAGGTCTTATCTTACGTGTACACCATAGGCGGAGATCCTATATAATATTTAGAGGGGCTTAAATTATATGTATAGCAAACAGACCCGCGAGGGCATCGCCCCCCCCACCCCAATAATAACAACAAGAAATTTAATTACACAATTACTATAACAATATTATACATTTATTATCCTATTACATTTTCTAGCAAATGTATTTAAAACATTTTCACAGTTTAATGTTTTAGTCCTTTTCTATATATAAAATTGAAAGTTCATTAAATCGGGTTTGCTCCATAGATGTTCTTAAATAAGATTTTATTTTCCTTATTGCAGAAAAGCTCCTCTCACACGTAGCAGAGCTAATAGGAATTTGGTTAAAGCAATTTGGAGCATTTTATACAAATTAGGGAACACTTGTGGTGTAATATTCTTTATTAAATCTTCAATATCTTATTTTTTATTGTACAATGCTGTGAAATTTTCCTTTAATATAGCGGTTAAAAAAAAACAAAGGAAATAATTAATTTTTGAGGGGGCTAAGCCCCCGCATGCCCCCCGCGATCTCCGCCAATGGTGTACACTCCATAAATAAATTCTGTGGCTTGGAGCAAGAAGGGCCAATGTCACTTTTTGCAACTTTCGGAAAATGAGCTTTGAAGTTTTCATTTTCCATTAGGCTCTATGTTAATTTTTTGATCAAACTCTTCATGAGTAATTAATTTTTTGGCCTCAGAGTGTGATTTTTTCACAGTATATAAAGAATGATTAAATTTTTGCAATTAGCGGACTAACTCGTTTAAGCACAAAATTGACATTGGCCCTTCTTGCTCCAAGCCACAGAATTACATTATTACTTATAACATTTTATACGATATAATATATATTATGCTGTTATCGTTATTTAGACGCGATAATCTGGTGTACATTATCCGTGCAGTAAAGACGCGTTCCGGAGGTATTGATCACCGGATACATTGCCACCGGTGTAACGCAAAAGGTAAGGTCTGGAAGGTAAGCTGACGGCCAGTACTTGGATGACTGGTCGTCGTCCACTAGCGGACACCGTATGACGTCCGTCTCTTTTTGGTGCGTTTGTGCCGCACCGCCGAAGCCAGCAAGTGGGCCGTATACTCTGCTCTAGTAGTGTTAACGATTTGCACCTCGTCCACGCACTCCCCGGTGTGGTCCATGTTGCACCGGACCGGCATGCTGGAAAATAGGTTTAGCTCGGTCAGCCGTGTGGCGCAACCCGGCCGTCCAGTCTCTCGCAGAACGGTGAACTCTTCGTTGTTGGCGCACGGACCGCTAGTGTCCGGCTCGTAGCATCGACCGTCTGTCCACGGGATCTGGGGCACGGCGCTCTCAGACGCCTGATCGGTCCAACGCCACCGGCACACGTCCGTTGTACAATTCCCGTACCTGAAAAACACAAACGATGCCAATTGACTATTTAAATTTTAATAATTTGACCCATTAAATTTAATTAAACCTAACTCCGAGATTACAAATTGTATAAAAACCAAAATTCTAAAGCGCATTAACGATGGCATATAACCGCGGTACCTATGTACATAATATATTATATAATTGAATTTATTTAAGTTAAAAATTATGTATTCGTTAATGCGCATTATTTTATAATCCGGGAATTAGGTGCATATAATCTAATTTTTAATCTCTCATTTTCTCATTTTCAACTAATTGATAATTCATTTACTCTAATTGCATTAAACTTGACTTCAGGATTAAAAATTACAAATAAACCAAAATACTAACGACTACATAAAAACGTCAGTAATGTGAATTAAGTAATTGCGCATTAACATTTTGTTTTTTTATGCAAATTTTTAATGCCAGAACAGTTGTATCGCATTTGAATAGTTTAATATATATTAAAAACGTGGTACTTTTCACAATACTCCCTTAACTTAATTCTAATTTTGTCAATGAGAATATTCTACTTCATGAAATCGTGGTAATTGATAAGGTTTTGTGGACTATGTTTACAAGCGAATTCACACCAAAAACCATAACATTTATTTGTATGTAGATTTATAATAGGTGATATAATTTAACGGACTTAATTAAAATATAATTTTAAATACACGTTGCTATTGCAATATTATGCATTGGTTAATGCGCATTATTTTATAATCCGGGAATTAGGTACAATGGATTTAATTTGTTTTATAACAATTAATATTATGTCTTTAATCTTTATGACAATAATGTCTTTTAGGGTAGATTAAGCAATTGACATTTTTAATTTGTTTGGAAGTTAATTACTCAAGTATTTTATTTTTAAGTGTCATTAGTATTAATACAAAAAATTAGTTAAAATGTGATATGCGCTTAAAAAATGTTTGTTTTTTATAGTTGTGTGTTGTAGTCTACTGGATAGTCATCTTGAAAACCTTCTAGTCGCGCCACTGATTGCAGGCTGAAATTAATGATCCGTCAGGTAATCTATTTTTAATGGGTTTGTTTTTATAAAAAAAAAAGAGATAACATTTTGTAATTTCGAGCACTAAGTCATAAAACTAGAAAACTATTTGGATAATATACTAAATAGAGTTTAAATTACTTACACTTTATAAAACACATTGAAAGCTTTCACTTCTGATAATAAATTAAAATTATGTATTGCAAGAACAAAAATTGTTTATCATTTTGGTTTATTTAGTGTTGCTACACAACAACAAAACAGTTAATTTAAAATACAAAACACCCACAAACAACCAGATGTTTCAAATTTCGATTTTGCATAGTTAATAAACTAGAAATTGCTAATTTAAATTTAAAAAACTATTTACGTACATACATATTAATAATTAAATAATTATCACAATAATAGACAACTTAATTATTACATAGTTATGTTTATTTTACAGTTCATTGTAATATGAGCGGTCATTGTACATATACATTACTAAAACTGGTGTCCATGCACAATGCCAGATCTAACCTCCTACTATTTTCGGATTGTCACACACAAAAGTAAAAAAGGAAAAAACTAATAGATATCATCCCAACCACGTGCTTTCGCCGAGAAACCGAATTGGAAGCATCCTTCCCACAACATTTTCTTGTTTGTTTAGTTTTAATTATTTTCGTTCTCTTTAAAAGAAATAACTAGACGGTATCATCGCTCTGGTCATGTATGCTTACAGATATGTTAAAAAATCCATATAAATAAGCCGCCGAACAACCCCACGTGTCTCAATAAGCTTTAGAATTCAATTCGCCGTAGAATCTCATATCTGATAGAAGTAAGTAGGTACACGAGCAATCTAGTACCAAAAAAATGTTTACTTAAGTCTTCGTCGACACGCGTAATATATTTTGTAAAAAAGTTTTTCTCGAGATTCTTGAAATAATCTGAAGTAAACGAATTCACATTATCATTGATTTTATGATATACCGAAAATTGCCATATTTTATTTTAGATAAGGGCAGGAGCTATGTAAAGGGACTCGAAGAGGGGATGCGGTTACATCTTTTCATCTGATGTATACCATTGTTAAACTCATGACAGCCTCTTACGGTTTTTAACAATAGGATGGCTTATATATGTATTATGAAATCAAGGATATTGTATTATATTGTGCTTTCAACGAACCCTCAAACCGTAAACATATATACTTATCCTTTGGTACAATATTACAATATCTAATCGAAATGGAAGCTTATTCCTTATCTTTGGAAAATATTTCATTGAAATTCATATCCAAAGAAATCTCAATACGACGTAATTTTATTCGGTATTTAAAACATTTTATTTACATAGATTTTTTCAATTTATTACAGAACACTCATCACAGCGTGCCCAGTGAATCAATTACATTTGAAAACCCTATATCCTTACTCTCATTAATAAGATGCTTATTACTAAGGACTCCACGAATATTCATTAAGAATAATACATTCTAATGAACCACTTAATCTACCGTTGTCTAGTACGACCTGGTAATAGACCATGTATATTTTATCCAATACAAATTTCTAAAAGTTCTAAGGACATCTACATAGATTGTTATTGTTTAAAAACAACTTACCCGGGCACGTCCGTTTCCGTCACTATAAATCCAAGGGGACAAGGTCCTCTTGTGTAAACGGGATAGCAAGCTGAATCCAATTTATCGTCGATTCGAACGTAAGGCACGTTTAAGGTGCCAGTACACTTGCAGTATCCTTCGCCATAGTAATCGTTTGCAAGTTGTGTGTTATGACTAGGACAGAGCTTATCCGCAGACTCCTTCGTCTGGTGACAGAATCCATCCAGCGGCCAGTAAACATCCCCTTCGCTACACCGGCGTCTTACGCACAAAGCCTTGATCGGTTGTTCGAAGTCGTCTAATCCGTCGGGGTCGATCACCAGCCACTGGCCTAAGCGACATAACACTGTTGTAAATTTTGAAGGAAAACTAAATACCTATGACACATTCTTTGTACATATATGTCTAATAAAACAATTTATATTATTTAAATAAATAGAAAAAATTACTTTTTAGTTCGTTCCAAAAGGGAAGCAGAAACTATAGCGAGTAAAATATGTTATGATATGGTTCTTTTATGTTAAATTAGATTTATTGTAAACTCAATATTCTACAATTTGATGTATATGTATAAGTTATAACTATATATTGTAGTGGCGATGTTGTACTGTATTATTGCCTTGATTGCAAATTGGAATAGTATTTCCGTAATAAATATTATTATTATTAAAACTAAGGAAATTGTGGTATTTTTGTAGATATTCTGTTAGCCTGAGTCCTGACAAATTTAACAAATCAGAATTTCAAGTGTTCCATACTACCTTTAAAAAATGCGGTACAATGATATCAGAATAAGGAATACTGTAACGTAATTACAGTTAGGTCAGTTTTTGACTTTAATATAAATCATAGTAGTAAAATATAATAAAGGAGCAGATCCGCGAAAATATTGAAGCACAGCCAAAAACTACACTTTCAGGGCCGCGACATTTGATGAATCAAATTTTGCCAGGTAGACGGGTAATTTGTTATTCGGGACATTCCATCACGTTGAACTCTATGGTAATATTATTATAATCAAATTTTATTGAACACATACGTGAGTTAAATTAATACAATATTATTTTCAAGTAATTGAGATGCACGGCGTGAATTTGTTTATTTAACAGTAATATTTCTTCCGTTATCCCGCGAATGTGCCATTCGAGAAAATTGAAGTATTTACCATTTACTTATAGTGCTAAAAGAGGCGTTCATTATTGGAAGACATTTATCAAACATCTACATGCAACTTGATCCGAGTGAATTGAGATCAAAGTTAAATCGTTACTGTAAATCGAAATCCTTACAATAAGTTTCATTTATTTTTTTCACAAACTTAAATTTATTTTGTATATTTTCAATCCAAAAATATGTTCTAACTATAGCCTATAGTCCTATTTAAAATTTCAGATCATTTCCATAATTTTGTGGACTGGTTCTCTTCTGATAAATGTCATTTCATATCTAAAAAAAATGTGTTATTTCGTTGATGTTTCTGTTGCCTGTGTGCAATCGAAGCTTATATTATTATATTCATAATAATATGTAGAATATAGACGGGATTTGCAAAAACAATCGCCGACGAATAATTGATTAACCGACTGACCGCCGCTTGATTTATCTACACCATTAGGTAACACTGTAATGCGTTTGCTTCGGAACTTTGGTCGGGCAGACTAATTCGACCAACCATAACAAATCTAAGCCCGAGATTATGTGAATTAGAACGAGTTTTTCATTAGGATCGTTCAGTCTACGTCAGATTAAAGTTATCATCCCATGTGCCGTAGCTTCTGTAATATGTTTTTTATAATGATTATACACAACGACTATTCGAGCAATGTTAATATTATGATAACAAGTTTATTGTTACTTAAAGCATAATATAGTAAAATAACATAAATTCTACAATCTCAGTCCCGTCTTAAAGATCTTTGTGTTCTGTTTATTAGCCCGAGAGCTAGCTATCATATATTTTGTCTTTTAGCTTCGACGCGTAGCTGAGAAGGTATTGATTTTAGAATGAAGTGTTTTATTTTTAAATATTTTTGTGTTTCCACCCACGATATCCCCCAAATCGCCGAACTTATTCTTTTAAGTAGCAAGTTTATGGATCAGAAATAGTACCTGAAAGTTACTATACCTGGCAAAACATTTGAATAGCTCACTCCTACACCTTCAAAATCGAGAAAAACACTAAAATAATGTACATATTTTTCAACTTTACATTACCGTGTGCTGAAGGTTTTTTTTTAAATCGTCAAATTAGTTCCAAACGTGTATGGAATATTATTAAGATTAAAAAAAGTTACCACCACTGTCATGAGCAAACGTGAGACCTTTTATAATTAAATGATTCAAAAAAGTATTCGTCAATATTAGAGTAACTTGTGGAAATATAAGTAATATTATTAAAAACTAGGGGTGGGCCGAAACTAGAATCGATATTAGTGGTATCGGTTTGTGAATTCAGATTTGAGTTTTAAAGACTATTACCGGAAAAATATGAATATAAATATTAGCATTGATTAGAAATAATATTATTATAATCAATGATATTAGCTTTTTAAAATACAACTTTCTTTTTAGGTTTATAGCTTCTATTATAAATTCTGTTCTATAATAAAACAATCAATTTTCGACTAAAGTCAAAATATTTGACTTAACCTTGTTCATAAACAACTATATTTATCTAGGCAATGTTAATATGTTCATTCCGAAAGGTAAATTTCTGCGACTGGCGATTGCCATTTGCCATTATCAAAGCGAATACCGTTTTATATTTTTTTATTGACTATATTATAACCATTGCCCTCAATATTTAAATAACATTTGTTTAAAAATTATAACTAAAATACAATAGAATATTTGCACTATTACATAATAATCTTTTCTGTACTATATCATAATATATTAAACAATGAAAAACTACATTTTTAACTAACTGCTTGTAACGATAACGAAATAATGAATAACCTTTAGATTACATGTAACATTTTTTAAATGTTTTACACAAAAATGATAAAAATTGACTTTTAGCCGTTTGAAGACAGCTGTTCCGTTATCTAGTATCGTAGCCAGAGGTACACCAGGGGCATGTGCGTGCCCCTGTCCTCTCCCAAAATGTTTTATTTTTTGCTAATTTCTACAGAAATGAGTTAAAAATAATATATGAGTAAATATTTTATAAAAACAAATCTTCATTGTTTTATTTAAAAAAAAAGGAACACCAAGCAAAATCAATACCTAAGTTATTTATGAATAAGCTATGAATTATATGTTTTTTAATACAGAATTTTAGTGAATAATGTATCTGTAACACTTAGTCCTCTACTTGAAATTATGTCCTAAAAGAAATGTCTTGCTACAGTACAGCAACTGACAATTATATAACAGCTAATATCATATTAACTAACTTTAATGAAATTAGTATTTTATCATTTTTGTATTGTACTCTACAGCGGTAGCGTAAACAATATATTGATCAACGTTATTATCTCTAAATAAATAAAATACTTTTGATATAATACAAAACACTCTTTTCTGTTGAAACATTTTTACAATTAACAGTTTTATCTAAATACCATAATTCATTGGGTATTTATGTTTAAAATGTTCAAAAACTTAAAACATATTTTATGATCACACATCAAGGCCAACTTGAGTTAGGTAGAAATAAGAGTCCATAATCTCGCAAATCCAACACCAAAATGTCTAAAATAAGATTTGTAGGCAAAAAAAAAAGTAGTTTTAATGTTTTATTTTAACAATGTAGTATGGGATTTCAATATTATCCCGAAAATTCGAATTCCTCGAAAATTCGGAAAATCACTAACCTTTGCCGCAAGGTCCTCTGGTCAACAGTTCCCAGCAGTTGTTCTTGTAGAATACTTTCTTTTTGGTTAGACACTTTTGGTATTCGTTCGCGTTGTCTTCGGGTACCGCGTATGGCTTGGAGGCCAATGTCAAATCCGCCAAGTGAAAACTGCCAACTGACAACGTCGACGTGGACACGGACAGACAGACAACGACCAGACTAAACCACATAATAACAACAGTCAATTAACCTCGAATGGCTCTTCTACTATGTTGTACGTTAGTCGCTATGGTAGGCAAACTTCAATGTCTAAGCGTTAAGGTAAAAACCTGCAATGGATCACTTGGGCGACTGACGCGGTGACAACAACGGCAGTATCGGTCGTTGGTATGCCTCTTCCGTTGACCGTAGTTGAACGTTAGACGAATAAACAAGGTAATCCAATGTTTGTGTGCATTATGCGCGTCTCTCCCTTCCAAGCCGACTGTTTTTAAACGGTTAAGAATAAGGCCTTGAAGTGTATTTATATGTGTATGTACTACTATTATTACACAGATTGTTATATAGTATACCACGCGTCGCCACGTCATGCTTGGCAAATCATATAAATTAGTTATTACACTTACATCGTGTTAATTATCTCGCTAAAATACAGCGATGTCTGCAAATCATTTTCGGACTAACTTCATTCAGCTTGGACGGCATAAAAATAAACACTTTATGGACTGTAGAATGACACTCCGAACTTTTTGTCCCACTTATCTATTAAACCTCCTAGGAACGTCTATAAATTACAATGCAAAGGTATAATAAATACAATAAAAATTTGCGTAGGTATTAAAGATACCAGTTAACGTTTTAAAAAAACCACCGGAAACAGAATATAATAATATGTCGGCCTATAAATAAAATTAAGATTTCTGGAATTTACCATGCGTCATTGTGATAAAAAAAAACTCTGCTGATTTAAGTCATTGGTTGGGTAATGATATAAACAGTTTTTTTAATTACATTTTTTTCTCTTTATTTTCACACAAATGTTATGATTAGTAATTCGAAAAATTGTAGTACTACAATTACTATTTTAATTAATGATTTTGAAATAAATTAGTCTGCACTTATTGTTGTAATAGAGATAAAAAAGGGACAAAAAGTCCTATAGTGATCACTGATCAGTAAACTGGATTTATAATATATATGTTAACACAAATTTACAGTTTTATTAAATACAACACAACACACTTTATTCTAATATTATAGTTCCTCAACTAGAAGTTTTAGATTTAATATGTAATTTTTAGGTGTCAATTTATGATCAATCAAATTAAACTTACAATTACTAATTGAATCTAATAGCCGATTTTCGGCGGAAGACATGTAGATAGGTACAACAAAAAATATGTATAAAACCATGAACTATTTTGTTAATGGACTTGACTTAAAACCATAGATTTTAGTACTTTCAGTTTTTAAGTATACGAATTGGAAACGAGTTATGATTTGTAAACAATTAGAATTTATCTATTTAATTATTGTATGTATTGAGTAGAAAATCAATCATTAGGTCCATTGCAAATGTTAATAATATTATCAGAAATTACTTATGTACCTAACTATATTATATTATTTATATTACCATGTAACAGATATTATTAGAAAATTTTCATCTGTTGAAAAAAATTACTATTGTGCAGAAATGTGTGCTACTTGGGAAAATGTTAATGTAAGGAGGTTATAACCTAATAAGAAGCGAGAGTATCAGTAGATTTCCAAACGGGTCAAATTAAATACCTATATAAAACCACAGAAGCGATAATTATTTAGGTTAAATGTTTAAGACCGACTGTTTGCTTTAATCAATATATTAATGTTAGCACATTAATACTTATACATTATTTTAATTTTTTTTATTATAATTAAGCGTTTACATTATAATGTGAAATTTTTACAATTTATGTGTTAGCTATATTATGTGAAAAAAATTGCGGAATAAATTAAATATATTTTGAGTAAAGCAAGATAGTGGCAAATAGCAATTAGGTCAATGATTTCAATTTAAATATATTCAAGGTAAACTATAATAATTAAAATGTGTAGGTACTAATAAATATTATGTATAATAATATATAATATTTTCAGAATTATATTATGTCTGCATGCTTAAACAGTTTTTAAAAAAATAATAATGAAGTATAATACTTATAGGGAGGGGTGTTGTAAAAAAGTGGAAATTTAAGTTATGTACGTATAAACATAAAAATTAAAACTCAATTTAATGTTGTCATCATTTGGTGTTAATGTTTACCGTGGATATACTCAACCTTACATAGATTTTATAAATGTTCTAGTAATATTTATTCAACTTAATTAATAGTGATTGATAGAAAAATTAACGTGAAGCGTTGGTTCGAAGGCCATAATACAGTCACAATAAAGTAATAAGCTAATACGTATAATCCAAGTACTATTTACATTTTTAAAATAAATTTAAAAAATATATACATATAGCTGTTAGTAGTCTTATAATATTCTTTTATTATATCGACGTTTTATAGGAATAGACATGGGTCTCCTAATTGATAACTGCATAATTAAAAAATAAGTAGCGAGCTTTTATGCTAAATATAAGCGAAGGTATACGAGTATTATAGTGGTGAAACGAAGTACAATAATCAACATTAAAATATAATAATAGCTTTTTAGTTATAGAAAAATACTATACTTTTAGTATTACTACTTCGACGTCCCCGAAATATATATACATTTTTGTATTTTTATTTATATATTTGCTTAAGTATAATTATTAGTTAATCTGATGAAACCAGATCTAAACAACTGATATTATGATATTGAATTGTCAATAATTCAAGGTTAGTGTAGTATTATTTATAAGCCATTTCCTGTATAAATAAAAAAGAATGTTTAAAAGTAAATTACAATATATAATAATATATTCACCATACACCAATAATATTCAAAACGAATTTCAAGTTGATTTTTAAGTTCTAACTATTATATATTATATTGTGTAGTCACGAATATAAGTATACCTACTAAAAATGTGTGTTTTATTATAATATATAAAAAAAACATGAGCTATATGATTAATATTCATTAAGTGTCGGAATAACAAATGAAAAAAACTTCTATACAAACGTGAATGAACTTGTTGTATTTGTTTACAAAAGTAATGATTCAAGAGGAATTCTATTGCAGTATAATATTATATGTCTTGAACTACTACCTGACAGCGGCAAGCCCAAAATAATAATAGTAATAAAACATTTTATAGGTTATCACTTATCAGCTACCTAAATGCATTTTTTTTTACACGTTAGTTTTTTTTTCATCCTGTTTGTTCAGCCATTGATAATAATCATTGTTACACCTATATACGATTCAAAGTAACATCAATAAATATTTACATTTTACTATTTTTTTAATAGCTAACAAATTATACACATTGTTATTAAAATCAGTAATATCAATTCATTTAAGAAACTCCGATGATTTTTGTTAATTATTAGAAGAGGAGAATATTAGTTTATCTAGTACCGAATACTACAATGAGAAACTTAAATTATTATAAACTACAAAAATGTAATACTTTAATATACCTTTATAATATACTTTAATATAGTAACAAAATGTGTGAATAGTAAATTTAATAACATATTATATATACGCGCATTATACATATATTAAAGATAATTATTATAATCTGTGCCAATAAAAACTACAACATAATGTATAAAGATTATGCACCAATAATAAAGATATGATTTCCTGTTATTTAAAATGTTTGTATAACTGTACTTTTAAATTTAATTTTTTCCCATCTTAAGGTCTTTTTTCGTTTTAAAGGAAACAACAAAAAATGTATAAAAAAAAGCACTACATTTAAAATGTTTTAATTATAGTCTATAGATATGCCGACTATATTAATTTATCTGTCAGAGTTTACGAGATTCATATCTACGAATACATAGTTCAAAAATATGCTACCTTGGTGATTTTAAAATCTAAAAATAAATACAAATAATTAAACAGTCATCAGTCTGACAGAGTAGCAAAACAAGATATTATCGCAGTTGGTTATTTCAAAAATTAAAATTAAATCAATTTTTCTTCCGTGTTAAAATATATCCATATCTTAAATAATACGCTTTAATAGCAGATGAATATTATTTTTCTTATGTTGTGCAACATGTATGTGCAACGTATATAATTACTAAATTTAAAAAATGTACAACCAAAATAATTGATAAGCTTGTAACTGTCAGCTGGGATTGTACAAATGTTATGCTGTATTGTTTTTTTTTACTTAAGTAATGAATATAACTTATTTATAGAACATATTTTATAATAATGTAATAAACAATGTATAATTTAAAAAAAAAAGATAATCATAACCTAATAGTAAATAAAAACATTTAAATCATATAATGTACTTATTCTTTTCAGTCGTTTTGGAAAAAAAAAAAAAAGTAATCTAGTCGGTAATTCTAGTCATATTTTTACACACGCAGTACTATAATTTATTTTTTTCTGTTTCTATATTTCAACTGATATTAATGTATTTACTAAGTAAAATCGGTCCTAACAACCAGTAGTTATCCAAAAGTGGTTTTCGACCAGTAAAACCACATTTTATAGAAATCTCTAATATTTAAAATGGCTATTTTATATTTTTACTAAGCACTTTTAGTTAGGTACCCATTCCAAAAAAAAGCCCGTACAGTGGGGTCGGCACTCGAGGCATAGTGAGGACGCAACATAGGTAGGACAGGGAGGTCACGGGTCTACAAGATTAGTATTATCGTAAAAGTGATAGCAGCCACTTTCAAATAAACGTTTCGGATGCCAATCTGTGGACACTGGACATCACTTTGGTTCTTTGTCTCACCGTGTTGCTTTAAGGCACCTGTACACTGTAGATTTTTTTCGTAGAGCACTCTAGCAGTTGCTTTTCTAAACTCTAGCTAGACCAACAAACTGTAGATATTGTAAACAACAATCGACAGTGTACAAGGAGATAAGACGCTCTAGCTAGAGTAGTCTAGGTCTATTCAACATGCTAAATAGAGTAAATAGAGCGCAGTCAAATATCAACAATTTACCTGTACGTGTACAGTTGTTTTTCGATATTGTTTACATAAGTTTATAAGTGTACAAGTTTTGTTGTAATTTTTATTATAAGTAATTGTTTCAAGTTATATTGTTTAATATTTTCTTTTGAATGTACGATCAGTGATTTTGTGTGAGACAGAAAACATATCAATAGAACTCATAGAATCGTTTCCTGGACTTTGGAATTGTTGAATTGTTGATAGAATACAGAGACAGACAATTAAAGGCCAAAAGAAAGTTTCAAAATCTTCGGTGCAATTGAAAACGTTTTCGGTCCGAAATTTTTCGTACTAAGTATTGTCATCAACTACGCTCTAAATGCTCTCGACAGAAATACCATGTACAAATGTACACAGGTCATTGACTAATCTAGGTAGATTAGCTTTACGCGCTCTCAGAGACTACTCTAACTAGAGCAAATTTCTTTATAGTGTACATACACAGCTAGAGCAGTCTAACTAGACTAAGTCTACTGTAGCTAGATTTTACTTTACAGTGTACAGGTACCTTTATAGTGTATACTGTCCTTGGTTTGAATCGTTTACCATCCACAGACTCGCATCCCCCCACTATGCCCCGACGCAACTTTACTGATTTTTTTTTTTTGTATAGGTCATTATGTTTTCGTTTCGCCGGGACGGTACACTCTATGGATTTTCTCGGCGGCGACTGTAGGACCTGTTAGGAAAAGCGGATGGCGTGGCGTAAATAATAATAACATTGAACGTATATGCGTGTGTGTGTGTGTACACAAGAGGGGTGGCTAGTGGAGTGTGCGCCGGTTGTATATATTATGTGATCGTGGAACGAAGAGGGGCGGGTGGCGGTTTCATTCAGAATGCGTCGCGTGGGCGTCCCGGCACAACCCCATATAACCCGAGGGGTTGGGATGGCTAACGACAGTTCCTGGACGACCGTCGAAAGCTCGACAACCACAAGCGCCTCATACTCTCCACACGCGCGCTTGCTTGCCGAGCTCGCACAAAAAGCGGTGGTCAACGACATTTTACACTGTACGAGTGAAAAAAACCAATTGACGGTAAGCAACGTTCGTGTTATTGTCATTATTATTATTATAGTAATTTTTAAATGTACTGCAAGTTTAAAATACTATCTCTCTATATTTTACACACCATCGTATCATCAAAATATATTGAATATGTCCCGAAATTGCTGTTGTACTGGTTATATCTAAAACAACTATGGAGGTAAATAGTAATTGTAATTTATGAATTATTTTATACATTTTTTTTTTATAATTCCCCACGCGCAAAAATGATTAAAAAAATCGATTTTTAAATGTTTATAAAAAAAACCTGTCAAGCTAGTTCAACATATTCGTCGAGTAATACAATTATAAACTTTTTAAAAGAAAATAATATATTTTACACTCCCAGTCACAAGCCATTAAGCTTACAGAGATAATACATGAATTTATATAAATGTAACTATTTTATGTAAATATTGTTTAATTAAAAAGAATAAAAGTCCTTGAATTTTGACCTAAAATGGAAAATATCTGAATTGTTGCAACAGTAATTCTAGGACTTTTTATCATTTAAAGCTTAATTATTATAAATAATTTTTTTTTTGTACTGAAATCCTAAGATTATTATGATAAAAATCTTTATAAAATGTGTTTTTTAGAATTGTTTACTTGTTTTGTTTAGTATACTTCATATTGTGTTTTTACTTTACCTAACTAACTAAATATATACTAACCAACCCTAAAAAAATACTTCAGAAAAAATTGTAAAGCATTAATAAATTAAAAAAAAGTACATTTTAATCGGAAAGTAGGCTAATATTTAGAAAAATGGTATAAATTTCAACTTGATACCTCCGTTTCCACCAAGTATAACCGCGAAAGTTATGCTAAAAAACAAGATACTGTAAAATGTATGTGTACAGCAGACTCATAGGATAACTAACCTTAGTAAAAAATAAAAATACTTTACTCTTTCAGCTACGCACGAAAGCTAAAATTTATTAACAACTTTACAAAAAAACATTATTAAGAAAGACTAACGATTAGTGGGAAAATTGCGCGGTACAATAATAATAATAATACGTTGTCTGCTGAATATTTAAGTTTTGCCCTTTTTTAATTCCCTTTTGGATGTTAGTTTTAGGATTCATAATTAAATTGAACTTTATGCGTGGGCTATCCAAAGTTTTGAATTAAAAAACTTGTATCTATATATAAAAACATATTGCATCAGCTATTTTAAAAAATAAAAACTATATTTTGTTAATCAAACAAAGTTACCACAAAATATTTTGTAAAGACTATTGTGTTTTGTCATTAGAAAAAACTCGTAATCGTAGAGACCGACGATGTACTTAAAGAACTAAATAAAAACAATTACTTTTTGATTTTATAGTATAATTTAATTCAGTTTTGTTATAAAAAAAAAAAATAGAATAAGAAGAATATATTATAATCAAATATTGTGAGTAAAAATCTTTAATTTATTACTTTTTTAATGGCCGACATCGAAGTCAGGGAGGGGGGAGGGGGTCTTAAATTAAGAGTGAAAAAGATTCTACACGAAAAATACGAATATAGAAATAGCGGACACCGGGTAGTACAGAAAAAGAAAATGGGCAACCCCAAAATGTTGTTCAAAATACGCCACTGAATATGGGTTATAATATTTTTTAGGACTTAACAACTTGTTTTAAAACTTTAGAAACATCATGTGAATTGAAGTATTGCGTGTTTTCCGACATTGACAATTCTTGCGTCAAACTATATATTTTTTTGTACAATTACTCCTACTCAATTTGTGTTTTCCACATTACTCAAGTTACAAGCGTTGCGGTGCAGGTAATTTCAGCGAATTCGTTAAATAATTCTTTACCACCCACGCTAACTGTATACTGTGTACAATATATATATTTAAATTTTGGTAAAAAGCTCAGTCAAGTACCTTACCTACTTACCCTCTTTCGGAGAACGCGTTTGGCAACGTTAAAGATTAAAAGCTTACTTGAAACGTTAAAATATTCAACAACTCCATTGGCGTGGGGTTGAAACTTTTGAACGCATTTTGTTTCCTGTACAGTTTCCGGTCGCTGATCGAGAAATGGTTTTTGATCGTACTACATTAATCTTACACGGTAGGCTGGAAAATTATATTTGAACACTTGAATTTCATTATTAGTTCAAAGCTTTAATACTATAGTATGTTAACACTGAGGAAATGTAAATTTATTCGATGTGGGTTTTTAAATTATAATTTTACTCTATGCTTACTGTACAGATTGTATATTGTATAATATACTTAATAAAAAAGACTATTTCAAAAAAAAACTTTACTCTAAAATTTTTTTATAACTACTTATGAAATAATTTTCATTAATGACTAGACAGAATTTATAATATAGTCAAAATTAAATTCCATCATGATAATATTTCAAACAATAATGGCTGTTTAAAAAAATATATACTCATTCGTAGTCCCTTGCCATGTCTTATCCAGAAGAAACTCAATAAAAAATGCAGAGTTAAAGTATAGGTTTAGCATAATTTTGAGGTGTGCACAGTATTAATAATACAATAATAAGTTTTAGAATTTTCAATTGATTCATTTCATTAGCCAAATATGTAGGATGGATGAGATCTGTGAGAAGACTAAACTCGTCGCAGATAAAATGAAACTTTCATTTAATCTTTGGTGACTTTCCGTTGTCAATGATCAACGTACACCAACAAAAAATAATCTTTGTTTTTATTTTTTGATAGTGCTATGAGCTTATGTTTTAGAAAATACTATATTGCAAAAAAGAAATATTGAAAAATAAATTTAGACCGAAAGTGATTAGACGTATTCGATAAAAATATTTGAATACCAATACGCAAATATTTTACAACACTGATTACATCTGTAATTTAGCCTAGAACCTAACAAACGGTATGTTTCTGTTTTGTTTTTTTAGATGCACTTGTGGGAGGAATTGGCGGTGATCATTTGCTTGACGGCCACTGCTGTTTTTGCGGACGGCCGTTATAGTAAAGAAGGTCTAATACAAAAGCAAAACAAGTACAACTCGTGGGCCCCAAACCGCGCTGGCTTGAGCGATTGGTCGTACAGTGGCGGCGTTCCATCGAGCATGATGAGACATTATCCCGTGTCACTGAGCAGATACCAGCAGGTCATTGCGGACGCGGCTGCGGCTGCGGCGGCGAACAGGCAACAACAGCACCAGATGCAACCGTTGACATTGTCAGAATACTACGATGCTGCGTTGGCCGCGATAACCGGCGAAGGTGTAGACTTAAACCCATCGTTCGAGCCTAGAGTATACGGGCCCAGGACGCCTTACGATGCAAGACAGTCGTACGATCCTAGACAAACTTATGATACCAGATCAAACGAGGTGTCCAACTACGCGGTAGTCAGATACCCCAGTTACAGCTACTATCCTCCGGCCGTTGAAGGTTTGAGCGGTAGCGGACGTAGGTTTGACGGCGGTAATGAAGAGGATGACAACAAAGAGAGCAGCTTTGAAGACAGATTGCGGATGGTGCTGAATGAAGACGAGTCGAGCGGCCGGGATGACCCAATGCTCATGTCATCGTACTACCACGATGAGCATCCTGCGTCCCTAGAGAGCCGCTTCCGGCCACAGCAGTACTACTGGTCATCACCGCCTCGGTACAACTCGGCCGACAAAATTCATAAATACCGCAATCTGTTCATGTCCAATCCAGTGTCGCCTTCGAATGCGTTTAAGTCAGCCAAGGAACAAGAATTGCACGATTTCTGGGAGTCGCTCATTCAGGGTGACTTGCAAAAGCCATCCGAACGTGACCCATACGCTAGGCACAAGCAGCTGCAGATGAGGCAACAGGCGGCGTACGAAGCCAAACAACAGTTTAGGCAGCAGCAAAAGCTAGCGGGACAAGACGACAAAGATGACAGCGACGACGATGGTGACCGAATGAGTTCCAATTCTCGGCCTAGTCTGTACAGCCAATGGGCCAACGGGTCGCCTTTGATCAAGCGGTCTCTCGGGAACGCGGACAACGATGACGTCCGTCAGTTGGAACAATTAAAATGGACGGCCACACCAACAACGATGACGGCGGCCAAGGCCATTACTACCACGCCGGCAGTCACTGGGCCAATGGCCGACGGTGGCCAAAGGGAGTATGTCCTGCCCAGGCCGGCAAGTGAAAAGTCGGGATTGGAGAGCTTGTTGGAAGTAATAGCCGAGGGTGGCGTCCACGGTTTACCGACTCAACCCGATATGCAGCAGCTACAAGTGAGTACTCGTTGTCACTGAGCATTTATTGTACTATATAACAAAAGCAATAAGCATTGCCTGTAAACTTCTGATAACTATAATAAACATATATTTTGGTTAAGCAATACATTTTCAATGTTTATATGGAAAGAAGTTAACGCGTTTTACAGAAGTTGGTGTACAAAATTTTGTATTAGATTGATGATGATCTTATAAGACGGAAGTCTTGTTGCGTTACGCGGTTTTTGTAATATGCAGTGAGCAGCGGGTAACTTCTAGAGTCTCAGTAGTAGAATTTATTTATTATCCCCTCGTGTCTCATGTATTCTTTGAATTGGAGCCGATAAGACGTCCATTTAAATGGCCAACGAGTCTCAGGAGAGCAAGGCATCATAATTTTGGTTCTATAAAGACACATTCGGTCTTCGGAGTTTATTTGTGATGGTAATTTGGGACGAATTCAACCTAAGCCTAGATATTTAAGTTGGCGACGCGTTTATAGACAAGATCCAGGTATTGATCTAGATAGGTATTATAAATAATGTAAAAAGGCAAAATGTTAGTCATTGCTTTAAAAAAAAAAGTTTCACAAACTTTTAACTCTAAATTGTAAAATTAAATAAATTATTAATATTTGTTTTATGAAATTCACTTCACTCGAAGACAAATTTTATTGCTGTTTGTATTGATAAAAGGATGTTCACACGTATAATTAATTTGAATTGGCGCTTGGTTCGAACTAAATTGTTTTAAAAAATAATTAAATTTGGAAAAAAATATGTAATTAGAGATTAAATTTGCAGCACAGTTATTTTAATTAGCAGTTCAATTTCGCTTAGAATTATGAAATGGCTATTATACATTAATCATAGTTATTTATAATGACATGAGGTTCAGACGGAAGTTTTTTGGAATACAATAAATTATTTTCAACATAATCTGCAATAATAGAATCAAAAAACTATAAGCTTATATTTAAATAGATACGTCAAAGAATACTATGGTTTCAATATACGGATTAAATGTTGGAATGGGCTATCCACTTATTTGATGTCTAAGAAGCTTGATGAAGTATTAACTTATAAGATCTGTAACAAAACAGAAAATTAATAATTTACTACAACGTAGGTTATACGCAAAACATTTTTTCTTTTATTTATATTTATAAAAATATAAAGTAAATTATTATTCAGGTGGATTACTTAGGCGCCTCGATATTACCTACTCTTAATTCCGCATAAGTTATGTATTTCACGTTCGAAACATTATTGGATTACACACAAACATAAACGTTAAGGATGTTATAAATTAAACATTAGGACGGACGACAATAATATAAAAACATCTGCAACGAAGGCGCACGGTGTATGCAAAACAGGTACATGAATGAAACCGACAATACAGTATGAGTATCGTATATTACTTAACGTTTTTAATCTGCAAAAATGACACAACACAACATTTATTTTTTAATATTTTTATGCATTTAAATAAGTCAAAATAAATGTACAGCATAAACTTTAATATTAATATGTGTTTGAAAAAAAAACCGTTATATATATTTAATGAGTGTATTGATATTTAATTATTAATTAAATATATTATACATCACGGACTTTATACAGATTAGCCATTCTAATAGCAAAAATGGCAGCGACTGACAATAACTCATTAAATGCATACAAGCCGCTGTTGCTATTAAAAACCACATATGACTATATGAGATTATACATATACTCAAAGCTGGGAATTATTTAAAGAATTTCAAACAAAGCACAGTGTTAACCAGTAGGTACATTCCAAACTAGTATTGTTTAAATTTGTAAAGTATGTATCAAGTTTCGTCTTGCCGTTTAAGCCAGTGTAGTCCGAACAAATTACAGCATAAACCAAGCTCAATTATAAATTAACATAGTGATTCAAGAGGGTATTTAATTTGAAAGTGATTTAATCACTTTTAAAAGCTTCGATGCTATAACCTAGTACAGTATAAATTAAGTTCTGACTATACCAACACAGTATAAAAATTGTACTGGTTAAGACAAAACTTGATCTACAGGGTTAAACTATACTAGTTTGGAATGTACTGGTTATGGTTGTGCTGGTTAACACTGTGCTTGGTTTTTTCCTTTTACATTTTATTAAACTACCTTTTCATTTAAAAATGTCATATAAACAGCTCACTTAAGTAATGTTTCCTCATGGAAGATTACAATTTTAATGTTCATTGCGCAAAAGTTAAGATTGGTTCGTTAAAAGATAGTACAGAGTTTGATCGTCTTCATCTATAAGACGGATCTTAACGGCTTAAAATAAGTTCATTTTTAACAACCGATTTGATTAGAAACTCATTTAATAATATCAAACTTTGATGCATAATATTTTGAATTTTTTAAATGTTTTGTACGCGTGTTTTATATACATATATGTGATTTTGATATGTTGTTAATTTTAATAATAATTTTGTCAATGCAAATTTTATGCAACCTGATGATGGCGGAACACCGAAACCAGTAGTTACCAATAAAACATTTTTAATACCCTATTTCTATGTAGTAATGAAATTAAACAAAAATAAGACCAAAGTTATGTCACGTAGCAAATTGAATAAAAAGCGGCTAAACATAAATATTAAAGGTGAACCTATTGAACAAGTGCAAAGCTGCTGCTATCTTGGTAGTACAATAAACGACGACAGTAAAAGCAAGTTAGACATAGTAAATAGGATTGCACAAGGAAAAAGAGCATTTCAAAACAAAAACCACTTACTAACGACAAACAGTGTGAGGCTAGACACAAGGGAAAACTTTCTGAAAATATATGTATGGATTGTAACACTATACGGATGCGAGACCTGGACAGTAAGCGCAACTGAGAAGAAAAAATTAGAAGCTTTTGAAATGTGGTGTTACCGGAAGATACTCAAGATTATATGGAGCGACAGAGTAACAAATGAAGAAGTTGTCGGACGAATTAAATAAAAAAGACAAATTTGGAAAATTATAACTAAAAGAAGATATAATATGATAGGGCATACTTTGCGCAATGAGAGCTTGCTGAAGCTGATTATTGAAGGATATGTGGATGGTAAACTGGAAGAGGAAGACATAGGTAGTTATCGAGATTTGAAGGAGCTGAGTTTTAACAGAGAGGCTTGGAGAGCCGCGGCCAACCAATCAAAAGATTGAAGACCAAAAAAAAAATAAAATACAACATAGTGTCACATAATCTCCACAGAGAATAAAAACGTTAGACGTGCCGACAGCCGACCGAATACAAAATAGTGTGATCATAGTTTTTGAACAAACCGTTTGAAACGAGATGGTAAGAAAAGGGATAATAAACATTTCTCTTGTCACGGAGTTCACGAGTATTTTCTAACACTGAGGTCGACGTGCGTGTGAGAGAGTAACGGGGGGGGGGGGGGGTGAAGTAAATTTATTTTTGAAAGTCACCGTACACGTAATCAAAGCGATTGTTGAATACACGACGACGTGGCCCGGCGAGGGACATGATTTACGTTTGCCGGAGTTTACACCAGCCATGACGTCAACTGTACGCCTGTGTAATCGATACGGTCGCGCCACCGTAGTGCTGCAGCGGCGGTAGTCTGGCGGATTCTTGAATGGAGGTCGGACACATAGTCGGTATGACGTCAATGCTGCTGAAAATAACAACTTATTCCGTCGCTGAATGAAACCACCCCTTCGGGCTTCCTTCCCCGGAACGACGGCCGCGCAGCCCGACGACTTACTGCGTTCGGCCAATCACACCCTTCCCATGCACTGACGTCACGAACATCTGGATGTCGGCTAACGCGAAATGGCGTCCCAGGGAACATACTTTACTTACATTAGGGCGAAAAATAAAATAAAGTCCGCCGTGTCGTCGTACGCCCACTTTTAAAAGTTCTTATACAAAATATATAAATTTCTCTTTTTCTCCGACTCGCACGCTAATTTTATTATTCCCGCAGCGTACACTTGACCGTAATGACCTGTCGCGCCGTTTTTCGCATCACAAACCGAGTGAACCTGACCTCGTATTTCCTGCAGGTCGTTTAAATAATATTCAACGACATCCACTCGGTTACTTATAGCGCAATTTATCGAAGACCTTTTGCATTGTGACTGCTCCATTAATCTGTCATAAGATGGCCGAATTTGATGGATCAGCTTTGGTATAATATTATACTTATATGTTTTACTTATATTATATGTATACTATACTATACTTATACTTATATGTCACAAAGTGGTGACATATGGTTAGGTATGGGCGCTTTCATTGTAAAGCTATGGCCTATGGAACAATATATTTAAATTGAGATTTTTGTAAATGGAGGCCAACGAGTAACATGGACATAACATTTGCTTCTTGTGTAAAAAAAATGAATCTTGTGTTGTTTTTATTGAAAAATTAAACTTAAAGCTTTCTCCCGAAAAGGCTGGTATTCATTTTTATTCACAAACTTTTCATAACTTGTTCAGTTTTTTTCCAGATAGTATTATTTTTTAGAAATTAAAAAGGGTGTTTAGTCGTCTAACTTATTTTTTTTTTAAATGTCACATTGACCTTCTTTGAAGTCTCAAAATAAATCTGTGTCTATGACAAAGCGTTCATTTTTTTACAAAAAAACATCCAAGCTGAAATGTATACAAGTGTAAAAATGCGGGTCTATTGCAAACAGCGGGCGTCAATGGGCATCCTCTTACCCTAGCCGTTGAATACGACATACGTGAGGTTGAATTGATCGGCTTTATTCCATTGGCAAATTATTCACACGCGAATAGCGACAATTATTTTAAATTATTTTATTGAAAAATTACTATGATATTATGAAACAAATAATGAACTTATAATATTTACTACCAAATCCCATAAGATCAAAGAGAAAATATTATTATTTTTAATTTGCTGTGTGGGTCTGACCCTTTATGGTTAGTTATAATTATATAATACTAGAGCGTGCAATTAATTGGATCACTTTAATTGTGAATCATTCAGTTAACGATCGGATGACTGATCTGTAGCAATCTAAGTTATAGTATAGTAATAATTTTGCCAATGGCCGATACAGCCGACGCAAAATAAAATATTTAAAAAATATATATATATAATCGATAATAATTTAAATCACAGCTATTTCAATTTGTGTTATGCTCAATAATTACTGTCTACTATTATGTAAGTAACCAAGTGTATTTTGTTTTGTTTGCTTTCAGTTGCATCAAGTGGCCAAAGTAAATAAGAAAAGAAGTTTGGTGTCGGACGAGACGTCACTTGCCGCTGAGCTCGGCGCTCTCAGAAAAAACTAATGGGATTTTCATTTCGTTTCAATTTATTATTAATTTTGAAAATTAACACATTGATAACGAAATGTACACCGAAAAGCAAAATCGATAGCCGTTAGTGTAAATAACATAATCATTTTTCTTCTGGTATTTTTGGCTCTACGAATACTACTTGTACATTTAAAAAAATACATTAATATTTTCATTTTCAGTTTTTTCGTCGTAATTTTCTTTTAATATAACACTATTTACTACAATATAACTTTAACAATGTGCACGCTGGTTGTACGGTAATTAGTATCCTCTCATTTCTTTTGTAGAGAAAAATATCTACAATTCTTATCAATACCATAATATTCTTATTATTTTTTAAAAGATAAGTTATTATCATATTACGGTAGATATTGTATTTATTTTCATAAAAGGGATGAAGACTGACCGAAAACTGTACCTATTTGCATTTATCGAATGTTTATTATTATAGAAAAACTCGTGTGTAAGTTTATCTATCGGCTTACCTTATTTATAAATTATAATCGAACATATTTTCACTTTAAAATTGACATAATAATGATATGTTTGAAACGTTTAAACTTAGTTATAATTAATATTACATTGACAATTATTATAATAAAGCAAAACTTTTATTCATCTTATACATTGGAAAGTTGATAAACTACATATTTAATAATATATACGACAAGCAAGGATTTTTTATTTTATTCTAGCACTGTAATGGAATTTTTCTGTAACATATTTAATGTGATTTATTCATAAGAAATTATTATTATTACAACTATTATATATTTTGTCAACTTTAAGCTGTAACTTGAGAACTTAAAACGACATTAAAATAAACTACTAAGAACTTATTCTGTTAAATATGCATTTTTTTAACCGTTAATGATTTGGGTTTAAATTTTGTTTGTTGCCTTGAAAAACCTGTGTTGTGTGTACACCAAACAAAATATCATAATCATATCCACTGAAAATATTTGCCTTTTTCGCCTTATGACTTATCCCATCGTCGTTTATTTATTTACTCTACACTTCTAACATTTCTATGGTTTTATTTTACCCTTTACTATTTCATATATCTACTTTTACCTGTATATAATCTTCCTTACTTGTTTTACAATTTCTTTTTCCCTTTAAATTTTCATATAACCAAGCTATTTTCCTGCTATTGGTGCAACTCTCAAACTTCCACTTATATAATCATTCCATATCCTGTCTTGCCCAGTCAACCTAACACATCCATCTCAACATGCCAATTTCAGCTACTTCTATTTCGCTTTCATCTCGTTTCTTTAACGTCCAACACTCACTTCCCTAAAAGATTGGCTGATGGCTCATTACAGTTTTATACAATTTGCTCTACACTCTAAATGACATATTTTGGTCATTCTTACGAATATAACGAATTAAGTCAAACATTGTGATACTCGTTGTGAAAGCAATATGAAAAACTAGTGCAAAAGTTGCGGACCATGAGTTGCGGAAACTGACACATAATAAGACTTATAAGAATTACTTGAATATATATTATCTAGGTCAGTTAAACAAAATTAATTTGGAAATCCAGTGCAGTCATACAAGCAAAATATATACGTAGAATATAATATACAAATATTATCTGTTTTAAATGTTCAAACAACTTTTTCAAAACATGCTTTGTTTGTAATTGTTTATGAAAGCATGATATTGAGGATATCAAAGTAAATATTTCAACGTTGTTTGAAACTATGTAAAACACAAATTGTTAACTATCTTGTTGCTTTTACCAACACTAACCCCAGTAGGTATTATGTTACTACTATTATACTCATATACGGGTCCCATTAATAAGGGGTTACAATAATTGCATGGATTATACTAATTTATACACCAGTTAGTCATAATAAAGTGCTACGGTCTGCCAATTAAACCTAAAAAAAAAAATGGTTTTCCAATACAAGTATAACAACTCAATAATAAATAAAAAACTGTATTATATAAAACAATTCCCCAGGCACTTATAAAAAAGGTTCATTATTAAAAAAAAATCTTCCCTCTTGCTTAAAAAAAAAAAGATGAAATAACAATATGTAAAAGCCATTAAAACGATTTAGACGCTCTTAAGAGCTTTTAAATGTACCATGCACACCATTAAGCCAAAGTGGCATTTTACATTTTCGTTTTTATACGCAGAAAATAATTTTTCATATCAACAAGAGAGAGGTCTAAATGTTGTTCATGACCCATAAATAGTATTAGTTGCGGTTATTATATGCTTCATTAGAACAGCTCATCCCATAAGGTGGACAGACAGTGATGGTATTGACTTGGAAGTCATGGGCGTTTGTATTTGTATTTATAGATATAATAACTTAAAAGAACTTATACCGGGAAAATAAAAAATTTACGAAAATTGATCCAAAGATGTTGCTTATAATTGCTAAATACAATTTATTATATTTTATCAAAAGTGTACATTATTTTTAAAATAACTATCTGTCCAGGCGGTGGCGCCGAACCATTCACCAACATACGGGGGAAACATATTTTACACACTACCGCCAAAAAAAAAAAATCACTCCTAACATAAAATATTTTTAATATTTAATCCAACAGTATGACTTCATATTAAGTCTTCCACTAAGTACAGACCAGCCACCCACTTCATCCATTATATCAATGGGGTATTTACCCCACAAGACCTTCGTGTTCGGCGCCACTGCGTCCAGGTAAGCCAGTGCTCGTCGAGTAAAGTATGGAAGGAAGGTCCCATTTCAGCCTGCAGCGTTTTGAATTCGCAGCTTATGGTCGAAATTCCAACAACCTAAATTTTTCTGCAGCGTTTGATACATTCTTGAAGCGTAATATGTTAAATTCTTATCGCTCTAGTGAAATATTCATCGTTATTCTGATTTTCAATGAGTAAAGCATGGTGTCATTAAACATGTACTAAAAATACAATTAATACGAATTATTCATGAATGCTGGACTAAAAAAAGGGATGCATTTCTACAGGATTTCAGTCTTACAAACACTGATCCTCTGTTAAAAGCAAAGGCAATCATAGGTGCAACGATTTGGTCTCTTTTACTTTCTTCTGTATTTCTGTACGCTAAATTAATTATAAACTCTCTTAACTACCACAATATATGTACTAGTTTCTTATCATGTCGCATTGCCATCTTCTTTTGTACACATTTTACCTGTATATTATTCAACTCTATGCGCTATTCGTTCGACTTGTTTCAAATGCGCCACGGCCATACCTATTTTAACATCTCTTATTTTGACTATCCAATGTGTGTACTTCATATTTTCTAATTCTCAGAGGCCACTAAGGCTCAGGTTTCATTTTCATTTGTTTTAAATACGTGGATTTTAAAATTTAGTTTATAGTATATTAAAGTAAATATTTTATTATTCTACAAAACAATTGAGAATTACCAATTTAAATAAAACAACAACTTCAATATCTACACTATTTACACGCCTTGAGGTTACTCCCATTTGAAGATAGAACATGCAAGTGTTTCGAAACGTTGGCGAACCAGTCAAGATTTCCAAATGGGAGTAACCGCAAGGCATGTAAATAGTGTAAATATAATACCCCATTCAAGTTAAAATACATTTTTTAACTTCAATATCTTTGAATTTTCTACAATTTATTTTAGATACCTTAAAAGTCAACAGTAAGAAATTATTAAAATGTATTGTTTTAGATTCGATAAAGGTATTTTTTTTTTTAATATAAATAAAGCAATGTTTAACTGAATCAAATCCATTAAGTTTTATCACGAGTTAGCTTTAAATTACCAATTTACGACTGAAGGATTTTATTTAATCGATTTTTCTTCTTATACATTTGATTCATATCTTATTAAACAATATATCTATTCTAGAAAAAACTTAAGCAACTTATCGTTATTTATAGACTTTTAGATAGTCAGTCATTAGCTCTGAAGATGACAACATTGTTGCCGAAATACGTCGTATACGTGGAGAGTATATAATTTTTTATGATTAAGGGTTTTAAATATTATTTTTTTATAACATATATCTATTTTTTATTAGTAACACCGTTGAATATCAAATTTGTTTTGATGATCGCTAAATAAAATTAATCGATCTTCTACATAAATATTGATTTAACTGTCAGTGATCAGTACACGAAATGTCTTATGTGAGATAACTTTAATACCTTTCTAGACGGTACCGTGCAAGCTAAATTTGTGTATAAATGCTTAAGTAGATATGAGTAAACGTAAGTATACACGAGGATCAAAATAAAAAAATTAAACATTTATTTTCATAGTAACTATTAATGTAATAATAATAAAAGTTTATGATAGACAAAATAAAGGAAAGAAAATAATCTTATAAAAATAAATAAATTACATATATTTGAGTCTTTTATAGGTCACGCACGTACTTTGTTATATTGGAGGACTAATTCGGGCGTTCGTGATGCACAATCTCTGTAAAAAAGATAAAAAAATACAATTTATGTAACGTGTGTGCATAATATAATAAAAGCATCATTCCCCAAAACGGTTACAGTTGTAAATACGAGGATAATTATAATTTATACAAACCAAATAAAATAAGCATTTGTTTTAAAGCTTATTGGCCTTTACTTTGATATTTTTTTTATCAACAAATTTTTTGATTTTTAACAATCGGCTATAGAATTATTGATTTCAAAAATATCATATGACAAAACATTGTGGATTGTAAATATTATTAAGAAAACTATTTTTTTTTTTTAAATATTTTTTATGATTATAAACACGTACACTTCTGTGTAGCTAAGTGTAAACTTTGGTGTGTATTGTGCATAATTAAAAAGCAAATAGCTAAAATAAATTGAATATTATAATTTACAAGCGAGGACCCTTAGTGAAATAATTGATATCTAAAATTATCTACTTCATGATGATCAGAGTTGTGCATCATTCGAATAAAACAACGTTATCTAAATAATTGTCTATGTAAAACATTGTTCAAATAAAAGTTATTCAAATAATTGTTTTAAATATTATTTATTATTAAACAATAGTTCAAGCTATTATATTGTAAAATATTATTTCAAATAAATCTAATATATACCTACTATTTTTAGAAAATATATTAAACTAGTATACATAGGAAGACAATTTTTTATTCGAATAATAATTTGCACAACTCTGATGATGATCTACTGTCTTTAAAACTAGGATAAACCTTTGTAGATGTCAAAAATAGCTTTTACTAACTAATTCATTTTGCAGGAAGAAATGTATACTTGGGTACATTGCAAAGTTTATTATTTTGTATGATGTAACTTTAGTAAATATTCTTAATAATTAGTTTGTTGTTAAATACTAGAAGTAATTTAAATAAAATTCAGATTTTTTTAACAATTTCAAACTCTCCTTACACAAAATATATAAAACCCGAACTAAAACTTACCGTCTTGGATTCGTCCTTGAACGGGAAACGAACAGTTGAGTGATCAAAAGCCTGAACGGCCTTTCAACCAATATGTAAAGGAACAAACCAGCCACCAGGCACATAATTGTATCAGAAGTAGCATCTGCAAGCTACAAAAAAAAATCATTATGGTTAAAACTTAAAACGTCTTGTAATATACCTTTACGGCAAGCAAATATAGTATAATGTAAATGTATAGCTACCAATAGCTACTTAAACCAGAAATTAGTGTACCCGGTATTATTATATTTGTTTTATTAGTAAACGCAAGTAATTATCAAGTAATAGAAGACTTAATGTGTTGACAAGTAACACAAAATACAATGCAAAGGTCAAAAATAAATGAGTGGTTTGCCCAGGTGATTAAAACAACGAGCTGTATATGTGACGAAATAATAAAATATTAAAAAATATCCTTCAGACTTGTTTACTTTAAACACAAATAGATTTGCTACCAAAATACACGTTTACGCTTTTACTAAAGAGTTTATTACTTTTTAGTTTTTGTGGCGAAGGGTATTTTTATAACGTTTTTTTTAGTATTTTATTACTTTGCTACTGACCACAAATTTTGCTAAGGTTTTTTCTAGATATTTTTTGGCGTTGTGCAGAAGCTGACAGGTTGTATTTTCGTTAATTATGGCGAGGATAATATCTTTTTACCTAAACGGTGTAGAATATAATTACTATGGTTCTAAAATGAAATATTACTAGTAACGAATCTCGTAAAACCTCGTTTCAAAGAAAACATACACCGAATGAGATACTGGAGAGCGGAGTTATATGAATACTCTGTAAACATTCATGACGTTGACATAAATCAGAGATCTCAAAATAGTAGACAGATGCCACATCTTTTTTAATTTCATTTCGTCGAAGGCTGTTATGAAAAAAAATTATTTTTTCATATGTCGGCAATCAGTGTTTCCGTCAAACTGTCTCTTGTGTGAAATATATTATATAAAAATGGTTGTCTGTATTTTATTACACTAAAGAGCTGTTTTTTTTTTGTAAACATTAAATGTACAACAAAATGCGATTAAGTTTCAAAGTTTATTGACATGTTAGATTTGCTATTAGTTTTGTTTTGTCTTGTAAGTTCAAACAAAAGGTTTATAAGTTATTATAATTTAATAACATATTGATGACTTACGGTGAAATTCCCAAAGTTATATTAAATTGTGTTTTTAAGTTTTAATTTTAACAATATTTTGGCTTACTAGAGTAACTTTGGATATAGGTACATAGCAGTATAAATATGAATTTTAAACAGCAGATTTAATATCTGTAACAACTGTGAATAAAAGTGTAAATCGATTTCAGTGATTTTACAGGGAAGCGATTTTAAACTTTGACTAGCTGCCATAAATCAGAATTAGGATCAGGATCAGGATTTTTTTTTATGATCCTCTTATATTGATAAATACTTTAGAGGTACTCAAGTGGTTTCTTTCAAGTTTAAAATCGCTCCTCTGTGAAATCACTTAAATCGACTTACACACTTATTCACAGTTGTTACAGATATAACTTTATATATGATGAAGATATTTTAAATACAAATATTATTATTATTATTGTATTGATTGACTAGATATCGCTTTGGTTAAAATAAATTACCGATGTTGAACTTTTGAGATAGAACGGAAATAAATATAAAATATATATAATATAAATATTATATTAAATTTTGTTTAATCACATATTATAAAAAAATGTTAGTTGCATTGTGAAAATTTTACAGAATTTTACTGAAAACTTTAGGGCTTATCTCGGAGTTACTTGACTCAAAATTTAGTTTTGATTTTCAAAAAAGTTTTTTATATTTTAAATGATATGGATATCCGTTATTTAATCTAACGACTAATATCAAACGGGTTTGAATGTAAACTGATAGTCAATATATTTAACTCTCGTGAAGATCAACCGTAACGCCGCCATTGAAAATATAATAACATATCATTATTATTAGAAAAAAAAAAATAATAGAAATATTATTAATCTAATTAAAAAAAGAAAAACTATTAAAATTCTCAATTGAATGAGTATCATTATTCACCAAAAGGATTGTCAAGGTAGAATGATGTTTTTTTAAATGCTTGTGTACATTATAATAAGACAAGTTTATGATCATAATATTATGAACTAACCAATGAATAGGAATAAATAATAATCATACACTGTACATTGTATAATAACATAACATATTATTATGATATAAAATAACCTTGATATACATACAACGAATAAAATATTGACGACACGAGCTTGGGGACGAGTTAACATGTGTGCATATTAATGTCGTTATTAGTAAGACAATAAAGGCAATGCCGGTGATTCGACGAGATCACTAGGGAATAAAAATTGTGATTTATGTATCTCATATATTATCTGGAAGCCACGCACGTGCGATCATTTTGTTTACAAATAAATATTATTATAACAAATAACAAATGATAAAACATTCTATTTTACCCGCAGATACTACAAAATAGGTCTATGGGGAAAATAAAAAAATTACAACGATTTACACACAAACGGCTGGTAGCTATTAACGGTCCATATGTGATGAAATTTAGCTTTTGTTTCGATTAATAAAAAAAACAAAATATTATAACTCGGCCAGTCAGTTGATATCAACAACTTTCATTTTTGCTTTTTCACCGTCTACAAGAGGCTCACTTCCATACTTGAGACTCTAGCAAAAGCCCCTTCAGTTCTGTTTGAGTGGCTCTTCACAATTCTTTAGTGTTTTAATAATTCGATTAAATGAATACAACCTGTATTTAGAATTAATAACATTTGAGTTTCGATGTGGATCTGTAAAGAAATCGATTCTTCAATAAATCTTGTACTTGTTTTTATTTTTGTGTACGGACCCACACACACTTGAATGATCCAAACTTGGTTAATATCAATTTTAGACAAATTAACATTAAGAAAATATTGTTATACATCGACGTGTCCAACAAAAAAAAAAACGTAACACGATTTAAAAAAAAAATTTTTTAACTGATAACACTCGTTTTCTGTATTACAGGCGAAAAAAGTAGCAACTGAATTGTGTTATTCAGAACCTGTTTGGTCGATCAAGTTACTTCCTTATTTGCCGGTAATACAGAAAACGAGTGTTATCAGTTAAACATTTTTTTTTTTAAATCGAGTTACATCCTTCTTCGTCGGACACGTCGATATACATATATATTTATATATTAGAGATGGGAATCCGTAAAGGACTTTAAAAAACGCCATTTAAGGCACTTAAAATTTTTGAAATATTAAATATTATTACAATATATAATAAAACTTAAGTAAAATGTTTTGATGAAAATTTAAAAAAAAAACGCCTAGCTTTGACAGTAAATTGCTTTAGGATTTCAAAAAAAACAAAATCTAAAAGCAATTTATCTTTTTGGTGTTGTGTTTTGTTTTTACATTTTCATCAAAAATATTTTGTAACAGCTTTATATTGTAATATAATAGTATACAGTGGCTTAAATGGGGCTTTTTGTAAAAATCCGGCTTTTTTATGTACATATAGTGATGGGAATCCCCGTTATTTTAGTGACGCATGTTATTCTTTTGTAAGTTGTAAATATTAAACTAAAAAATTATTTAAAAAAATATATAATTACAGTATTATAATATAGTGTTATATTGTATGGGTAATTTAAAGTTAGTTGTGAATAATATACTAAACATTTTTCAAAGTCATGTATTATATTACATTCTAGTAGATAAATATAAAAAAGCGAAGTTATTTATTTTTATTGCTGTTAGTTTAGACGCGCAGTATAATAATTTTTCGAGAAAATATATTTGATCTTGTTATTTATTATTTATCATCCGAGTTTTCACCTACTCGGTATTCAAGGTACCTATACAGAAACTCTAAAGATCTAATGAATATAATAAGTACCGACTCGGTGGTGAAATATTGCGTACTAAACTTTTTTTGAAAAAGTATACTGCGTGCAGTGGGCACTGTTATATATTAGTTTATTCTACAGACCGTAAAAAGAGGTATAATAATGACATATTAGGTTTAATTTTTAAGTAAAACATGTTAGATGTGAATTTTTACTGGAAAATAAAAATAATAGTGACCAAGATTACCGTTCAAATTCTTAAAGGTAATAATCTTGTAATCTTTCTATTAAAATACGTTATATTGAACTTACAAAGCGTCTGATGTTGAAGTGATCAGGAGTTCTCCGGCTGGCGGTGTCGGCTACTGGCAATATTGTGTTCACCATGTAAGCATTGAAATTTAAGCTAGCCAACACAGCAAAAGGTTTCCATGACAGCATGCTCTTTAAAAAGTCTAATAAAACATAACTAGTTAGTTGAGAAAATGGTTGGGCAAACGTTTCGGTATAAGACCCGAGGAAATAGTAATTTTATATACATGTTAAGTGAAACCATGTTATTTTACTATGTTATTTTAACAGATAATAATATTACCGTTTAATTATTAACTATTTCTACTGGAGTCTTTCAAGTATTTTTCCAACAGTTTTCTGGTATAGTAATATTGATTTTCGCTATTAGTAAATTACTTTTATCTAGTTTAATCTTCTCTTATTATTTTTTGCATATAAATGGGATCGACCGTTCCCTCTCACACTTCTATGCCCACCATCTCCTTACATACTCTCTACTAGTGATGGGAAAATCCGGATTTTGCGAAATTCAAAAAACCGGAGTTTTAAACTTCGAAATTCGAAATCCGGAGTTGTAGTATTCGAACTTCGAAATCCGGATTTCGAAGTTTTCGTTATAAATCCGAATCTCGAAGTTCTCGTTATAAATCCGGATTTCGAAGTTTTCATTATAAATCCGGATTTCGGAGTTTTCATTATAAATTCGTAGATTGGATTTCAATTTTTTTACAATAATAAATAAATTATATTTTTTAATTATTTAGTATTATGTACAACGCGTTTATGTAGTGTACAAATAAAAATTGAATTATTGAATTGGTAAATTAGGTATCTGCTTTTATAGTTATAAGAACATTATGTATAAACACGATTTACAAGTCTCAATGACACTTTTATAATAGATTAGAGCAATAAGTTGTAATAATATGAAAAATACACAACACAATATATATAAATTAGGAAAAATAAAAAGTCAATCTGGAATTGTATATGTTTTAAATCTAAATAAATAATAATAATACTAATAATACTTTTTGATATAAATAGTTAAGCAGTAGAACCAATTACATTATATAAAATTGTAGTTAATTTTCGGTTGTTTTTAAAGTAATTGACATTTTAAATAAAATGTGCTACAGTTGATTGGTAAATTGTTCTTGTAATAAAATTATTTTTTACTTTTTAGTTCACTTTTTACTACTTTTTAGAAAAGCATGTTTTTAAAAACAAAGTTTTATTTATTTTATTTTTTACTTTTTAGTCTTATTAAAGGTACTTAATAATTGGTGAATAGATTACTAAATTCATTTTAGAAGATTTGAAAAAAAATTTTAATTTTAGTGAAATGGTCGCCATATTTGACCCCCCGGCATTTGCGACTTGGATGTCTAGGTCCCAATATTTTGACGGAACATTGTATTGTCATCCAAAATGAGTGTCTATCCAAGTGTCCAAGTGTCTAGGTTAAATTTCAGCCTATATGATATCAGGAAGTAGGTTAAATTAATTTTAGAAGATTTGAAAAAAACATGAAATTTTAGTGAAATGACCCCCACATATGACCCTGTGTAGGGCGACCTGGATGCCCGAGTCCCAATATGATAACATTATATTATAGTATCATCCGAGATGAGTGTCTGTGCCATGTTTCAGCCTTCTACGACATCGGGAAGTAGGTTAAATTAATTTTGAAAGATTTGAAAAATATCCGTACAAACGTACGGACGTACAGTACGTGTTAGCGAGTTAAAGAAAAGTATGTAAAAACTACTCAAATATAGCTTACAATTTTTAAATAGGTAATAGTTTTCAATATATCACAAATAGTGAACTGTAATACAGCATACTTACTTTGTATTTAAGCTAGATTACATATATGAAACTTAAAGTTTATTAGAAACATATAACTTAGGGTAATTTAGTTGAAGGGGTCCGATAATAGCATTTCATAGAGGATTAAAAGTCAACTAATTTGAACAATTTAATTTAATAATTTTATTATTTAAACCCAGGTTACGGTTTCTTAAGTTCAAATTTTGAAATCCGGATTTGTCATTAAACCCGGATTCTTCATGAAATCCGGATTCTTCGTAAAATCCGGATTTTTTTCATTGAACTTCGAAAACCGAAAACCGGATTTTACGGATTTTAAGAAAATCCGGATTTATTTCCCATCACTACTCTCTACACAATAGTATAATATGATACATAGCCCATTTATAACATACTCGCCCCCTTTAATATTATGCCGTTCCAATGGCATTGGCATCCATCATTGGTACTGTAATTTCCCCTCGAATGTCAACTCGTTATTAAACAGCATACTACCTGCTAACTTTTCTATTCAAAACATAATTTATTCTATCCATAGCATCGTTGACTTCTCTAATATTTTGCATAGTTTCAAATATACTTTAATTTTACACTCGCAATTATATTTTGTTCTTCGATTAATATAACAATTGCTTATTAAATTGTTGTCTTAAAATTAGCTTAACTTAAAAATGTTTAAAATATTATATAAGTTGTAACCTTATCTATTACTAAGAGAAAAAAAAACTATACTTAAGAGCTCAAAGCATTTTATCACATGCAATCTCAATGCCACCCTAATTCTCATCTTGTATTATGTTACATTATACTCTGTTTTTCAGAATTTATCACAATATAGTTCTCTTGGAAAGATCAAAACTATTCTTAAAATGTGACTCTTAATAGTGCCATACAAAAATATAAAGTTTCTATTTTTTACCACCCCGGCATAATCCTATTGATTTTCTAATCCTTCTGTTTCATTCCTCTACAGCTGAAAGTAACTTAGTAAACTTAACTTAGAACTTACTTGGGGGCCCTAATATTAAGGCATAGAGGGCGGTAACAAGTCCAGCGGCCCAAAGACTTCTGACTGAAGAACCGTATAGGGCAGCCTGTAGAGGATCGTACACGTACGATGGGTGATAAATGATTGCTCCGCTAAACCACGTTGTCATCATTATTATAGAAGAGATGCCTAACAGGAACCAACTTTGTATCTATATATAAAGACATTTAATTTTAAAAAATATACCATAATTTTTCCTTAAAAAAAACATTTTTTTTTTTTTACAAAAAACCATTTCTTACCGCGCTCAATTTGGGTGTACTCTTTTTTCTTTTATACAACAAGTAACCAAATATAGCACCTACGATATAAGGACCAGCTCGCGTGTGTGATTTAATATACATCGACATAAAGTACTCGTCATTAGTTGGATTTGTAGTAAAACTAAACGTGACAAAAAAATGTAAGTGTTATTAGCACTTTTAATATAATATACATAATTAAAAAAATATATATATATAATTTTTTGCACATTTTACAATACGATAATAATGGAATTTTAATTTTACTAATCTAATAATAATAAAGTAATAAGTCAAATTTATTCTCGTAATTCAATGTAACTATGACTATCATTTTTCATATTGTAACTATTTAAGAATATTCAGAAAATGTCTATTTTTATTCTTGTAAAATGCTTGGATATTAAATTTTGTATGTAGTCAATAAGCTACGCATTTCAAAAAAACTCGTCCAAAAAATTATGGGAAATGGATGAGTTTAATCATGAAGAAAATCAATTCAGAATATGGACAAATTACTAAATAGATGTGACATGCATAAAACGCAGTTAATATAAGTTGTGTTGTCAGAAAATGATAGATCCATTTTTCATCATGAGATTATCATGGTATATATATGACATAAACTTAATACATACTAATTATACTAGTATAATTTTATATCAATTATGTATTTTTTATTTAATTAATAATTTTATATTTTTTATATAAAATAAAACTTTTAAGACAAAATTAATAATTTTTTTTCATTTTTTACAATGATTGTAATTTACGCTTTTTACTGTAAATTTAAATGAATAGTAGGTAAGTACCTAACGTGTATAATCATATGTAGTTGTTGTTTTCTCGAAGCGTTAAAGACAATCGAGTTCGGAGGATGATGAGTGCAGTAAGATAATAAATTATAAGGGATGTATGACCTTAACAATGGCTTAGGAACGGGATTAGCGTTCAACACGGGATTTAGGTGAGATCTAAGAAAAATCGCCTTTAACGGTCCATGGAAGTCTGACAAGTGGCATTTACACGTGTTGATTGATCGGATCATGTTGACGCATTGTCGAAAGCTAATATTATAATAAATAATACAACGGTCAAGACTCACTCCATGTTAAATTCGATGTTGGCCGGTTTTTGTCCGATGTACGTGAGAGCGAAAGGTATAGCCACAGAGATAGCCATAAGCGACGAAGTAATGTACATACCGACTCTAGGATTTTTATGGATAATAAACGCTAATGCGATACCCATTATGGTGAAGTGGAATTCGCAAGGCATGAACCATGTGTGGAATCCGCACTACGAACACACAAGAGGGATATTATCAGACGAAAAAGAATCATGATAAAGTATAATAATGGCTATATATATATATATATATATATATGTATGTAGCGTAGAATAGTATTATTATGTTTACCGTCGCATCTGCCTCAATATAGTTGTTTAAATATAACAGACTCAACCACCATGTTTTCCGGCAATTTTCCTTATCTGTCCCAATGAAGTTTTCCCACAAGGGACCGGTACCCATTTTGTATTGGAGGGTTGCGAAAAAGAATATGACCACAGCGTACACGGGCGTCAACCTGGTATGAACATAATGTATTCTAAATTATAATACATTTTAAATAAAAGAGAAAGTAAAAAAAAAAAATAGTTTTTTAAATATAGCCGTTGTACACCGACATGTATATTTTTTTATTATTACTATCAAAACGGTTATTATAATACAAGCGGTTAAGTGTTTTTTTTTTACCTGAAGTATTTAAACACTAATACTTTGAAGGGATGTACAAAAGAAGTGTCCAGGCGATCGAGCAGGATCAGTACCATTAGAGTACCGCTTATAGCGAAAAACGAATCGACTAACAAGTCCATGTGAGATGTGAAAATCGATATGAAATAATTATAGAAAACCTGAAACGATTTAATATCAAAGCAAAATAACTAAGTTTACATTAAAAAAGTCAGACGTATGTACCTGTTCGTTGACTTCATAATTTTGTAACGGTCCTGGCAAACGAAATCCCCATCTGTGCCCAACGATTATTAAAATCATAGATATGGTTGAAACGCCGCAGAGAGGTGTGAGATCTAAGCCCCTAATGATACAAGATCTTTGTTTTAAGCTTTGCATGGCTCGCCTACTGGAAAAGCACATGATCATATCCACGGTTTTTGATTCTGTGTAAAAAAAAAAAAAAACATTATTTAGAATGGATATTTAATTTTATTCCTTTTCTCGCAAACAAAACGGTTTTGAAAGATTATGGGACATTAAATGTCTATGATTTCAATATGAATCGTATTCTATTACCTTGGTTCCACTGCCACGTTTCTTGTTTCGAGTATACAGCATAATCAAATATAGTAGCGAATACGACTAACGACAGTAACACCAAAATAAGTACTCTGTGAAGGATAAAAATAAATAATTATATTTTATGAATATATTCTAAAAATATTGTTGATACATACAAAGAAAAAATACAATATCAAATATTTAAAAAAAAACCTTAAGCACAAAAAATAATACATTTTAGTGTATACGCATTTTTCATTAGCAATGCTATCATCATCAGCGCTCATAATAGACTGAGACCGATTACAGGCAAACAACCTCCCTCTCTAACTACACATCAGCGTCATACCGGAAGTAATGACTCATCGTCAACAAGTGTTAGGCGGCTTTTACCTATTGTTATGTCTATGGGAATACTTGTTCATGGGAAATGCTACCACGTCAAAAGATATCAGCCTGGCATTCGGTTGGATCTTGTAATTCCATTACTTAAAAGATGAAAATATGTTAACTAAATGTTTAGATAAATCATTCTTTGGGACATTGATGTTCGATACAATAGGTCTCATACTGAGTCCTGGATTATGAAGTTTTGGTAAAGCATATAATAGTTTCGGCAATTGAGAATTTGAAACCCCTACAAAAAATCTACTTTTATCCTCAATTACAAGTTTTGAATTGTTAATTACATTGGTATATTTTTTTAACATTTTGTTTAAAGGATTCTTTTTTAATTATTTGTATCTTTCATTAATAATTTTCAAAACTATCTAAACATTCTTGTTTTTTAATTAATACAATAATGTTCCATTTGTCAAACTTCAAATTAAAACTATCTTCAATTTTAAGATTATATATGAGTCGTAAAAGTTTCCTTTTCTCACCTAAATTTAAATTCTGTGGAGAATATTTATGGAGGAAGTTCATATACTATCTCTCAGGTCTCAGTTGTGTCTTGATCTTGAAGATTAATTGTTTAACCCCTATTTAGTTAAATTGGGACTTAAGTCCATTACATAACATTTTATTACAATTTGTAAAACACATGTTGACTATGAGCCATTACTTCCGGTATTACGCTGTTGTATAGGGAGGTATATATTTTCAAAACTTAAATAGGAGTATTTTTAGGAACGTGTTTTTCTAAATACAAATATACGTTTGTTTTACAAAAATAGGTCTCTTTTGCGTTATAAAAGATAAAAAATAAAAATAAATATCTCTTTCCTGTGTTATTACATATATTATTTACAAATTTAAGGTTAATATTAAATTTTAGTGAAAAATTGCCTATACAATGAGCCTTATAAATGTTAAAAAGTATAATAAACCCTTTCTCCTAAACGGGGTAGGAATTTTTAAATACTTTATTGTCATTTCAACGCTTTTATTGATATTTGTATTCTATCATTACAGATTCGCATCTAAGCGTTTATTTAGTCTATTTATATCTATTAATTTTCCTTAAAGATTATACACGTGGAGTTTGCGCGTGTGTCGTATAATTGAGGAAATGAAAGTTTGTTATTCTACCTGCTTACTATGGTGAATATTACTACACTAGGTATTGACTGTTAATGGTTTTTATAATAATATTATTGTCTTATTATGTCTAACAATTTACGCTGAAAGGCCTTCAAAAAGATTCCATACGTAATACAATAATATTGTTGTACATAGCTGTTGAAAGCAGAAATGGAAAATGTGTGAGTTCAGCTGTTTAAGAGGTTTTTGCCGACACCATCACCAAACAAGTTTCGACTTTCGTCAAAACAGCAATTGTATTACCTTAGGCGGCTGACACCTTTGACGTGAACCATTAATTGTTTTAACCCTCGTCAAGCCCTTTCCAACCGCATTTGCACCACAATGTTTTCATTTCTCTGACATTATCGATTATTAATATTAAACAATACCACCGTTATTTTCAGCGATAAAACCTCACACTTTAAGGTAAGATTAGGTTTAAAAACTGTTCTATTTTTGTGTATACTGTTAGATCCAATGGTAAGTTAAACGAGCGAATCACCGATAATCACAGGTCCGGTAATAATTTTATAGGTCACTAGACTTGTCGAACGAGATTAAGCGATCATAACTGAATATTCTAAATATTGCTGTTAATTGGGATTCGGGTTAAGAAAATATTTTCAAATTAATAAATATATCATAGGGCCAACAAAGTAATGATAATTTTGTTTTTGAAAAATATGACAAATATATTATATTACCTATTATAAAAATATAAAAAATTATATTATTTCATTTTTACCTTGAGTAGTTATTTTCTTGAAGAAACAAAAATAAAATAAGTTTTCTGAATATAAAAGACGAAGATATCAAATTCATGGAACAGTATTTAAATAAATTGAAACTCAAATGACAGACTACAACCGTTTTTAGAAACTTCTCTTCCATCTATTTTATTCATTATTTTTTTACGGAACTTGCCTGATAAATATCTATAAAAGCTACAGCACAGGTGCAATGGTAGTTCTCATAATATTTTATTTCGGCTTACTTTGTAAGCCGAAACCACTTTACACTATTTGCATTTTACTCGAAGTATAGTAGTGGCAACAAAACTATCTTAATTATTGCCATAATAACTATAAGAATCCATTAAAAAATTTAATTTTCTTTTAAATTTTTAATTAGTAAATAATTAATTTACAGGGACGACTTATAAATGCAAATATTATTCTAGGCAAAACAAATTATATTAATTAGGTAATTTAAAATACCTAACTATTATAACTGTTTACTGAAATTATCTTGTTTGATTTTTTTTAGAAATCAAGTTGTAAACTAAAATGGGCCGTGTAGCCTTTTTGCTGAATCAAGTTTTATAATTAATAGTATAAAAATTATTTGTTGATAAATTACCTTTTGAGCTGTGTTTATTTAGAGACTATTTAAAAAAGTGGTTTATGATCAATTTTTTAGTTGTAAATTTATTTTTGAGTAAATTTACACGAATTTGCACACATTACTGATTTAAATATATTTATAATTGTTTCTGTAGCCAGTGGATATCGTTCAAGACCCGTTATTGTCATTTATCACTGTTATCAAATGCTCCAGTTTAAGAAGTCCTTTAGCTCCATATATTTCATCCGAGAGGTAATTTTAGTTGATTCTTAACAATGTATGTATCTGTGTAGGTTTGTTACCCTACGCCAATTCTCATAATAAGAGGGCCAAACCGTTTGAAGCTGCTTCAGGGTATGGTTGTTTAATTTCCTTATTGACCTGGGATGCCAAGTGTTTGTCCTTCAAGCGAAAACGCCTGCTATGTAGGGTCCACGTTTCCCAGACTCCAGCACAGAGTTCCCTTGCAGGGTTTTACCATTTATATAAGTTATAACAAATGTATGTATAAAGAGTACTTAGGGTTAAATAGTAAGAATCGTGCACAAATAGATTTTCAATTTTCTCCTCAAATTTTGTTAATTACTACTTGTTTAACATGGCCTATTTAAAAAAAAATTTGTAATAAAGTAAATTGAAATCATTTTTGTTGTAGTATACAATGGTTATTTATGATAAAAACAAATATTAAGTAATAGGAGATAAACGAAAGTTGATAACCAAAATGTATTCTGAATGAAAATAACGGGCAAATTATTTTTTTAAAATTGGGAAATTATTATAAACTCATATACAACCCTTTCAAATAATTTTATGTGTGTGTGGTTAGGTTAAGTTAACTTTAAGTTTATTTAAGAGTTAATTGTACTCACACGAACGATATGTCGGAAATGTTATACTCGTCTCCCGGTCTCTCGACTCGTGTGCACATTTTGTCGGCCACTGATATATTTTCAATCATGTCTAAATCGTTTTCTTTTACGTAGGATCGAAGGTAAGTCTGAATTTCGTGCGGCGAACACGACTCAGGCACGCATAAAGCCCATTTGATTAAATCCAAACGCTGCTTGAACCTCGCTCCGCCGTACTATAAACACAACATTTTAAGTACATTCTAGTAATTTCTTATGGTTTACGAGAAATGTTATTATTTTCAGTAAAATATACGTTTATCGATTTTATTTCCTAAACCGTATAAACTTATTTTATACATTGTATTTCTCATGCCACAGTTAGTTTATGGAAAGGATGGTGTTATAAAAATGTCACTATTTGTATTTTTACTGTTCTAGATCAGTCAGTATGACTGTTTTACAAAGTAAAACAGTATGTTTTACTTTGTAAATAAAAAGGTTAGAAAAAAATGTATGCATTTTTTTGTTTTTACTATTTTATTTTAAACATATATGTAACGGTTGCTTAAAAGATGAAACATCCCAAGTGTAAAAAAAACAAAAATAATACAAAATATATAATAATTCTAGTAAAAAAACTGTATATAAGTATATCTTGTATAGTAGTTTAAAGTATAATGCTTTATAATACACCAAACCTATAACACACGATAAATAATAATGAATAATTATTTATATAAATTATATAATGTATTATAATCATTAAATAATAATTTAATAGATAATAATTTTTGATACTTAATAAAATAGAAAAAAAAAATCATAATTGAGAAACGAAACAACTAGCTCATTGAACAGTGACTGAGTGGGAGTGGGACTTTATAAATTACTCTTGTTAATTTCAAATTCAGTTCTTAAACAAAACTAAAAAGTTTTTCAATACTTGAAAAGTAGTAGCATATAACAAATATAGTATACAGCAATGTACTAACAAGTTTATTAAATAAATAACATCTAACTTTTTACTAGTTGAAAGTTATGGTAGTACCCGCACTACCCAGCAATTGGTTCTTAGAAAATATGTTCGCCAGATAATATGGAGTAGAATATTTTAATTTTAAATTAGTTTTACAATAATTGCATGAAAATAAACTAGATTTTTGGGTTTGAAAATAAAAACATGAAATTTCAAAGAAACTTGTGATGTCTGCTAAGTAAACATCAGTTTGTCACTAATAGAGTGAGAATGTAATTATTATTAAGTATTTGGTAGGTTCTTTAACCATTCAGTGTGAAGTACTATAGACGCTAACGCGATTATTGAACAATTACTTGTATTATAAAACATTTCTAAGGAAAAAAATTGAATATTATAATGTCCAATAAGTTTGGAAACTTTATCAGTTTGAGTACCCTGAAAACTGTTTAAACTAGGTACTTTGATACCTTCTATAATACTGCCAATTTAATCTAAGTATGAATTAATACTAGTTATGTTAATGACTGTGTAACTTACTATAATTTATGTTATTAAGTATAAATAATAAGATAAATAAAACATGATTAGCAAATGAAACGATTATTTGAAAAAGTAACGAAAATTAAAAATAATGTTATAGTATATAATATAGTTGAACGATTAACTTATTTTTTAATTTTAGTTTTAATGGTATTATTAAACGGTTTTAAAGAAAACTTAATGTCCAATATCAAATAAAATGATTCGAGTATCATATGTAAAAACGTATGTACATGGTACACATTACAGTGTATAATATAATATATTATATACCTCTATACTATGTGACCGTGTGAAGTGTGCTATTTTTTTAATACCAGTCAACTGTATACAAGAAAACTGGTTTTGCGGGTGAAGGTAAACTCACAATCTATAACAGGAAGAGAATTTATGAGGATATTCGAATCTGACTTCAACAAGTCATTGGCCTGTAATAAAAAATAATTCACTGAACCGGGATCGATGTTTCAATGTCATTAAAACAAAACGTTTTATTTGCTCTATTTGGAGCAAAACTGTTTTAAATTATCGTTAAAAAGAATATGTGAACGTACTCCAACAAGTCAATAAAGAATAATTTATATGTTATTTGAGTACTTTTCGTACTCAATTACATCGTAATATAATTCTGTCATAATTATGGTCATTATACTAGTATACCTGATTGTGACCCGTAGTTATAGTTTTATATTTTGAGTACAGAACATAATTTACCTCGGTTTTAAAATATCAATACAACAACATTTTTTTACTCTAACTTGAGAAGAAAATTATAGCATTACAGTTAGTTAACCGATTCCAGCAAAGAAATACGGAACACACGGTGTCAAGGACAATCACTGAAGGTTGACTTAAACACAGACAAAAGTTATAGGAAATATGTATACATTAATTAAACGGATAAACACTGTACGATTTAATCAAACCCGCCGTGTTAGGTTAGGTTAGGTATCATGTCATAACGAAGCTTATGTTGAAGCTAATTTTTTGTAATTCAATACTTACATAAATTTTGTGCCATGCAGGAAGCATTGGATTATACTCTCTGGCATATGGATCTGCATACGAATATTCAGCTGGCACATTGATTTTAATATCCACCAGACAATATTGAGCTTTTATGGGCCTAGCTACTTGCAAGCATTCGTCAAAGTCTCCTAGCTGATATCTGCTACCTGACAATAAGCCGACCGCTTGTTTAGCTGATGCGTCCCACACTAAAATTATAAGCATAGAACAATTAAGTATATCACAGCTTGTATAGATATTTTATACATAATTAAATAGTTAAAAAACAGCATTGGCTGTTAAAACATAATATGGTAAATATTATTTATGCTGTGCTTTTATGTGTATTATAAAAAAAATGATATAACACAGTCAACTATAGTCGGAAGTTCTTAAATTTTTCATCAACCTCGCACATAATTTCAATTAAAATTTTTTCTGAGGGCTACGCCGAGTTAGCTGTTAATATTTTTGGAGCCAACTATAATTTTTAAAGGATTTTAACTTTACAAGCTCCCCACTAGCAACGCTTATCAGGAGTATTGTGGAGTGGATAAAAAAATAATATGAATTCTACTCACTTATAAAATATAATTTTTAACATAAATCTATGAATGGTTCTAAATATATTATTCTTAGGTTTTTTTTTAATATTGTAAATAATTATATTAAATAATATATTATATTACGGAATTGATGTCCCCAATGTAACGCTTACTGTACACGACCTTGTGAGTAGAACTTAAGATCAGGTTGTTAAACTGGTTGCTTTCAGTTACTTAAAAATAACATTAGTTTGTTTACATATTTAATGAAATATTAACTAACTAAACATAATTTTGAAATTGTGCTACGAACGATGCCTTGATAATGTTGTGAAAAATTCAAATGTTTTTTAAAAACTTAAATCGATGTATTCTTAAGGACAGAACGTTTCAAGAAGAAATACGTGTTTTTGTACAAAAATAGATCCTATATGCGTTATAAAAGTTGAAAAAAAAATAATTATCAAAATAGATACTTCTTTTCTATGGTAATATGTATGTTTAATTTTTTTAGCTTAATGTTAAGTTAAAGCGAAAATTGCCTATACAATGCGCCTTAATAAATGCTAATGTAGAGGCCCCTTAAGATAAATGACACAACAAAAACTTAAATCTGGTTACCGAAAATTTAGTAAATATACTATAACTCTTAGGGTGGCGCAAAAAAAATCGATCTTCGAAAGAGACTTGGTGAAAATTTGAGATTTAAAAAAAAATTTTACTAGTCGCTCAACGCGTTTTAAGCAATTTTTTTTAAATTTTTAATACGTTATTTTATTGAACATTATGTATGTTTCTAGTGAACAATTTTTTTTTTACTAATGTTAAAAATGTATACTTTTTTTTTTGTCATTTTTCGTGCACCTAAATTAACGTTTTACTGAAAAATATGTATTATGTATCAAATAATAAAGTACTTATCGTTATGAATTTTAGCTATTATATTCTACTACAATTTGTTTAATTTATAAATGTTTAGTAAGCTAGCCCGATAAGCTACCATATAGCTATAGATATAAATACTACAATTGTTCAGAAAACGCTTTAACCGCCTCGGCCCTTGTACACTTATTAATATCACTCTATTGTCTTAATTGTATTAGTAGATTTAAACCATTATTAGGTGCTTAATTTGCACATTAACTAGTAAACCAATAATTAACATTAACTTTTAAAAAAAAGAAATTGAACAGCTAAATCCCAGTACTTGGCCTGAATATAAAAATTGTATGTTACTTGTTAGCATATTATAAAGTGCAGTCATCATTTGTTGTGAATGATCCAGCCGAAAGAGGAATTTCTTTAATGACACAATTCAACAATTGTTTAACGACAGATGAGAAGCAAATACAATTCTGGATATTTATGGTATCTAAGTGAAACGCTTATCGGGCTAGCTTACTAAACATGTATAAATTAAATAAATTGTAATAGAATATAATAGCTAAAATTCATAACGATGAGTACTTTATTATTTGACACATAATTTACATTTTTCAGTAAAACGTTAATTTTGGTGCACGAAAAATGACAAAAAAAGTATACATTTTTAACATTAGTAAAAAAAAATTTTTCACTAGAAACATACATATTAACGTTCAACGTAATAACGTATCAAAAAATTAAAAAAACTGTTTTTAGTTACTTTAGGCTTAGTTGAAAATTGACTTTTTAATTACGATTTGTTGTTAATTAGGTAATCAATTTTTAACTTTTTGTAACTCGAACAGTTGTACTCAACGCTAAAAATACTACAATTTGGATGTGCTAATAATGATTTTTTACCAAAATTTTTATAATTTAAGTCAATTTTTGTTTATTTGAGAATTTTTGGTCAAATTACTTAAAACGCGTTGAGCGACCAGTAAAAATTTTTTTTTTAATCTCAAATTTTCACCAAGTCTCTTTTTTTATGTATAGAACAAATTGAAATGTTAGCTCATTAACTTTTCAAAGGTAAATTTTTTTTGCGCTTCCCTAATGACTATATTAACTCGGATCAAACGTTAAATGTTAAAAAAAAACATAAAAAACAGTGTGCTTCGTGTACCTAATTTCGAAGAAGAACATTTTAAATTTAATGTAACAAAAGAATATAAATCAACGACGCTAAACACTTTATTCCAGGAAAAAAGTTACAATTACCGAAAATTAAATCGAAGGAAGGCGGTTACAACGAAAAAAGATCCAAAACTGTTTTTTACCAACCATTTACATTTTTAACGAATCACTAATTGAATAGGTCATTTCACAAAACTAGTTTCATAAAATAAATTCGTGTTGAATTTTCGAGATCTATTTTAATTTCCCAAAAAGAGCCACAATCAACTTTTTATTTTAATTCTATTATTCAATACAATTTTTTTCATCCATCCATAATTGTTTAATGACTTAAGATTAATAGCGAGTTATTAATGTTACTCGTTGATAAATTCACCAACTAAATTTCAAAAACGTCATTCGAGTTATAGAAGAAACAAATCGGCCGGTATACTTAAGAAACGAAATACCTTTGCTTGATAATTATTATATATGTTTATTTTTACACTAAGAACTACAATAAATCAAAGTAATAATGGAATAATGTAGAACAAGATATCAAACATCAAAGCTGAAATATAAACAATGTGATTTAATAGTCTAATGTTTAAAACAAATTGTAACTGCTCTAGAATTATTGATAAAAAAGTAATAATTATTGTGTACTGGATATCGAAGAAATAAGAAGCCAAATTTAGTTAAATTATTAATTATATATTTACGTACAACATAACGCAAACTTTTAACAATAAACCTAGGTATGTCAAGGTATTTTTATCTTATTAGGTATCGTATTAGGTTAGTTTTAAACAAACTTTCAATCTTTAAGTACGAAATAATTGAGGTTGGAATAATGATATTACAAAAACCAAATGAGAACAGTATACCAATTTTAGTATTAAATTTATGAAATATGTACCTATTCAGGATTCTTATGGCTTACCAATGAAAATATAACATCAGCATTTTTAGTTGAGTGATTACATAAATAATAACTATTACCTACTAACATAACTACATACTAAAAACTAAATAAATATATTTATTAGAAAAATATTGTATTTTTGAATACTAAGTTAAAAAAATATTTTAAAAATTATAATAATAATATATATTACGTCTTACATCTTTGAAAACATTAAAAAATATACCACACTACATTAATGTTATTTTATTAAATTCATCTACTTCCTCGTTTAGTATTTTTTTTTAAGCGAATTATCTTTTTTAATGTATTTCTATTTCAACATAACATTACAAAACAGTAGCATGCATTGTTTTTTGCTAACGCACATTTTTAAAGTCCTACCACTAATAGATAATGTAATTTTGTAATTTTTTATTTAGATACCAAGAGGAAAGGGAAAGGAGAGGATATTTTTTTAATTCAATCAAGTATGATTTGGTTATATTATAATTTAAGCACAAAAATATATCCATGGTTCTGTTTTTCTATGTAGCGGAAATTAAATAATACAATTATTTAATAATTTCATAAACACCGCCGACAACACTTAATAGTTTACGATGCTTCCAGTGGCATTATTGTATATTTTCTATGGAGGACAATTATTAATTTTTGTATAATAATTGTCTATATTATACATTTTCTTACCATTTATAGAAAAATGTATGAAGGCTGCGGGGAAAAAAGATTAATGTCAATTTTTTTTGAAAATGAGATTTTGGTATCAAGTTAAATAACTTTTTAATAAGTTAATAAGTTTTAACGTACTGTATATTTTGTGCGCTCGATCCTGGGAAAAAACAGATTAGGCGAGAGTAACGACCTCCGGAAGCTTAGGCATACAGGCAAAATATATTACGTTTTGAAATTAAAAACATGATTTTTTCAGAATGAAAAAAAATGTACATGAGTTTTTTTCCCCGCAACCCTTCATATATTACATAATATAGTAATCATTTTACAGTATAAGAAAATGCAAGTAGATAAAAATTGTTTTAAGTAAATTGTATTCAAACATACTTTGTTGTGCCCACAGAGTCATGTTCTGTAAGCCTGCTTGTAGTCGTATGCTGTCTCGTTGACATTGTGAGTTGGTTGAATTCAAAATTACATTAGGTAACGTTGGGATTATATTTGAGGGCCCTGTCAGCAATGTGTTGACACTGACCATCAACAATGGTAACAACAAAAAACGGAATACCATCTCATCAGTCGACGCCAATAGACGCTGAAATACAATGTTATATTTGTTAAAAAAAAATGTTTTATTTTACTTACGGCTATTAGGTACCGGCCAATTTTTCCGTCAAAAACTACACATTTTACTTCAATCAGTCCGATCATTGTATTGAAGCGATAAGACTTCTGAAAACAGATTTGAATTTGGCATGAAGTCTACTTGAGATCGGTCGGCGTGTTTTTTCAATTTTTAATTATAACCCTTTCCAAATTTCATTTTAAAATTGGGAATTTTATATAGTGTTCAAACGTATTTTATACATAGTAGGAGTAAGCTATCAAAAAAGTACACAGACCGATCTCAAGTAGAATTCATAACAAATTTAAATCTGTTTTCAGAAGTCTTATCGCTTCAATACAATGATCGGTCCAATTAAAGTTAAATGGGTAGTTTTTGACGGGAAAATTAACTAAAATGGCCTTTACTCATAAGCAAAATTATTTAAATTAAAAATAATACCATGAAGCTTATACAAATTAACCAGTAAATTAATTGGCATGGTCGAAGTTTATTAAAACTACTTTTTTCTTAAATATTGCCTATACAAAACTCCTTAAAATTAAGGCCAATATCCTTAACACAATAAAGTAATTAGTTAATAGCAATAATAATACTATTGCTTACAATATAATACTAGAAAGTGGAATTTCAATAAGCCTCAATAATATGAGGTCTAAAATAAAATTATTAATGAAATTGATTTAGTACCATCTAATCTACACTAAACAATTTAATAGTATGTTTACCAAATTGAAGTATAATTAAGTACCTAATAAATATCTAATTATAATTTATGATAAATACCAAACTACATCATTAGTTACATACCAATCTGTCATATGATCTATAAAAACCAAATTTTCTTTAAATTAAGTGACTTGTCTTTAATAATTAGGTATCATTTTTTAAAAAACTTTTATTTTCACGTTACATTTCACACAATGTAAATATATTTATAGCCTTTATTTTTTCATCTTTTATTAATAGAAAACATTTTATAGACTTCAGACTATTACAGAAAAATTATTAGTTCCAAGGTAATTCTAGGTGACCTTAGGAATCTTTAATTTAATCAACAGACTCTTAACTTGTGTGTTAACTTTTACATAATGACATCCCACATTGTTCAGATAAATAATTGTTCACTATGCCACCGCAATATCGTATAAATGTAACATTGAGTCGTTAACGGACTATTAGTAAGATAGACAAGTGAAATTTATTGGGATAAAAATTAATTAACCTAATTATTTAGATCATATATCATTTTATTTTAAAAAATGGGAATATACGAAACACTGCGAGAAACGTTTGAAAAACTTAAAAAATATAATGTAATCTTTGAAACCTGTAATATGTAATATTTAATCTGGTATTATACTTTTACTGGAACTTTATCCTCTGTAAAAATACACAAGCTTAAAAAACCCGCTGGTTTACCATAAGGTTGTTTAAAGCAAAGTCATGAATCTGTACTAATCGTGTTTGTAATACTAACACAAGTAACCATAGAATACCATACAAGGGTTTTAGTGTAGGCTATGCACAATCATATAAGCCTTAAATTAATATTTTAGTTATACGTGTTATGTTATGAAATGTCATTCAGATTTAATAAAACAACTTACTATAGCGCACAACATACTATCTAATCGATTTGTTAGATTTTAACAATTTATTTAAATATTCTTTTATGTAATACATTTATTGGTTTATCACTTAATTTGTCTAGTCATTAGATTTAGTATAATGAACTGTTTAAATAAATTCTATTTTTTCTCTTTGTATCGTGTTTACGAGAACTGTGTTCTTGGTGTAATATAATTGAATCTAATCTATCTTTTCAAAAACACTACTTATACATAATCAACAAATGTTCTTAAATTTTAGGCTTTGTTACTAAAAACTGTAAGAACTTCACAATTCAAAATATCTTAAAAGCGAAATTGTCCCTTTAGTCAGACCTAAGCTCGATTATAATTATATTGTTATACTGTTTCCTTACCTAAAGTCACATATTCAATGTTTAGAGAATGTGCAATATCGCTCAATTTCTTAAAATTCTCAGTACCTATCATCCATTTACAATTTTAAAATTGGAAATTCATCTAATAGAAACATTAATGACTTAAATGTTTGTATTTACTTATCAATGAATTTATAATTTGTTCTGAACTATTAGGTTTCTTTACATTTTAATGTCCTCAATGTAGAACTAGCGCCTCGAACATTTTCCATATTCGCTCTCTTAAATAAAATTATGTCTATAGCTAATGATGTACAAATGTATTTATTTTATTTAAGTAATATTACATAGTTCAATATTATTGTTAAAACAATGTTTCTTGTGGGTTATTTATGTATTTAACTATATTAATGTTAATATTTGTTTGTCATATTTATGGGTACACAAGTAAATTTATTATAATTTTGTAATTGTTTTTTTTTTAAGCTGTTAATAAACTGAAAAAATATCTATTTCATTCATTGTAAATAGTTTAATACCATTTTGTGTTTCCTAATGGGAATCCCGCTAAAATTGAGTTCACCGGCTATTCATGCTGTATTATTTTATGCCATATCCTATTGGAATCTTAGAAAGCTAAAAAAATTCTTTAGTTTATATAGGTGCCCGTGCTGTTCTAGAAAAAATATAAGGAAACCGTGACCGGTTTGTCAACATTTATATAAAACAACGGACTGTGCTGTCTATAGGTATTGTCGAAATTGAATATTTCCGATCAGTGTCTACGAAGCAATACGCACATACATATTTTGAACTCAGTTATACCGTATACCAGTGGTGCGCAATCTTTTTTGATCCACGACCCTCAAATTAATTTACCTCGATCAGGGGACCTCCCTTTTTATACTAATTACATACGTGTAATACATTGTTAAATTATTGGCGACTCCCTTTTAAAAGTTGGCGACCCCCAGGTTGCGCACCACTGCCGCATATGACAATAAGGTGATATATATTTTAGCCTTTTTTTTTGTTGCATACTTTTATGTTGATTTACAAGAAAAAACAAGTATAACTAAAAAAAATTAAAATATTCCTTGCCGTTTCCTTGTTTTTCGTGGCAAAAAAAAATGTATTTTTTTTTATAACCCAACATGTAAAAAATGTGATTTGTAAATATAATATTGGGCTTCACGGCTTAAGCAATATATTGTACAACAGTCTGTATTATTATACACCGTATCCCAATGCTTATAGTTCAGCCTGTTTTTCTTTTATTTATAATACTTAACATTATTAAACCAAAAACTATGGTGTTAATATAGGCTTAAATATCGTCGTTGCCGCGATAAAACCTTCTATGATCCAATTTTACCATTTTGAGGTTCTGGTATCCCTGGATACAGAAAAAAATAAGCTATTATACGATAAATTCTTCAACGTACTATCTTCATTGTAGAATAAATACAAAATTAAAAACTATCCTATGTGTTTAGGTCTTACTACTAAATCGTTTTACTTACATCAGACTACTTTAGTTGTCTCGCTAAACAACAATACTTAAGAGCTACTGCTAAGAGTAGGTCTATACTTCTTATTATGACTTAATAAATTGAACATAACTAATTAAATTGTATTGTTATGGATGCAAAAAATTCAGCGAAATACCTTGTCGTGTTTTAGAACTTAATAAATTCTAATTAGAGTAAGTCAATGACATATAAATATTTATTGTATTAAGTATTAATAAACCGATAACAACCTATCGATGTTAATGAATTCCTAGAGAAATATTCTAGACATTTGTTTATGAATGGTTTGAAAAAAATGTATTAACATAATTATTCATCATTCAAAACTATATAAAACGTGTTCACCGTCAACAAGAATATCCGGATAGTATCCGGCGGATACTTACTAAATTTAACCTACTAATCAAATTTCACCGTATTTACTTTCAAGTAGTTATTACTTGCACGTAGGTATTATTACAGTTAACTAGATGACAACCATAATTACATTACTAAATTTGTTTTAAACAAATAAATAATAGTACAATATTGTTTACTTCCTTATGTTATTCTTACTATATAGTTTCTGTGCAGGTTATTTTATGTATTTTATGAAATGGTGCGTTTCATATAAAAAAAATTACGTTTTTTAAGTAAAAAAAATTAATCAAAATACAGTTAACTCGAAAACTTTAAGATATATAATATATAAACATAATTATAGAATATAACTGGACAAATCCTAAAACAGTAATGATTATAGTGCATCTGTAAGCATATATTTCTAATGATAGATATACATTGTTATCACTGAATTTATACTTTTAAAAGTCATAATGATTCAAATAGTTAATTATTTCAATAAATAAAAACTGAAATATTTGTGTTACGTCGATAATAGTTGAAACATTTTTAATTAGTTTAACTATCTGGATTTATTAATAATTCGATACATATTCTTACTATAAATAGAAAAAAATAGTTTTATTGAGTAGTAATAAACACATTATGGATATCTGTTTTACTAATTATCATTTCTAATTTTTTTACAAAGTATTATAATGGCATGCGCTCACTGAAACGAAATTTATAAGACAATATTATGATGTAGAATAAGTTTGATCCTAACGCAATGAACACAAAAAGTGTACCTATAGTACTGTATAAAATCATATTTTATTACCTGAGATATATTTTCCCGTTCTTCGTGTATCCTCAGACCACAGTGAATAAGGAATTCACTTCCGTTCAACCAACTCAGGCGACTGAACTGCGAGTAATCCTAAACGTGCTGTGCAGACCGACATTGCCGGAGATATGTCCAAGTTCAAGTAATTATTATACCCACTCTCCGACTCGCAGTGATTCGCAATATATTTTCTATATAATCGCATTCTATAATTGTATCCACATAAGAAATATTAAAAGTTAATGTCTTCCATAACAACCTTTCCATTGCATATCACGGTAAAAATAAGCTCAATCCAATAAAATTTGATTAATTTTGAAAAAATGTAAAAAAGAAAATTAAAAGTAACAAATATTGGAACCAAGTACAATCTGGACTTATGTTTCCTCTAACATGTCAACCAACTAACAAACTAACAAATCAACTAACTAAGGTATAATATACACATAACATGATTTTCAAGACAATATTCGGTATACATTCTTGAAATTGTTAGATATAATTTAAAAACAGCTACACAGTTTCATAAAAAAAAATATATATTATTTTTATTGTTTATGCAATTGTTAGACTCCTAATTTTGAATTCGAACAAATGTTCTTAAACATTTCAAAGGACCAACATAAATGCGTTAGTAGGTAAAAGATTAGTTGAATGCTAAGGTAATTTTAGCTTGACTTGTTATTGTTTGGATTATTCTTCTTTTGTTTAACTTATTACATACTTAATCGATTTTAACACATGTAAGTTTTTCAAAAATTAACGAGAAATATAAGGTATGAAAGATGGTGTACATTTTTTTTAAACTTAAAATTTGAATAAATCATTAAATTAGTATTAGCTAATAACTTCGCCAATTTAATTGAAAATGGAATGTAACTGGTATATATTATTTTGGTAAACGGGTTTTACGTAACATAAAAAAAAACAATTTTTTAATAATTGGGAAACCATTTAACTTACCAAATTGGGCTTATTAAGTAGGTTCCCATGTTAAATCTTGATAATAATTATTTAGTATTGGCATTTGTTAAAAGGGACCTAAGTTATATATTTGACACATCGTTTTGTGTTAAAAATATCCTTCGTCATATAATATTGTCTGTATGATATTACTTTGAAATATCCATAATACGTTAAAAGGCACGTTATGTCTGTGTCATTAACTAAATAAAGTTGTTAAAATGTACATATTATGTTTCTTTTAACAAATTCCCATTTTATTTTTATAGAATTAATCTCTTCTGCTCTAAACATAAAAATAATTTTGGGTCAACACTTTTTTTCTATTAATAAATAACAATATAACAGATTAATCTATATTTTTCAAAAAAATTAATTAGTAGGTAGGCATCTAAAATATACAATATACATATCCCTATTAAATATTACTCAGGAAAAGAAATTATTAACTCTGTAACTTCCTAATTTCCCAAAATAAGAATTAATTATAATTGCTTTATCATTTATTCTATAGAAGTTATTTTTAATAGCCGTAGCATTATTAATTAAGATCTAACCATTTCAATTTATTGTGTTAAAGCTGTTTGATGAATATATTTATATTTAATACATAGATTTTTTTTTAAAAAAATAAACGATATGTAAATTAGTTTTTTTAGTACTAACATAACTTTAAGGTATTTTTTGCGTCAGTGCCGAGAGAAAAAAATCTAAAATTGATCGAAAACCCAAAATATATAAAATTCGTTGAATTCACCGATATTTAAATTAGATAAAAAGATGTGAAACATCTTTTTGGTAGGGTTAAAATGATGTTAAAGTAAAAAATAATCGCGACCATGATTAAAAACAGAATTATTAACCTCATAAAAATCAATAATACATGTTTTTAAAACGTAGGTGTTAACGAAATAAATGACGGCGCCTATAGTTGTATCAAATGTATAAGTTATTTACATTTTCAGTTTTATGTTTAATTTACCACGGGTTTTCCCCTCATCACTAGTTAAAGTTTACCTTAACGTTTAAACGGTAAAATGAATAATAAATAAATTAAATTACAATAATAATATTACTAAAGACTATACTCTGTTCCAAAAGCGAATAACCAGTATAATAAATAAAGCGCGTAAATTCTGCTACACCGGCAGTAATGCGTTTTAGTTTCTGCGCTGGTTAAACTATTTTGAAACCTAGTACCTATAGCGGACTCGGTTACATAATCTTAAGTTGTTAGTAAGATTCAATCATACGCTCCAATTTGAATAAATGCGCATTTAACACAATAATTGCAAACGTTTACAAACAAGCAACACAATGGAGCTTGGATAATAAACTAGCGCAGTGTTGTGCACAAGTGTAATGGAATGATTAGGGGCTTTCGTATAACGACAGTATGTTGTGTCACGCGTATTTAAACAACGGGATAGCAAATATTGTCTAATAACTTCTGTATTGGTAAGTAGTGCTGCGGTTAAGCAATGTGCTCGATGGCAATTTAAATTTTGTAATGAATCCCGCAAGAACCGAGTGTTTTTTTTTCGTCTTTCTGCCGAAACAATAATCGTAATCTGTCGATCAAACGTTTAAACGCGTATCATCGCGCATATTATTAGGTTAGCGATAAACAAAGATTGTAACATTCCTTAACCAGTTTCTGTGCACAATAATTAACGTTTTCACGGCCCATGTATCTGGTTAACACTGGAATGAGTAACTAATGAATCACGCGATAGTTGTTAATATTAATAATGGCTTTTGATAAGGATATCAAATATACATGGACAGAAAAATAAATACATTTTTCAAAGTTAGTTTTCTTTTTAGGCGGCGCTGTGAGATTTACTCTTAAGAAGATACAAAAGTCTAAAATACATTTGACATAAAATAATTTATAGCATTCCATTCTAATTTTAGGATGATTTAAACTGTTTAAAATTTCAATACCTATTTTCAAAAATAACTAACAATATTTAATATTAGGTCCTTTGACCTAATTTCACATGATTTTGAACTTATTAGAATTTAGACCTCATATTTTATTATTTCTTGTAACTGCTTCAACGCTAAAAACGTAATAAGTATAAATCAATTTAAAAAAAAACTGTAAAATATTTACTAAAAAAGTGATTTTCTACATTTTTTTGTGCGTATTTCTTGAATTGTAGAACATTTAAAATTGCGATTAATTAATTTCTTATGTTCTCAAAAGTTAAGACATATTATGTTGAGAAAACTGTAATAAGTTAATGTTATGTGTTAATACAGTGAAAAATCCTAGTAGTGCTATAATTACATGTTTACGCCATAAGTTGTGTTAACCTTACTAATATTAAAAATTTAACAAGAGCTGTGTTATAGAAATATATAAATACTCAATCTAGGAAAATAATACCAGAGTTTAAAGAATATAGTAATGAAATAGTAACTAGACATGATCTAGTATATTTTTCACTTCAATACATTTATTATTTATCATTTTTCATTGTCATCCGTAAAAGACATAAAATCTTTTTGCTGTTTTATATTTAGCTTAAATTTTTCCAATGACTTACTTAATTATCTTCGTCTATTCTTCGAGTTGTTGATTCACCAGTTCAATACTATTTGTAAAACTTTGCACGTTGTACAGGCTTGAACATGTAAGTTTTCTTTTATTCTAAACAACTTTTAATACGACACATATTATGGACGTATTCAGGCAATGGAAGTATTATCAATATTATTTTAGTATTATTGTCGCAAGCTTATAAATTATAAAAACGTGGTGTAATAATTGTATTGATATGTTTCAACTGGAAGTAAAGCAATGAGAAAATAAATTAACAGTTGTCAAATGAAAATGAATGGCCTATTTTCGATTATTTTGATTTTAAAGGTTTTTAGTAGCCCGAGGTGTAATTCAACAATTACACATGAAAAATATTATAACTATCAGTCATTCTTCGGTCTATTCACATTTTAACGTTCAATGGCTCGTAACAACAATAGCCATCCATCGTGTACCTTTAGAGTGTTCTGCGTTGAGAATACACATGAAGTGTTGCAATATTGATGCGCTCATTACCTTTTAAAATACGGCCTTAATTGAGTAGTTCAAACTGAAAAAAAAATAAAACAGTATTGAAAAATCAAACAATACAGAATTACCTTACTTTTAATGCGTAATATTATGGAGGCAAAAGAAAAATAGTTCAAGAACAATTCCTTGGGGTACATACGTGCATCCCGTGAATAAAAATAATTAAACAAATGAATATTGAAGGCCACAAAGATTATAAGGTTATTACCGTCTGTATAGTATAGAATACTATAATACGTATTCCATTCTCATAATTAGAGTCGATAATAGGTAATTAAGATAGTATAAATTATTAAAAATGTCTTAAAAAAGAAGTAAGTTTTCATTTTTGTTAACTCTCATTTTTTTAATTTACAATCTATCTTTATAATCATTTTTATTTTATTAATAGCTAATGTTTTACATTCTATAGGCTTTCAACTTTCAAGTCTCAATGTTCTTTTGCTAATAAGTAGAAGAACTATATTGTACGAATTACAACGCGACACTGTCATAATAAAACTATTGTCAATCGATTAAGGTCAAGACTGAACTTAAAGTACCATAATATTATTACATAGGGTTATATAAATAAAATAAACACTATACTTATGTTAAAATAGTTGACTGTTGAGAAATAACCAACACACTAGAGGTATGGAATAGCCAGTTTAAACAAATACAGCAAACATAGCACACAATTTCACGCATCACTAAATAAAAAAATACTTAAAAACAATGTTTTTATTAGAGATTATGTTATCAGTATATTGAAATTTGAACACATTCTAACTCAGACAATCTAATAACTATTTATTATTCCTATAGACGTCGTACAGAGTAGTAATAACAAAAACTTTTTAGCTTCGATGCAAAGCGAGAAGGTATTGGTAAAAAAACTTTTTTTTAATGTTATCTATAGTATTTGGTTGCATAGTTAATGAATTAGAAATGAAAAGAAATATTATTTAGGCTATTTAACACTGTGTGTTTGACATCACTTAATGCAATAATTACTCAATATTTAATGCAAATGGCAATGGTATTTTAAGAACACAATTATTATGTACATAAGAGAAATTTAATTTGTCAACCATCACCATATGAGTAAAAACTATGTCCTGACGATGAGTTTATATTGTTTACACACGATTTTTGACCATATAGATTTTCGGTTTTAATGATCTGATGTTGTTTTTTCAACAGTACAAGTTTGTATTAATAAGCACAATATTGCTTATAGGAGTTTGTTATACTTTCATTTGGGTGAATGTAATAAAAGAAGCTCTTGAGCAAACAAAAACTTTCATATCTATTCCTAAATATATTCTTCTTTTTACTTTTGAAATACATCTACACAAATGGAAACCGTAGTGATGGGTAGCTCGTGTTTTTATTATGTTCTATAAATAAAACCACGAACGAAAAACAAAACTTATCATGTACGCAGTTGGATCAAACTATAGAACAGCATGAAACGTTCATAGACAAAGAACCTTTATCGACACATTATTAAACAGGCAGTATGATTCGTCCTGAGAAAATTACACAACAAATGTTTACATCATTTAAATCTGGATAAATTAGATTTTTCACAGAAACCGAGTTTTGGTTATGGAATACATCAAACAGAAATCAAGGGGTAAATGGCTTTGTACGCCGAATTAATTCACTCTTGGAACACTAATAATATTAACATGTTAAATTATTGTGTTTATACTTATTAGCAAAACGGAATCGTTTAACTTTTAATAGGTAACTAAAAATGTTTTACTATAAAAATAAATTAGAACTCTAGGAAACAAACAGTAATATTATATAGTGGTCTCCCGCCTAACGCGGCTGTCGGTCCAATGATTTGTTTGTGTCATAAGCTGAAACTAATCTAAATAATAGTATACGATTGAAATATAATATTTTTGATAAATGAGCAGTTTTGCAACTTTATAATATAGTCATATTTTCATAAAAATAAATATCCTCATCCCGGTTAATATAAATACTATGTAGGTTGTATGGTGATGATAACCTTGCAATTAATATCATGATATCTTTTTAACCAGCAACCTTCTAAATACGTACTGTATTTATATATTTTATTAAGTACTTTTTCTGTTTTTTTTCCATTTGATAATTGCTACTTATTTCTGACTAACTTAATTCTGTTTACTCCAAAATCAAACGTATAGACCTGCTATTTGCAATTAGTGTAAAAGCATCATTTTCTTTATATTATCTCTTATTCTAATGCTATCCCAAGACCCTAGGTGCGATTTATAATTTTTTTTTCTATAACTATAGGTAATTTTATAGTATATACTTAATATATGATACATAATCCAGTTGGGATCAAACTAAAATAGATAATCAAAAACAAATGTTTTCAATATTGAATTTTAACGCGCTGATAAAAATAAATCTACGCGGTTACTCTACCGCACTTCACCTCCCGCCATCAGTCATCCTCACTTTCAAATGAATATAACTTTTGAACGGATGAATAAAAAATCCAAATTTTTTTCGCCAATTCTTTTTTAAAAATTATTTTGAACAAAAAATCAAAATATGTAATAAAAAAAATAAAAAAAGTATAACAGGTAAGTGCAATAAAAACCACGGTGCTTATAGCGCAAATGAGTATAAATTAATTAAAACAAAAAATTTCAAAATATTCACTAGAACAAAAGTTATTTCATTTGTCAAATCTCGTGGCCACTCTGTATATCCTCTCCTTTCTCTTGACAACACATGGAGCTAAAGAAGAGCATAATGTATCTTTTGTCGGGCTTCAAGAAACCTCTTCTTTGGAATCGATTGATTTTATCAAAATCGGTTTAGTATTGCCGTGAGGTGGCAACAAACAAATAAAAGCACTTTCACATTAATTATAATATTTAAAAAAATGTATAGATTTTTCTTGGTTTGTCTTTGATTAGTTTTTCTCAATTCCGTTATTAAATTTGTTAACCTTTTATTTAGGATCAAATTCCTAACTCAGTCAAAATCTATTCTTTGTCGCTAAAATAAAATTATTGTAATAAATGTACATACAACAGTCAACAACCAACATAAATTTGGTATCTCTTAAATAGCCGTTTTATATAAGGTGACTTAAATTGGATTACTTCTTTCATACAATATTAAAGACTCACAATAAATGTAATGGTTTGTAAGAAATATTGTGCCTTGCTGCTATGACGTACAGCTGCTGATATAAGCAAGTGTTTTTGAAAATATTAGCATTTTCCGCCTGTTGGCAGCACTTCATGCTGTATGTTTATGCTGATAACACACTTGCATTGTTATCAGTGAATGATTCAATATTATCACTTGTAACATAATAAAAAACATTTATTACTAAATAATAATATTTTCATTTTTACTTATGATTCCATTTGCAAGTATTAAAGTGTACTGTATAATATTTAATATATTTTGTTAATTTTAAATGCTCAATATTGATCGGTATTTATAACCTAACTTAACTGTCAACAATTTATCGGACTTAAAAGATTGCAAGCATCAGTTTGAACATGGTATCTATTAAACTTATTTCAAATTGTTCACTGTTTACATTAAAATGTTTATAGTTTAGCTAAAAGCCTTCATGACCAAATTAACCAGTGATGCTAATCTGTTACAAAACATAATGGTCTACAATGAATGTTTATTGATTGTCGACAACAATAATACAAAAATGACAATGAACATTAAAAACCCTAATGTCGCTTGTGTAGATAATCAAATGATCTTCAGTCGTGCCTATCGCTGACTTTGAGAATTATAGCAATGATAAAGTTAAACAAAAAAGTAAGTTTTTCGTACCTATTGTTTTACACCTATCGTTACCAATTGATATTTTCTCGGGTCTCCATAATATGTCTAGAAAAAACTTAAGCACTTATGGTTATATGTAATGAAATAATAATAAAAACCCTTAACCATAAAAATTATATACTCTCTGGGAATACGTCGTATTTCGGCAACAATGTTGTCATCTTCAGCGCTCAGTCTGTCGTGAGCGCTGAAGATGACAACATTGTTGCCGAAATACGACGTATTCCCAGAGAGTATATAATTTTTATGGTTAAGGGTTTTTATTACTATTTTACTCCATAATATGTTTTCAATGATTTAGTGTAACATTGTTATGCAAATCATTGTTGTACATTGCAAAAAATTGTCATCCCATCTAGCTAACCGGAGTGATTTTTTAAAAAAAAATGGTATTGATTGCTTCTTGATAAGCACAAACCTTCAGTATATCGGGTCCTAATAAAAAGTCTCAAACAAATAAAATTACATTACATATAATTTAATTTACTAATATTATTGTGTTTTGACTTTATTATAGGTATGGTGATTTGCTGTATACATTTCTTAAAATATATTGACTGCTCATTTCAGAAATTATTGGTATTCAATTTAGCAGTCGCAGCAATACTTGGAGATGTGCGTTTTAAGTAAATATAATATTATATGATTTTAAACTGAAGTTTGAAAATCAATAATAATATAAAAATACATATATTTAAATTTTAATGGTTGTTCTTTGATTTATTACAGCGTTGATGTATGGAAAATCTTTGTTTAAGGGGCCTCTGCAAAACTGCATATTTTTTGTCAAAAACCAGTCATGGTAATTTTTACTATATTCTAAAACGTGTTATCCGACAAAAGTTTTAAAAATTGGTATAGATTTGTCAATACTTGCTTGATGTATCGATCAAAGTAAATATTTGTATTCTAAAAAATTGCGATTATGTACAAAGAAATTGACTAAAAATAGATTTAAAATTGTGCCTCCATCAATACCTTATAAATGTAATGAAGAATCTAAATTATATTTAAATATCTCAGTATTTTCAAGAATACAAAAATAGAGCCTATTTGTAATATAAAAGTTAAAAAAAAATTAAATATCAAAATGAATACCTCTTTCTTGTGTTATTATATATGTTATAAATCTTAGTTTAATGTTAAGTTTTAGTTTATAATTTTTTCTACAAATGCCTTAAAAAAATGCTAGTTTTAGAGGCCCCTTAAAAAAGATTTACATTGAAGCACACAAAGACAATTTCAACCGATTAGTATCCAGGAGCTGCAAAGAAAACGGGAATTTGCTACATTGTTGTATACTGAATTATTTATTAAGTATTATCATATTCGTAGCGAAAAATAAGCTGTAATTCGTTTTTTAAAATTGTCTCTATAGATTTAATGACATAATAATGTTAGTTTAACAAGTTTCTTACATCATAGTGCTATAAATTTAGATTCTTCCGAATTCTGACTTTAAAGGTTACTTACAAATGCTATTTCAATATACATCTTAGTAAAACTAAAATAGACAAAACAAGTAGGCTCAGGGAAATGGGGTGGTATGTTTTAAATAATTACTGTTGTACAATAAGAGCGGTTTCACAGGAGGCCTCTATTAGATGAAAGCAAACACTGTCACCATGTGTAGTGCAACCAATCTGAATCTATTGTTGTTTGTAAAATCATATTATTTCTCCTTATACTTCTCATAAAGGCCAAAGAGTAGCTTCGTGAACCGTGTGAAAGAGCTCTAATTGTATACCTACCACATTATTGTAGTATGATATTATTATCAGATGGCTCAGGAAATGGTATAATTAGGATTTAGGATGGTCTAAAAAAATATATTTTTATTAAAAAAAAGTTCTGCTCTCACCTTTCTTTATAGTATAAAAGTAAATTTAAATTTAAAAATTAAAAATTTTTTTTTTTTTACCGATACCTATACCAATCCAATATTATATACATTTTTATTTTTGATATTTAATAAATTATTATAACTTGTTTGGCTTTTTAAACCGGGAATAGACTGCTTTAAGGCCTAGTTTTGTCGCATTTAGGAGTTTGTTTTACTCTTTCTAGACAGTTTTCCTGCTTAGAGAGGGTGTCCAATGTAACGGAGTGTCAAATATGTGATAATGAGTGCTTACGCAATACCACTTCACCTCTTCGGCCACTCGCCCTCTTTACATAAGAACATAAATGGCTTAAAATCAATTTTTTTAATATTTTAATATTTTTTTTTTGTATTTTAGAAATTACTTTTAAATATTGGTAAAATATATTTTCTATGTTATTTTTTTTTATCAGCCCACTGTAAATGTATTTTTTTTTTTGATACTTCAAAAACATTTTATCTTATGTTATTTTACAATAACATACAATTGTCACTAGTAACTTTCACAGATTTTAGTTTTATCTAAAAGTGAATAAGTTGAGTATAAAACTAAGATGATTTAAATTTTTGCTGTATAATCTGTAATTTAATTAATTGAAATACTAAAAATATTTAAAGTTCCTTAAATTAAAATAGAGGGGTTTCAGTTGCTTAATAACAAACTATTTAGTTATTTTACTTATTCAGTTATCCTTTTCATTATTATAATTGTATAAATAACATCCTTAGTATTACTATGTTAAACATTCCCCTCTACTCTTGTCAAAAATATTTTATTGACAATTTTAATTATTTTAATATTCTATTAAATAAGTTGTAAAACATGTCCGGGTACAGATTTGATTCCTAGTATTTTCTTGCTAAAGAGCCTCACATCTGCGTATTATTGCTCAATAACTGATAACCATTCATTATAATTTTAACTGTATCCTGAAATGCATGATTCAACAATGGTTTTCAAAGCGGTTGTAGATATTTCAATACTTACTTTGTGTATCGATAAAAAGTACATTTTATGTTTTAGTATTATGTTATTGTAAAAATCATTAAAAGAGTTAACGTTTTCACAAAGCAATAATTTTTAATTAACTAAAAATAATTTTAAAATTGTGCCTTAATAGTATCTTGTAATCTTGTGAAGAATTCAAATGTTTTTATAAAACATCAATCGGATGATTTTAAAGAATGTACTGATCAAAGTAGAAACATATTTTTTGTACAAAAATAGAGCCTGTATATGTTATAGAAGTTGAAAAAAATTAATATAATCTTTAAATATCAAAATAGATCCCTCATTTTTGTGTTAATTATGTAATCATGCTTACAAATTTTAGCTTAATGCTTAAATTTAGAGAAAAATTGCCTATACAATGCGCCTTAATACGTGTTATTGTAGAGGCCTCTAAAATGTAATTAAGAGATCTTAAACTCTCCGCTAACTATCTATTTCTGGTGGTATTTTACTAACTATTGGATAAGTAGTATTATTTCTCCACTTCTTCAAAGGAGTGATTTTAATGATGTTTCAAATTTCAGCCCAATCTTGCTTATGTTTAGTGGATTAGTACTTACATTAGTTCAAAATCCCAAATCTTTATTATGTTATAAAATATCACCTATTTATTGTTAATTTAATATCACCACCATGTGATTTTTGGAGATTTTTTGAAGGCTTTTGATAAAATTGGCCAAGATACAAACTATCTTGTATTGGTACATACATTATCAGACGACTGATCCTATTTTCTCCTTGATATTCCTGTTATTAGTTATTACAGGTCTTACCCAGCTTGTTAAGTATTAACAATTTAACTCATGTTCTTTTAATGTTTTATCCAGTATCCCCCAAGCTATCCTATCTTGCTCCTCTGTCTATCTTCATAAATGATACAGAGTATAACAAATTCCTTTTTTCTCCAATTAATTTTAAGATTACTTAACTTTAAATGTAATTATGATCTTTTCTCGTTCTAATTCATCAATTTGTATTAACTATAACACATTAGTGATGTTTAGACAATATTAATAAAAGCTGTCGAAGTTAAAGATTTAATAATTATTTAAGATTCTAATATATTTTAATTTGGACATACTATAGGTATAAAACAAATTGTTTGAAATTCTAGGTTCTGAAATTAGAAACTGTAAGAAACTTAAATATCCAAATTCTTAAAGTGGTATTGGTTTTACTGTTTATATAACTATATATATAATACTACCTGCTGTATTTCATATTTTATCTTTAATATACAGCGCGTGTTACAAATTTTAATTTGCACTTAAATGAGATGTTGCACAATGTTCAATATTATCCACTATCTTTTTTCTTTTTATCTTTTACACATTTTAAAAATGAAACATTTTTAAAATTTTTTTTAATACAATGTAATATATTATTATGTAAAACTATCTTTTTATAAATTATTTTGTTTTATTACATTCATTTTGAAATATTTTATATGGAATTTTTTAGGTATATTACTTTATTTTATTTCACATAACATATATTTTAGGTATATGTATATACATTTACAAATATCAATAAAATCATTGTAAAAAAATAATGTGCTTATAATTGTATTTTTAGTTTTAGGGTTGATTGCCTGTCTAAAATATTTCGTTGCCGTTGTTCCTATCCATACATCGTACCTAGTTTACAATATAATGAACATATTTTATAGATGGCAGTACCTATTTCAAGTATTGATAATATTATTTTCAAAAACCTGTTAACGATTCATTCACTTACAGATTTTCCCTAAAAATTAGTTTGAATTTATAGGTTTGAATAGTATAATTTTTAGACCTTTAGTCCTAAAATTTCGCTTGAAAAACAAGAATAAATAAAAAGTTTCCACCCTTCTAAGGGAAAGGTCTTATAATATTATTTTGGTTTGTCAACATTTATCGTTAATACATTATCTAAAGAATATCCCATATAAATTTGGAACTAATTTTACTATTTTTTAAAAATTAAATAATCAGGTAATTAGGAAATAAAGTAAAAATGTATACATAAAAAAAAAAAAAAAATACGTTTATAACACTTAGTAGACAGCAATTTATTTAATAGCTATTGGATGCCATAGTATTTTTTTCTAACAAAATAAAATTATTTACCTTATAAATATGTTGCATATCTGCTTCAATGGGCACTGAAGAGGTAATAGGTAATATTTCGTATGATCTTTAAAAATATTTGGTGTACCATAAGATACTACCTAAAAACTCTACCAATCGTTTGTTTTAGGATTTATACGTAATGCATAGTGGCGTGGTTTGCTGTGTACAGCTGTATACATAGTTTTTTTTTAATTCCTGTAGGTAGTATTATTTAAAGAGGTAAATTTTCCTCGCAAAAATTTAGTATTGTATTCAAAATCTACAGTAAAAATGTATCACTTACAGTATTACTACATTTTTGTTTTTTGTGTTTTCTTTTTAAGTAAAATCATTGTGGTAATAAATGCAGCTTATAGTGAAGATGATAAGGTACCTAGATGTTTAGTATTATTCGTAGAGTGCATTCCATATTTGGGATAGTAGATATCATATATAGGATTCGTATACCTACCTAAAATAAAAACATAATATTTATAAAAGGGGTACACTGTTTATAATGATCAAAATAGCATACCTAATAGAACAATAGTAAATGAAAAATTAGAATATTCAGACAAAGATAACATTTTATTTATATTTATAGTTAGCATTTAATATATAATAAAAAATATTGTCTCGTTAAGTTGAAAGGTCTTTGATGTTTAATAGAATAACAAAAACTCATCCTCGGTAAAATGTGAACAAAGGCTCTTTTTGGGTAATAATTAATATCCCAATTAAGTATATTTTAAAACACAATTTACTTATTTTTACTTGAGTTAAAGTAGATTGTTAACTAGAAACATTTTAGTAGATAAACAATATTATGTAAGTTGCTTGCTTATGCAGGAAATCATTTTTGAACAAATCTGACATCGCCGCGCCGTTGCAGTATTGTTGTGTGCCGCCAATTGGTGATGAATTTTTAAAAAATTGATTTAACAAAACCTAACCTAACCCGGGAGTAACACATTACATTGTGTACATATTAAAGATTATTTAAATTCTCACAATTTAGACACACTAATATGTTAGTTTTAAAGTGTAAACGGGCGTTTCAAGAACACAGGGTTCAGGTACATTACAGTATCGGTCAGTTTAATAATGTTATTAATTATTATACTGATCTATTAAAAGAAGTGACCGTCTCATGATAGCAACATTGGGCTTTCAAGATCTAAGCTGTGTGTATGATGATGATTATACTTATTTTACATTATAATTATATCGATAACATCTAAGCTTCGATCGGTGGGAATAACGGACGTAAAAGCGTAAAAAAAAAAATAATTGTATCGATGACGTAAGTAGTACACATGTGTCAATGCCTATATTTTTTAAAAATCGATTAATAAATAACAATAGGTACCTACCTAAGGCATTTACGTAATAGCCTTCTCGTACACAGTACATACATTTAAAAAAAACCAAAGGTATAATATTTTATTGTTAAATGAGCTAGAGAAGATGTCAATATAGTTTATTAAATATATAGAATATGGAACAATTTAGTATAGTATTATATATAATATATAATATATACATGGGTCAAAACACCAAATACGAACGAACTTTTAAGCTCCCCCCCCCCCGAATTTTTTTAAAACTTCCCTGCTCGGCTCTTACAATAAAAATAATGTCTTTAAATTAAATTTCTCCAAAAATGATCTTTCATTTTGCCAATATTTGTGAATTTTTCTAATAATTTTTTGAGAAAGCTGAGAAAATGTTATAAACAATTGTCAGCTGGGTTCTCCATAAAAACGCGTAGAAAACAATAAAGTGTTGAAAATTCTTAAAAAAAAGATGAAAATTATCTGATATTTACACATAATTATTTAATTTATCGAAAATATGAGAAAAACTAAAAAAAAAAAAGTAAAGATTAATAGCATCATCAACACAAACCCCGAGTTTCTTTGGTTTAGTATATACAGGGTGACCACGAAAACACTTTACATTTTCAAAAAGGCAAAATAATATTAATTATTCAAAAAATTTTTTTTAACTTATGTAACATGTTTGTGGGTGTGTGCCATTTATTTTATGGCAATTTTCGAGGAAAAAAAATGATTTAACTTGATATTATGTAATATTATGTTTGTGGGTGTAAGCCACGAGTGTACGCCATTTGAACACAAACCCCGTAATTTGGATGATTTGAAAGCGGCAATTCGTACAGAGGTGGCACAAATCACGAGGGAGACACTAGAACGAGTGTGGAAGAACTTCCTCGAAAGAGTTGAAAATTGCCTTATGGAAGACGGACATTACCTTCCTGACCTAATTTTTGCTACTTGAAGTAAACGGCTTACACCCACAAACATAATATTAAGTAAAATACATTTTTTTCTTCAAAAATTGCCGTAAAATAAATGGCATACAACAAAAAACATGTTACATAAGTTAAAAAAAATTTTTTTTAAATAATTAATGTAATTTTCTCTTTTTGAAAATGTAAAGTGTTTTCGTGGTCACCCTGTACAGCTAAAATTAGAAAAAAATTCTAACAACATTCCTATAAACCTTCTCTTTAGGCTGTTTTATGAGGCAAATATTTTTTTAAATATTTTTCTTAAAATTGATTGATTCATTTTTTTAATAAAACGGATATTTTGAAAGGTATTTTTTAAAAATTTGGAAAAATTCATACTTTTAGCCGTAAGCTTTGTACACATAAGTGAGTGTTTAATTTGTAGGTGTACTATCTGGCTACTTAGGCAAGGAATGACCCATAATATAATATATTATAATAATACTTAAAAACACAGTATAGTAATTGATAGTAAATACTAAATATGGGTTTACCGTTAGACCGTAATCGATAGCAGAGTAAAGCGTTCTGTGTTGTGCGGCGAGTGTTGCATTGTTTTTTTCGCTAATTTGTATTACTTCAAAATTAATTTACAATGTCTTACATGGTTGACCATATTCATAGCCAAAGTAAAAAATTGTAAACAACGTATGTCGTGTAAAGTAAAATACATTGGAATATTCATACCTAATTACTTTGTTTCAGAATGATATTAAAATCTTCGTCGACTTACTGGACGACATACCCACATGGGATCAAGCGCAAACAGAATTTGATCAAAACGAACTCGACCAAATCGAGGGGATCATAATCAACGGTGTACAAAATCCAGGAGACGTCGAGTTAAACAACAAGTATGAAAGGACATTTACAGCGTTGAAATGCACTTACGGTTATGCGGTGCAAAACATGTTATTAAATTTGAAACGGTTGTCTATGTACGATAAATCAATGCAGTCACAATCAAATCAAAAAGCACAAAGCAGTGAAGTTCATGTAGTTAATCAAAGCGGTAGCGATAAGAAGGTTGAACCGTCAAAAAAAAAAAAAGTTAGGTTCAACGACGAGGTCAAATTGTTAGCTATAGACAAAGAGAACACTTTACAGATATCGGAGATAATTAAGAAAAAATCGGTAGACCTGAGGAACGATATGGGGTTCAGGGCACAAAACGCAAACAACATCGTGCAAAACCAACTTCTTGGCCAGGAGTATGTAATAGATTTGTCGAAAAATAAACGGTACAGGAGTCCGAATCTGCCACTGAGCAACTACCATATGTATGTTGAGGACTACATGATGGTGGTGAATCGCATGCTGTCGGTTTTACATATGGCCAAACGCGTTGCTGCCAATTGGCTGTGGAACGTTTCCATTGTGTTGAGCGCTATCAACTGGTTCCAATTGAAATTTGAAACTTTATGGATCCGCGACGATATCCAAACTGCGATTGATGACTTTGTGACTCAGTGCACTGCGAAAAAGTACTTGGAACGTGCTCCACCGACCAAAGTACATGGTTTTGAAAACGATTTAAAAAGCATGCTTGAAAGTTTAAATCGGTCGGCCGTGCTGTTGGAGTACTTGAGACTGGCTGAGATTACTCCGGATCCCGATTGGACCAGATTGTTCAAATACCAAGAGAAATTGGTTGTATACGGTTGTATTTGGAATAGAATACCGTTAGACGTTAATACTATGCCGTGGTTGCAAAAGAATCTCATTGATTGGCAAAAAGTCGAGAGGGCTTTGAGCGACGCCCACAAACAAGTGCAAGACACATGGTTAAACGATCCGTTTTTAATAAAGAAATACATTTCAATGACAAAAGACGTGGTTTTCATTAATATGCTCTACCACCTGTTCATCCATTTTATCACCTACTTAGAGATCCGTCCGTGGACGATATGGGCCAAAATTCTTAGACTGGTTACGCTTTCTTTGACAAAACCAACCGACGATACATTGGACTGGTTCATGAAATGTCCTACACTCGCGTTTAAGACTTTTTTTGAAATCGCCGGCTTAAATGAAGATTCGTTTTACTCGGAAGTACTTGAATATATGAACGATGCTAAGCTTAAAGACCACGCCAAATTTCAAATTATCACTACAAAAGTCGCGCTCGAATTGGAAAAATATTTAAGAAGCTTTGGAGTGTTCCACAAATTTATCTACATAGGTGTGTCCAAGACCGTGGTTAAAAATATTCCATATGCGGATAGTACCGAGTGTCGCTATTTCTTTAATCAAGTACTTGAAACATTTGTTTATATTAATCCTTCAAACTTGAATATTGTTAATTGGTTTTTAATGAGCGAAAACGAAGTATGGTTGTTGGATTCATAGGCAATCATAACATAATAGTAACAATAGTAACATACGTAAATTCAATATTTTTTGTTTTATTATTATTTCATTGGAATTTTACAAACGACAATTTTGATATTGGATATCTCTTTTGAAGTTGGAAATTGTTTAGTCAAATTTGCTTGACTGATTTTAGTAAACAAAAACTGCGTATATTATACAAAATAAATCATTAAATCAAAGTTGTTTTTCAAAAAGTATTATTGTATTTTTTTTAAAACTTATCACAATATTAAGTTACCTATTATTAAATCTTAAGAACATAATGTCCAGTTTCAAAGAAAAAGTAACAGTTAAACAAATTAACATATCCTATAATTTATGAAATGATATGTATCAAGATAATAATAAATAATAATTATACACTATGCAATAAAAAAAAGAAAATTGTTACTTGTATTATATATATAATTTATGTAATATATAATATTCCCATAATATATTTGCTAAACATTTTAATTAAAATCATTTTTGAAACAAAACCAAGTTTTTTACTAATAACATTTTAAGTCATTTAAAGCTATAATAGCTATATATAATAAAAACTACCAGTTAACTCTGAAACTCTATCGTATTATTAAAAAATATAAAAATATATTCACTTAAATTAAATTTTTACTAAAAAAATATTACTTTAAGTATAGAAAAGTATTAATTTGAAATAACAAAATACAATAAGTTGTTACAATACAGGCAACTGTCGATTAACAAGTATAATAAAAATGTAAAAAAAAGAACAATTTTTTTCCAGGTCCAAAAAAAAATTATTCCTATTCATGTTTAAAAAAATACTGTAATTCGATCCAAACCTAGTGTCTTAAAAAATAAACAAATTCTACGAACGCGTTTCTTTAACAACAGTAATAATATGTGCCAGCTTTATAGGTTATTGATGTAGGTATGTACTTATCGGTTTTGTTATTTATACAACAAAATATATCTACTTCAGTAAACATATGTATTGAAATTTTGTTTTACTTTTATGCTTAATAGAATATTATACGCGTATGCCTAAAACGTTTCAATTATCCACCGTGGTAAATAAATTGAATACTGTCGTTTGTCAAATATGAGACTTGGTCATTATTTACGTATTTTTTTAAATTACATTTCAATAGTACCGAGAAATATTAATAGGAAAAAACAATTTTAAAAAATAACACCAAGTCGAGAATTTGATATCTACTTCAAAACTACTGACGCGATTTACGTACATTGTATTTAGTAGATAATTTTTGAAATCATAGGCAAGTGTAAACTGAGGACATTTTTTTTTTAAAAACAGTATAAAATGTTGAACCAAACCGCGAATTGAATAATCCGTTCGTCGAAGATGATCTACACACTACGCCTATAACCGTGATATCTATGTTATACATTTTCGCGCCTCATAAACGGTCGTACAGACGTCATAACAGAGTCGTTCGGCTTCATGTCCCTAGACGCTATATTGTCTCGAATGCACACTTGTTCATTATACCTCAAAGTTTTAACCTTAATTTCTTTTCATTTATTTTTTATTATTAGTGCAAGAAAGTAGAAACTTACATAAACGCACTTACCTAACGTGACAAATTTGTATGTATTTCTTAAACTATTATTAATTTGTTAAATAGACAAAAAAAAAAACGCGTTGTAAACGTTATTGTTATGTGTTATAAGCGTAAGAAACATTTAGTTGTTATTATTTTTTTTCGTTAATATTTTTCTCCATCGTTGAGTAGGATTTATTCAATCGTACAGTAGTTTCTTCGCATAATGCCAAAAAGGAAATCAAATTTTAGTAGTTCATCCGAATGATGGTAGGTGGAAACATTTAGCTAGAAATCCTGCTCCCATCTCGGGGGATCATAAAGAAAACTCCCCGATAAATTATCAAGTGTCTGTCACATTTTTTGAGTTCTATTCGGATTTGAAATAAGTGGAAGAAGGGTTTTTATTGCATACAAGTAAAAATTAGTCTTAACAAATTTTGCCACCCCCGAACCATGATTTCCTTTGAAAATTTTAATATTAATACATTATAATTGAAAAACAAACATAATTCTATTGTGAAACCGGGCAATACAGTTAGTTTTTTTATGAGTAAATGTCATTGTGGTGGTAAAAAATGCTTTCGTTATAGCACAATTGTGAGACTGGCTAGTTCAATTTAAATTCTGTAAAAATATAATAATTTGTTTGGCTTGTTTACTGGATTATGTTGGAAACAGATTTTCATTTAAAAATGCAATTTTTGTAATAAAATAAATTAAATTTGAACGTGTTTCAATTTTAAAACGAAATATTTTTACAAAAAATGAATAATCCGTTTCCAACATTAACTAGTACTAGTCAAGTAGCCAAAGAACTTGTATACCTTTACAGAATTTAAATCCGACAATCCTCAATAGTCAAATGATTTCTGACTTTTTGGTCTAAAACGTCAAAAAAGACTGCTTTCGTTCTCCTTGCCAAAAGTTAAAATAATGTATTTGTTTAATGTTAATATTTAACTATTTGTATGGGTTATTAGGTGATCTACTCTGAATAAATAATACAAATTATGATCACGGTTGTTTTATGTTTTTGTTAGCTCTTAAATATATTTGGGCAGTAGGACTTTCGAAGTTAATTTAAAAGAGTAAAAAGTATCATTGTAAAACTAATACCTATTTATTTTTTTAGCTTTTTGATCTAGAGATCCAAAATTCAAAACGTTGCTTCCTTTTTAAGAAAGTAAACAATTTAATTGGTATACTTGAAACATCCGTGTTATGGTTTATAAATCTATTATTTTCTATCTAACTGTATAAACTTTTCCTTCGAATTACTTTTTACATGTAAAAAGTAATAAACATCAATATGAATCATTATAATAAAAATATTCAATGTCTATGTAGATTGAAATGGAAAAAACGAATATTTATATCTTATTTCCGAAATTTACAAATAAATAAGGGAAATAAAGAAACATGAATATCTCTTTCGAGGAAAAGCGTTTATAATGCTTTCTGGTTTAGTATTATAATGAGCCGTATTTAAAATAACGAAAAATTGTTTAGAGCGTTTTCGTCATTTTTAAAGAGAATGAGTCAACTTTTTAAACTTTTGACCTTATAAAGTGCCTTATGAACTATATCTTTTGTCAGATCAATACAATATCAGCACCTCAGTGAAAACATCAACATTTTTTAAAGGAAAAATGGCAAGTGTTTTATACACTAAATATATAGCTTAAATCTAAAGGTGAACTAAACACAAGTACCTAGTGTACTTTGAAAGTGTATGGATTTAAAAAAAATAACATGTGTCTGCTGTTAAATCCCGTCAAGTTCAAATACTCCTTCTCTTATACATATTCCTACTAATATTTAGTTGTATTTCTTAGTTTATTACAACAGTTTATACGTAGCTTTTGCACAACTGTGTACATAGTTTGTGGAGGCCTTTAGAAAAAAAAAAACTAATAATTACACTTTAAAATATTTTTTGTGGATATGCTGAATAGCACCTAGTCTAAACGGAAAAATAATGAGAGGCTTACAATATTTTTACGTATTTATTTGTTTTGTTTCCCTTCTGAGTGGATGGTTAAATTCAATAAATGCTACTTATAGCGAAGATGATAAGGTACAAATCCTCTATTATTTTTAGTTTATAGAGTAAAACATATTTCTAGTTGCGACTTTTGAGTTAAAAAAAAAAAATTCCGCTACGTAGGTATAGTATGTATTTTGGCGTAGATAATAATTTTTCAATTAGGGATATTCAAAAAATCCTCCAATGAAGTTTTCTTACGACTCGTAGGAAATTTGCCGATACCTCTTTTATTTACAAACTTATTAATGACTTTATGTCCTTCACTCCTTAAACTTATTCCACTTTCAACTTATTCGTATTTGTTTGCTCTATTATAAAAATTAAATTTAACCGGAACGTTACGGTTCCCTGGACATTTTGTTTTATGAATCTCGGGAGTGGGTAAGGTTATAAGAATCATTATCAAAAATAGAACAATTTGGCATTCTACTCGTGTGTGAACCTACCTTATACCTTTTGACCCTGATAAAATAGTTTCTAAAATATTTTTATTGAAAAAATGTTTTTGCAAATTGCAATATTGTATTGGTTTCATTTAAAATTCCTACAGTTTTGAAAAAGTTATATGCAATGATTTGGCAATGGTTTGTTGTTATCGCTTAAAGTAAATACATTCGGTTATATATTTGCTGTTGAGTGTTTTCCTTTTATTTATTTGTGCCAGCACTTGTTACTACTATGCGTACTATGTTTTGTGTAAAATGACTAAAATTGATTATAGATAACTTTTAAAATTGTTTCTGCAGCATATAACATTTTTAAATTACTAATAAATACTGAATGCTAACTAATTAAACTTTTATTATAAAAGTGAACTAATTAAAATTTTTATAGCGGTTCAACTTGTTTAAAAAAAAAAAACGTTTCTAATTTTATTTCAGAAAGATATCCAAGTCTTCGTTGGTTTATTGAATGTTATTCGTACATGGGAATTAGATAAAATTCAATTCACTCAAAATGAACTAGAACAGATCAAGTCCATTATTATTGACGGTATACAAAATCCAGAAGATGTTGAGCAGCTGAATACAAAATTCGAAAGGAAAATGACATCGCTAAAATGCACTTACGGTTATGCCGTGCAAAACATCTTGTTGAATTTAAAGTCATTATTGATTTACGAGGAATCAACGGACGACAGTTATAGCTCAGCAAGCGTTGAAATAAAAAAAAGACCGATAAAAAAAAGACCGATAGAAAAAAAAGTTAAATTTAGCGAAGAAGTCAAATTAATAGTCATAGACAAAAATGACGAAGTTCCCATTTCGGAGATAATTAAGAAAAATCCGGTAGACTTAAGAAACGAGAGTGGTTATACAACACAAGTGGTTAACGATATCATAGACTACATACCTCTTGACCAGCAATATCTAATAGATCTGCAGACAATTAAGCTTTCCAGTTACATCCAAAACTTCGTGTATGCCTACAAAAAGTGTGTGAATAGAATGTTGTCTGTTGTGTTTATGGCCAAACGCGTCGCTGCCAACTGGCTATGGAACGTTTCGATAATGTTGAGTGATGTTGGCAACTGTCAAATACGATTGAAAAACCTTTGTAATCACAGTGAAATTAACTCTACAGTCAACAATTTCGTGGCCCAGTGCACTGATAACAATTATTTAAGTCGAACTAAATCCAACAAAAATATAGTATATGGTCTCGGAAAAAACATGAATAAAATTGTTAATAGTTTGAAAGTGTCCTTTAAGCTGATGGAGATTTTCGGACTCGTGACTGGTTCGACTGAAGATTTAGTCCCGCTGTTCAAATATGAAAGGGGAGTACGTGTATACGACTTCTTTTGGGATAGAAGGCAGTTCGATGGTTATTTTTTTCAATATTCTCCTCAATTAAATAGCATCGACTGGTACGAAATCGAAAAAGCGTTGAACAAAGTACACACAAATGTACAAAACGTATGGATTTCAGATCCGTTTGCGATTGTCAATTACTATTTGGTGGCTAAGGACGTCGTTTCCATTACTTTGCTCTATCATGTTTTAAAACATTTTATGGTATACATAGTGTTAAGGTGGCAGGATAGGGAAACAAATGAAAACATAACAGCAGATTGGTTTATGAATACCCCTATACAAGTATTGAAGGATTTCTTGAACGTCCTCGACTTGAACGACGATACGTTTTACGCGGAAGTGATCCATCACTTGACATTGGCTAATAGTATGGATCAGCCTACATTTCAGATATTCACCAAAACGATCTCGTTCAAACTTGAACAACTACTAAAACGCTTCGGAGTATTTGACAAACGCATCTATATAAACATGTCTGATCAACTTAGCACAAATATTGATAACACTACACTCTGCGAATGTAACGACTCGTTAAGGATCTTTTATAATACGTTTATTAAGTTTAGTTATGATAGTTCTTTTAACTTAAATATCATTAAGTTTTTGCACAACAGCGAAAAAGAAACTTGGATGTTTGACTTATAGATATTCGACCAGTACACAGTAATATAAATATTTGTTTGACTTTTTCCGAATTATACCAAATGAAAAAAATAATTACACTGAATTCAAGTCTTAACGTGACAATCTTATGTTTATCTATTTTTACTATACATACAAATACACGTACATATTTCTACTATACATACAAATTTGATACATGCTTAAAAATACATCCATTTTTAACAAAAAGCCACTATTATTAATTTGATGATAACCATCAAATGTATATACTGTTGATTATGATTATTAATTTAATCAGCATCAAAAAATGTTACCTAAAATTGTACTTGTACACATTATATGTTCTCAACCGTCAGTTGAAACACATGTGCTTACGCTGGTTATATTTTTTACTTAAATTAAATTGCGATTGTTGATAAGTATTATAACTTCATAGAAATAACATGCTTAAGAAAGTTCATTTAAAAAAAGCAAGTTTTGAGATAATCGGAATGACGTGGGTTAGTAGCACAGGAATCCTATAGGATAGTTTACGACTGCTAATTATTTTAGAGGGGTTGAACACCACCAAAATCTTCAAAATTCTTGAAAAATACTATACTTACCACAAAACTTTCTTAACAAAAGTTGTTCTCAAATAAGTATACATAAATCTGCTTCCTATACATTTGTATGTAAGTGCAAAGGTTTGGTCAAAAAAGCAGCTCGAAGTTGACTATTTTTGAAAATTGTATAACCTTTACGCTGTATGTTCACATTTCAGTGGGAAAACGTACATCTAGACTCATTTAATGACCTAGTAGTAATGTGGTAAATGTATAATGTTTTTTTTTACACTAAATATATATATATCAACATTAAAAAAAAACTACCCAGTATGACATGGACGCGATGTGCTTCTGAAACGTTCCTGTGGCGGAAACAAATATTGAAACCATATTGATAGCTTATACAACACTAGAAACAAATTAGATAATTAAATATTTTTTAAATAATATTTAACTCAAAGGAGTCAAGCAGGTTTATGTCATACTTAAATTGATATATTTTTAGCTTTACATATTTTTAATATACTATAGTATATTAATGTTATAATAAAGCTTAAGTTATAAATGTAAACAATATATTATAAATAATTGTTCTTCGATCTTGACGCAATTAAAATGGACTTATGGTTTTTGGCTAATCATTTTTTTATGCTTTTTGACTAAGTATAGAATCTGTATAACCTATAGTTTTAAATAAGTTATTGTTTCCATTTTCTTCAAAACGTAACTAAAATATGTATAAAACATACATAAACTATTAAAAACTTTTCGTTGTAAACAATCCTCATTGCAAATAACAACATGGATATAGTGTAAAATTCTATTAATTTTTTTTTATTACTTCCATAATATATGTTTTATTTTAAATACTGATTATTTACACTAATTACAAATTACACAACATATAACAATATGTATTATGCACAACATGTAAGTGTCATCGACGAATCATCTACCTAACTTAACCGGGTTCTCTACTAAACAATCAAGATCACGGTAAATCCCAAAACCGCTGAAACAGCGTTTTACGAGTACAGTTTATCTGAAAATATTAAAAATTAACTCAAAAGTTTTGATACAGAATACTGTTCGACGTTAAACTAATTATTTAACAATACAATTTGCATCAATCTGTTAAATGTTATTCTATAGCAATAAAATGTTACTTTATATTTATCCTAACGTATATTATAAACCATTACATAATTAATATTGATACACATTGATAAACTGTAAAATTGATAGTCATTAATATAAATGTTCTATTGTGTTATAGTTTCTTGGAAACAGTTATTAATGCTACGTTTGATCGGTCCGAAATATGAAATAAAAATTATTACTGTAACGAAAATCGAGGTTTATCATAACGCATATATTATAGACTTGGGTTTCCTGATAAAACCTACCGTTAGTACCATTTCCTACGCAGCAATTACATCATATTTTAACACTAGTTAAAATATAAAAAAAATATCACGAAAAATACACATTTTAAAACGCTACAAATATTTCAATAGTAATTATGAATGCGTGTATTTTCTAATAATCATAGGTGCTCAATATTTTCCGCCAAACATCAACAAAACATTTGTACTTATCATTCGCTATGTAAGATAAATATAGAGATGATTGCATTATTAATATCAAACAATGGCTCGTTGGCATTTCTGCTGCGAGGTGTATTTTATTTATTTACTTTGTTACGTAACCAACCCGTTGATTCACTCCACACGCTATTGCTGTCCGGTCCATATTATAACTGATTATAATACGTATTATGATGTTACTACCGAGTTTAGTCGACCGACGACGTGACGTGTGGTGGTCTACTATAGTACAGCTATTGCTGGCCGGGCAATGCTGCGCGTTTTCAAATATGTTGAGCTGTGTTTATACTACGCTTTGATACTCGTAAGTGGAGAATACATACATTTCGATTCAATCGATTTTAATTCATTTTTTTTGTAAATATTGTTTTTCAATATATTTTTTCTACAGGCGTTATGCGTGTCACGGTCGAGTGGCGACTTTGGATTGTCCGCCAAGCCGTCCAACATCTTGGTTTTTCTGCCCACCGAATCCAAAAGCCATTTCAACGGTTTCAAGCCGCTGCTCCAAACGCTTGTCAGTAGAGGTCACAATTTGACTTTGGTATCGCCGTTGCCACTGGACAAAGCCGAATATCCGTATCGTCATGTCCAGGTGGAAGAGCATGTGTACGGAAAAGATTCGAAACCCATTGCAGGTATGATTAATCGTTAATGTTTTAGTTAATTAATCGTTTTAAACTTGTTCACGCACTAAATTTTTGTGTTAAGGGTAATTAGCTTAAAATGAAATTTGTGTTAAGGGAGAACGGCAAAGGGTATTTCCTTAACGGACAAATAAAACATCCTAGAAATTGACTTGTTGATGTTATGTGCTAAACAAAAACATAACGATACATAACGCACTGTAAAAGATCTCTAAATTGTTTTCTTCTGCCCTGAATTTGCATGTTGTTAAAAATAGTTATTTATTTTTTAATCAAATTTAATTTATTAGATATAAACTAATGGTTACCCAAGTCCTTACTTACACTAAAAACAATAAATGGATTTTAAAATAATGTTTTTATTCAAATTTAACAAATATTTCATTAAAGAAACTAGTTATTAGATAGATGTAGGTAGGCAATGATATCTTAAATATTTGTCTTCTTAACATGTTCATATAATAAAATTAAATATCGCAGAAAAAACGTCACCACCATCTTCGCCTATTTCTTTCAAAGTTTACGAACAAATGTCATAAGTAGTCCCTGCATCAAATAAGTTTCCTGTGCTTTCTGAAGAAGGCATAGAGCAAGACATAGTTATGTTCAATACTGTATTGGAAGATAATACCAAACAAACAATAAAATCAAAACGTCCACCGGCATGTTTATAAATAATGTTACACGTTTATTCAATATTGACTATTGTAGGACGACTTGGCCTCAATTGGACTGAGTAAATGTTCCTTTAAATCTCACATGGTTATTGGGGAGAAAAGTTGAAAGGTCATAATAGTCTTAAAATATTTTGTTCCTTAATTTTTTTTAGGGAACAGAAATATAATTTTTATACATATTTTATTTGTGTAAAACTCCTAAACCTCTATGAGTTAAGGCGTCCTCTTCCACTTTCGAGATATTTTTTGCAACTATCAGATAGTAACCTGGAGATTTTTAATATGTTATCGTTATTATGTGTACTTGTAAAAATTGAAAAACCATGAAAGTACAACAGCTATTTATAACAGTATTCCATAGTGTCAAGAGTATTTTCATACAAACATCTTTTATTCTCATTAACCACTTACCACGCTATGTTAAATGTGGAGCTAACCATTCGTCGAAAATTACTAGGTTCACTAGCTAAATGTTTCCTCTAAAAAACAAAGATCATATTGCAAACTACAAAGGAAACAAAATATATTTAAAAAACGTACCTAAAAGTAGATCCGATTTCAACAAGGAACATAATTGAAGAAATAATGACCTTGCTATTCAAATCCCATAGAATACCACGTTTCTTATTCCGTATCATAGCACCGTCCATACTTATCAGTTGTAGGCAATATCAATATACGTTTTAGTACTCGTCAAGCAACGTCTCTTCCAATCGCTGATCCCCTCCCCAAGTTTCTAGACGAAATCAAAGCAATTTACAACATTGGTTTATCTCCTAATAGCCAAATAAAATAATACCACTGATTATAGTATACACTATGATATATACTCAATCAATAATTCATACATCAATTTTCGTTTATTTTTTATTTATATATCATATATTAGGGTGGTCACAAAAATGGGTATTTGATAGTTTTGCTCTTAACTCCCCTTAATTTTTCTTTATAGTATTACGTAAGAAAAAAAATGTTTTAAATATTTTTGGCCTATTCTAGACCAATTATTTACTATTTGAATTATAAAAAAAAATATTTTCAGAAGGCTGATCAAAAAAACTAACCTAGTAAATATACTTCTCCAAAATTCAAAAGTTATCTCTAAAAAAGGTAAAAAATATATTAAAATATTAAATAATTAGCGCTCACGTCACTTGTTGGATACTCCGTCACTTCGGGCACCTTCCCTAAGCAGGAAACTGTCTAGACAGAGTAAGAATTAAAGCAGTCTATTCCACTCTATGAAAACCAAATAAGCTATAATATGTTTATATATTTATTGTAAAATATTGGCTTGGGATAAGACAAAAATATATATTTTAAAATGTTTAAACTTATTTTTCTACTATAAAGAACAATATTAAGGGGAGTAAGAGCAAAACTTAAAAAACATGTTTAGACCACATTAATATACTCATATATTATTATGTGAAGAAACGTCAAACGACTGTTTACAATGTTTATAAAATATAAAGTAATTAACTAATTGTCTCATCATTAATATAAAATTGAAATTAGCTAAATAATTCTTTAAACGATGATTTTGTTGATGTATAATGTTTAGTAAATAGAATTTCATTAAATTAAATTAAAAGGTCTCATTTATAGTATTATTTTTGTGAAAGGTTTTTTTATAGATGATAATAGTTGATAAATATCAAATTATCTATTACAACGAAATGAGTAATTCACTTGGACCAAAGTATATAAACTGTTTTAACTGTAATGTCGTATGGCAATAATTTATTTTTTTAGTGGATCAAAGTAAATTACATAACATATTGGTTTTGATCATTTGTGTATCAGACTAGATATCGTGTTATGTTTCGGAAAATATATTTATTTTTATGTTAATGATACAAATTATGTAAAATAATATCATTTACCTTCTTATTAGTAGCCTTGATTATATTTTATAAGTTATAACATGAGTATAGACGTCAGGTTAGGTAATGTGCTCCAACGACATATACTGTGCACAACATAGTGTACTTAGTTCCAATGAGGAATCCATTTAATGTAGCTTTCGAGGCATAAATCCTTAGTGCTAAGTGCAAAGCAAAAGTTTTTGGAACAATAGCTAACACCATTTTCATTCACCTACATTCCATTTGTAATTAGAAATGCTTTATTTAAATACATAACCATATTTTAAATAGTCATTGTGGCTTTGTATCGAAATGTATATGTTTTTGCAGACGGTAACATGTTGGAAGTTGCAAAAATAATCAACTACATACCAGCGGCCGTACAAATATGTTGGTTCGGCCCGTATATTAGCGAACTAACGTTGAACAAGTCTTCAGTTAAAGATTTTATCACCAACGACCGATCCTCATTCGATTTAGTCATATTTGAAAACTTTTTCCACGAATCCTTCGTCTCGATTGGTCATAAGTACAACGCTCCGGTGGTCCAATTGCTTCCATTTTCTACAAACGCCAGAGTGTCTCAATGGCATAGCAATCCTTTACATCCGGCGTACATTACTGACGTGACTAGTTTTTTTGGATCTAACATGACGTTTATCCAAAGGACGACCAACACACTTTCGGTTCTGGCATATACAACGGTCAACAGGGTTATTTACTTATACAAGCAAAATGCCGTGATGAACAAGTACTTTATATACCCAGGACACGAGAACCGACCAGACCTAGCCACTATGCTTCAAAACATCTCATTGACCCTCATAAACAGCCATCCGATCATAGGTTCACCTGTACCATTGGTGCCTAGCTATATAAACGTGGCTGGCATGCATTGCAAACCTGCAAAGGAACTGCCACAAGTAATTAAGTATTTTATACGCTATATTATTTGAAAAAATAAATCTAAATGATGGTTTTATATTGTTCGGTTCGTCTGTCTAAACAGGACTTGAAAAAGATACTAGACACATCTGAACGGGGCGTGGTGTACTTCAGTTTGGGCTCCATTGTGCAGTCATCGAAGATGCCCAAAGAGACGGTTTCGATGTTGCTTTCGGAACTGTCGAAAATCGAACAAACCGTGTTGTGGAAATGGGAAGCCGACGACTTGCCTCAGTTACCCAAAAATGTCATCATTCGCAAATGGTTTCCTCAGAACGATATACTAGGTTTGTTAAATATGTGCAACAGTAAATACTGGCGGTTACAATTTTGATATATTTAGTCTTTCATAGGTCACCCAAACTGCCGGTTGTTTATAACGCACGGGGGAGTGCACAGCACTATTGAGTCAATTTACCACGGTGTCCCTATGTTAGCTATCCCCGTGTTCGGTGACCAAATTGGAAATTCGCTGCGAGCTCAATACAGAGGAATCGCCATACAGGTACCATTCTTCGAACTGACCGACCAGGCTATCGGTAGTGCCTTGCACAGACTGCTGAACGATCCTAGGTGAGTGCCGACAACTTTTATTTAAATAATACTTGAACCGGTAGCGTATGAACTGACGGATTCGTGGCCCCGATGGTTATTGTTTACAGGTTTGCGGAAAACGCCAAAAGGGTGTCAGCCATATTCAGGGACCAGCCATTGACTCCTTTGGAGACTGCTATCTATTGGATTGAGTACGTGATCAGGCACAAAGGAGCAGCACATCTCAAGACGGCAGCTAACGAGCTTAATTGGTTTCAGTTTTTATTACTAGACGTTGTATTATTCGTTTTGTCCGTTGTCGTGTTAACCGTGTACACGACCAAAAAGATATTGGTTTTAACGTTCGGCCTGTGTTGTAAACGAAAAGCGTCGATTGAAAAAAAGAATCAATAAGACTTTGTTGAGAGACCATCAAATATATAGTACATTTTTCGTTGTTGAGTATTTTACATATTTTTATACACGCCGTTTATATAGATATTCAATATGTATGTATATTTTTTACAATAAAAGTGTTCTTCGTTATTGAAAATTCAAACGAACAATATAATATGTATGAACACAAATCGATTTGCATTTATATAGAATAATATTTATTTTCCGGCTTTAGAATAAAGTTGACGCAAAATCATTATTGTTTTATTATTATTTTGACAAAATGTTAGCTTTGTATAAATAATGATTAAATTATAATATATTTTGTTTTATTTTAATCAGCTGTACCTATTCACTTTTGGACTTGAACCAGAATAAGTAAATTGAAACGTTCGCACTGATATTTATAAAAGCTATTTTCATCAGTACTAATTTCACCACACATTCAATCTGTATCATTACACAATAACGATAACACTCCAACAAAACAATTATAAAAAGTGACCTTTGGTCATTTATAATTGCAATTGTTTTTTTAGAATCGATGATTCCATTTAAATTTTAAAGTAAAAAAAATGTGTTTCTATACATTACAAGTTATTAAAGTATGGTTTTACACTAAACGTTAATAATATACATAAATTAAAAAAATTACAAATAATATATAAAATAATTAAGCAAAAAGCGGTCTGTCATAATTTAGGATTGCTGTAGACACAGATTAATGATATGAATATTACTGGCCCAGAAAAAATTATTTGCTACCCCCGAAATTTAAAAAAATCTCAGCTTTGTAGAAAATCTTTAAGTGGTTCCTATAAAGCCATATTTTCTCCATTTGAAATACATAAAAAATATATTTTTTATTAAATCGTCACAACTTCAAAACAGAACTAATTAAAAAAATTGAGAAAAGACTTCAAATGTATATAAATATTTTAAAGGTACACAAATGTCAGCTTTCAGAAACTTTTTTTAATTAAAAAAATATTTATAACTTTTGAAGTTATAACGATTATAAATGAAAAATGTGTTTTTTATTTGTTAATCAAACAATCTACAAGATCCACTTACGAGTTATTCTAAAAGACTGAAGTTTTAAACATTTCTTCTATTTGGCAAATAACAATGAGTCAGTGGCTAGCAAAATATTTTTTTTTGTGTCTGTCTAATCAATAAATTATTATTATGTTATGTTCTATCCTAACATTTTACAAACCATGAAATATGATTTTGATAATAAGCAAACAAAAAATCTGAGCATTTAATACAATAATTTGTTTACAACCTTTTTGACGTAATCAAATTGCATACGTATAATTGTCTCGAATTTTATCTCTCAAAACAATCACAATAATATTATGACCATACACTTATTACTCCGGAGTGGGAATTGCGATAATATATTATATAACACTACATAATTACCAGTTATCGGCTATAGACGAGTTTGTTGCAAGCAGCGCGTTTGGTATACAAAACCGGTCTTGCGGCATGCACCGTGCACGTTGAAGACAATATCGATCAGTCAGTAATCAGTGAGTAGTAGACTAGCCAAACGACTACACGTCAGTGTGTTACATTATGCATTATTGTCAGTGAATTAAACATGAATGCATTAGCTTTTCATTTGATTGTAAGCCATCAATTTATTTTTTTTGGTGACATTTTATATGTATGTTGTCGTTATTATTAAAAAAATAATAATTAATTGTTCCTTACACAGGCCGCGTGGCTGGCCTTTGCCTGGCACGGGACGCCGGAAGTGCGAGCGTCCAACATTTTGGCGTTTTTGCCGACCGAAACCCACAGTCATTTCAACGGTTTCAAACCGTTGCTCAGGGAGTTGGTGAAAAGGGGCCACAACCTAACGCTAGTTTCGCCGTTTTCACTGGGCAATGACTTGTTGTATACGCACATCGAGGTGGAAAAACATTATCTCGAAAAAAGTATGTAGTATCTACCTGTCTATCTTATTTAGGTAAAATGTATTAATAATCAAATACAAAAACAAAATAATACTAGTACTAAAATATAATACTCTGTCGTATAAAAATTTTAACTGACCGTTTTCGGTTCACTTCTAAATAGATCATCCACTGGGGCAACTATAAGCGATCATTGTTGGATATAGTCCTTAATCTCTATGGTTCTATGTTATATAGCCACTAGTGCAACTTTAATCATAATTAGATATAGTCTCTAATATTTACCAACAATCGTATTAGGAGATAATAATTATCGTTCTAGTGTGGGTTAGTCCACTGGCTGCAATATAGTCTCGAAGGGTTAAGAGATACTGACCATAGACATTTGGTCTTGTCCTACGTCATCGACATTTGACGCAATTGTTTTACTGTATGTGTTTTAATGGCGTACCTATATTAGACAGTATATAAATATAATACATACACGAATTTAATATTATATTTAATTTTTAAAAAATAACAACAAAAACATTTTATGTAACAAAATACATTTTTCAGTTTATACCAATAAACTCTTATTTTATACAATTTCATGTGGTCTAGGATATAAGTAGGAACAAATTGTTTGCCAATTATCTAGTTTATGTACATAAATATTTACAAATGTAGCCTATACTTATTTTGTTCTTACTATTACCTAGTGTAAAGTTCAATATTTTAAATGACATTCTTGTAATGTGTTAGGTAAACGTTATATTTTGGAATACAATTATAAAAATGGTTTTCTGAGTGGTGATTTAATTTGGTATTATAAAATACTGATTATTTTATTGTTGTTTAACAAATATGTATAATAATATCAGATAAAAACTATATGTAAATTCCGAATACATTCGGTAATGTTAAAACAGTATTTATCACATAGTCTATATACCTAATATATGTTTGTATAATATTATATAGTTTTAAATAACCAATGCAAAGATGAAAACTTTTTACCAAATTGTAATATTAACTTCCAAGCAGTCGCGTCTTAAAAAGTTGTGTTGGTGGTCGCACCGCGATGTTGACACCGTCATTTAATTTCTGTATACAAAAAGTACCAAAAGTCGCAGTAATTAGAATGTGGCTATTCTAATTACTCCGAAATCATCTACCTATTTTATTTAGTCACTCTCTCGACTGTGAATCCTTTTGGCCTTGTTGTTTATTAGGAAATGGGATTAGAATCTGTATAGTTTGTATTTTAGACTATAGTGACCGCGTGTAATTGTTCGTAATATTTTATTCAACAATAATTTTTGTTTAGAAATAAACCACATGGACAGGTCAAGATTACTTAACAAGCTTCCGGTGGTCGTTTACGTGCTGTGGTTAGGCCCAAAGATAACCAAAATAGCATTGGATAGAAACGCGGTAAAGAACTTCATTCGGAACGATGGATCGTCTTTCGATTTGGTGTTGTTCGAGAATTTTTTTACCGAAAGCTGCGTCACGATTGGCCACAAGTATGGAGCTCCGGTCGTCCAACTGTTGCCGTTCAACACCAATCCTAGAGTTTCCCAATGGCACGGCAATCCCTACAATCCCGCTTACATACCCGAGTTCACCAGCAACTTTCCTACCGGCATGTCTTTCGTCCAGAGGCTGGGCAACACCGCATTAGCTTTCTTCAGCACTTGTATGTACCGACTGGTGAGCATACCACAACATCGGGCCATAATGGACTCGTATTTTGACTATCCAGGACACGAAGGCCGACCCGATCTGACTGACATGCTTCGCAATGTATCCTTGACCGTGTACATGAGTAATCCGGTACTTGGTACAGTGTCGCCGACGGTTCCCAATTTCATTCCAATGGCGGGCACGCACACCACCCCGGCCAAACAATTGCCACAAGTAAGCTGTTGTTTTATTTACTTAAGGTTTGAAACGTGTGTACTGTGTACATTCAGGTACTTGGTTGCTTGGCTATGCTGATGTCTCGCGTGACATTTCATTTTGTTTGTTCGCTTTTCATTGAGTCAGGCCATCTCATACGTTGTCTTCCTACTGGTTTCTCACCAATTGGCGTTTATACTGAAACGACAGCCGATAGATTTAAATTAGTAGATCTTAACACAGTGGATGGCTAGGTTTTATCTATACTTAATAAGTCTCGCTTAAAACATCACAATGTTTCTTTTTTACCCATCACTAAAAATTGTTTTTTATAGTTAAAAAAATAAATTTATCAAAATTTGGGGTCATTATGTAGAGTTGAACAGATCTAAATGGAGAAAGGATGTCCAAAGAAGCAATAAAAATTTGAAAATGCCATCAAATTTGAAGATTCTTGGAAAATTAGCAACTGATTTATGCCAAACCATAGAAGTAGCCATTGTCGAAATAAATGAACATTTCAATCACAGTAAAAATAGAGTAATAGTTAAACAATGCTAAAACAAAAAACCCAACTTTTAAAGAAAGCCACATAATATGTTACATCATTTTACATGGTAGAACACGTACAAAACCCTTCTGGTCGAGATATCACGGTTATTTCAAGGACACGGCACGCATAAATAACGTTAGGAAATGGTGACGGCGACTATCACTTCGAATATGGATTTTTTATAATATTAACATTTGTCATGTTGTAACTTTAATAAACAAGCACCGTATACTTCATAAAGGATCGCAAGAAATAGGGACTGCTATCTTATAAGGCATAACAATTTTTGTTTTTTTTTAAATTTTTTTGTTATCTGTAGGTACTGAAACTTTACTTTAGAGTTTAGTGTTTATGAGACACTTTGATAAGTGCCACGTTAATTAATTTATTTGACAAACACGCGAGGCTCTCATTTCTTTTTGTTTTCAAAATATAATGTTATCTAAAAAATATGTACTAATTGTTTCTAATCTATACCGTAGGATTTAAAGGAAATCGTGGATGGTGCTAAGAATGGCGTAGTATTTTTCAGTATGGGATCCGTTATTCAAGCATCGAAAATGCCAAACGAAACGGTGTCGCTGCTGTTGTCCGAGTTGGGTAAAATCAAGCAAACGGTGTTGTGGAAATGGGAAGACGACAGCATACCTGACTTGCCTAAAAACGTAATCGTTCGTAAATGGTTTCCTCAAAACGATGTACTCGGTAAGAGCATAGACAGCATTAAAACTAAACCTGTACATATAGGTATCCAGTTTTCCACACATCTAATAATTCCACTTCCATTTAATTATTAATATAATATAGATTTAAAACTCTATGCCGAAAGCAGTCATATATTTTATATTATACAGTATACTCAAATGCCTTATAATATTGTATATGTTTTTATTCGTCTACTAGTTAATTTTGTGATTATAGCTGTCGTTTCAACAGAGGAATAATTAATGTTATGGTGTTCGGTTTTGGTGCTCAATGGACAATAATTTGTTTTATTTGCCATTAGGCTTGTTTTATAATATTAACTGTAATTTCTGGTCTGTGGCAGGTCATCCAAATTGCCGGCTGTTTATTACACATGGCGGCATACACAGCATGATCGAAACTATTTATCACGGAGTGCCCGTACTCTGTTTATCGGTGTTTGGCGACCAGGCTCAAAATTGCATTCAAGCCAAGTCTAAAGGCTTTGCCGAGTACATACCATTTTTCGAACTCACCAGCAAAGCGTTTGGCGACAATCTCCGGTCACTTCTCGATGATTCACGGTAAAACGCGTTACATTCCATAAAAAAATATGACTTTTTTAAAAAAAGTTAAATTATTTAAAACTTGAATCATCGACTAAGACATACATTAGATTAGAAAAATAGCTCAATCTTGGCCAGACATGTACCTGCATGATGTTGTACAGTTGGTAGTTTAAACTTTAATGCTGATATTTGATTAATCGATTTATCGTATAAGTGTATGATCAGATGATAATCCCGTTTCAGTGATATTTTTAAATCGAATTCGCTGTAAGTTATTTTGTATGTATAGAGTCTAGATATGTTTTACAGTTGACGATTATATTATTATGTTATTATATGGTTGATAAAATATGTTTGTTGAACATACATAATTTATGCAACTTTTTGCGTGTATTTAAGGTACAAAGTAAACGCTCAAAAATCGTCTGCCATACTTAAGGACAACCCAATATCGCTTATGGATAATGTTGTTTTTTGGATTGAGTACGTGATCCGACACAAGGGTGCCCACCATCTCAAAACGGCAGCCAACGATATTTACTGGTTTCAGTTTTTACTTTTGGACGTAGTAGCGTTTGTTTCGCTATTAAGTACAGTGTTTGTATACATAAGTTTCAAGTGTTTCAGATGTACGTTTAGGAAATGTTTGAAAAGAAAAAATAATAAAATCTCGAGCGAAAAGAAAGTGCAATAAATAATTATGTGTTTTAAACTGTAGGTATACATGTTGAGAGTTAAAACTATAACTTTTATTCGAGTCTCGATAGCTCAAAAAACGACGTCATAGTTGAGTTAAGTTAATTTCTTTGTTTTATTCTATTTCAGATATTATTATACTAATTGTTGTTTTGAATGTTATATGGTTGTTTGGTGCAATGTGCAATTATTGTATGATATTTTTCTTAATTTATTTTAAATTATGCTGTTTTCTAAAACTGAACTCCAAACATTTATGAAAGAAAGTTATACTTAATTGATATGTTATAAATAATTATGTGAATAAATTGTATACATAATAATTGTAGTAATATTTTTTTAAATTTAATATCATAGAGTAAGTAAATAGTATAGAGTCAATGTGAACGTAATTGCAACTAAGTGAGACAAGTGCAGCCGAAGAATTCCACAATGTTCAATTTAAATTAATTATTTGAAACTATGTGATGATGCCTACATAGTTAAATACAAAAATAAATTATTACTCTGAACAATTTTGCAGTTGTATTTGCTTAATTTGATTTCAGTTATCTCGCTTTATCTTAGCAAAAAAATAGCTACATCTTATGCGTGCTTGTATAGCAAATTAAATCACCTAAAAAAGGCAGCATTGATCCTGGCCAGTCGAACTAAAATAAAAATTGGTTTGTGAATTTGGTTAGTAAACCTTTAAAATGTTATGCAATTCAATTTAATTATTAACGTATATAGCTATTATTGGTTATAAAAATCAGTATTTTATCAGTGATTACATTGAATAACATTTCCAATATCATGCCTAATATTACCTTAATTTCCTCAAAATTGCGTACTCTAAGGACTTAGCGCTGTGAATAGTTCCAATTCTAGAAAGTATGATGTGATGGTATTTGACGTGTACCTAATATTAAGAATATTGAAGTTTTTGAGTGAGCAGCTACAACCACGGTGTACTACGTTGTATACTTTATTTGTTTGTTATAATTTCATGATGATGTTATTAAATCGACCGTCTTCTTGCTTTAATGCGGCTCATATACACACTTTGATTTGTGTTTCGTCGTGTTGATATATCTTACTAATTTGACGTTCAGTCTTCTGGGAATGAACCCTAAACTCGGCAAACCGACAAACAAAACATGCCTAGTTAGTAAAACAAACGAGTATGATATTATTACTACAACTCAAAGCACTATTTCAACGTAGTATTTCTGAAGAAACTTGATTAAGACGACTGGGGCGGTTTGTGGGAGTGTACAGTTAATAGTATAGCAACAGCAAACACAGTTGAACAAAGTTCTGGGGTCGCTGGTAACAACTCATTGTATAACCGAAATCTTAAAAGGCTGTTGCAGTTGAAGTAAAATTGTTTAAAAACATCTCTAGACATTGGACGGTGGACCCCAATAGTTTAGACTTTAGAGCATATATTATAATTGTATCTACATATTGTTAAATTTAAATGGCATCTAAAGGGCATAAAAAAAGATAATACACCGCAGTACACGCATAGTTAAAAGAAATATCTTATGCGTTTAAATAGAGATCATTATTGGGGAAAAATGAAATTGGAAATTTATTTTTACTTTCTAGTTTCTCCCCTAAGTCCTAACATTATCTAACTATTTTACTTGCGGGGGGTATTGCCATGTAAAACCGAGTCCATTTCTAAGATTTTAAATACATTTCTGTTGTTGTTATGCTTAATTTCTCATACAGTTCTTGTGCACTATTACAATGATATCTTTCTATGGCTTTCGATTCCATATCATTGTATTCTCTTTTTTGTGGCTTCACATATCTTCAGAGCCGGATCTCTGGGGGGGGGGGGGGTAGATTCAACCCCAGTCGTAAAATTATCTTAATTATCAAGGGCGTAAAACTTTATCGATGAAGTTTTACGCCCAACTCCAAATATATGGCTACTAAAAATTGAATTCTTTTTTTTCAATGGTAAATTCGGATTCTTGTTTTGACTATTTTAGCGGGTTTTAATTATATTATCTTTCCGGAAAAATAGATAGATGACGCCTATAATAATTGGTTTACGAAACGTTGTGGTAAAAAAATAGCCATAAAACCAATAATGATTTTGTTGAAAAGAAATATTATTTCTCGTGTAACCGTTCGAGGAGCAAGAGAGGAGTTATTGTACGAATAAAACATAGGCAACTAACAAGTAAATTATTTGTTTTTTATTATAGCTTTTATAATAATACCTATACCTACCTACTATCCAGAGCCAGCGAGGGGAGCAGGTAGGGTTCGTGTCCAGGGTAAAAGTTAGAAAGAATGTCAATTAGGAAGCAAATAACTGGAAAAACAGTATAGCAATGTAACTATTTTTTCCCAAAAGAGACAAAAACGAATAAAGTAATTGAACTTTGGCGAATCTTCAGATGGCTGGAATGCAACCACGAAAAAAAATGTGTTGTTGATTTAGGAAACGTTTGTGATGTTTTAGCCACGAATTAGTTAGAGATTTGAAGCCTATACATCAGGTATATTTTGATATGAATTTTTTAATTGGATCTGAGCTATTTAAAAAATATATGGGTGTGGGGTTGGGGGCATATGTTTTGTGTTCACGACATTCAAACTAACTAGAACTGAAAAAAAAATTCAATAATTTATTATTGATGAAAAATGCTATTTTTTATTATATCTAAGATATTATTATTATGATTATCATCATCATAATTTGCTTATGTTAAAATCGGAAAAATATTTCAACTGTAGTCGTGTAATAATTTATAGCAGGTTGTGCAATAACAAAACAAACAAACAAGGTAATTTATACCATAATTCTGGTGTAATTGGCTTTGCATAAGTTTGTCTCGACCAAGCACGAATATGGGTGGTAAATAACTTTCAAAAGCAAATCCACGGTAAGTTACCAAGATCTCGGGGCGTAATTACATGCGGATCAGCACAATTGCAACGCTCAAAGAGAATAACCATTATGTAATGTATGTTTTACAGAGTTCAAAAGGCAAATACACACGACACAATTTAAGTAATCGACTCGGTTTAGGCTAAAACACATTTCCACGAAACTCGGGTTTGTGACGCTAGTATTGATTTAACGATAATTAGTTGCCAGGTATTAAAACAAATCGAAATGAATTTCCAGTTAAACTAACTTTCACAAAGGCCGTTCGCAGGCTGCGTTTTCACTGCTACGACGCGGTTTTGTTCTGTTACAATAATATTTGGTTATCACGCACGCCTCTGTGAATAAACATCTCGTTAAAACAGTGTTCATCATCGTCTGGTACACAAAAGCGCGTTCAAATAAATACCGTTTGTTATGATTGTACGGCCAAGCGTACCTGCCTACCTACCGTGTGTAATGCCGAAGCCAAACTTGTTCGTTTAATATGTGCGCCTTGTTGTCTCTCAGATTACGGTAACGACTGGGATTTAAACAGCCGCACCGAACACATGTACGGCATTAGCTGCTGCTACACACCACACACACTGAAAAATGGCGATAAGTGTGAACAATGCTCGTATGTTATCAGGCATTGACGTTTTGCATGGGAAATGTTTACCTTGCTCGCAGCTCTATGCGGCGGGTTAACCTCGGCGAGTTAACCATGACCGTATAATATAATATATATTAGTTTATATAAAGTTAGTAAAATTACTGTAGAACGTCGGTGTACAGGTCTTTTTAATTAAATTTACAAATGCACGGTTCATACAGTATACCAGAGTCAGGTCAGAGTCAGGTAAAGTTCTTCTGTGTGTACTATGAAATTGTTGTAGTTCTACTAAGAGTATTATCCAAAAAACCTTGTCCCCCGCACGACAAGTTTTGCGGCCAAAATACGGGTAGTGCCATGTATTTTAATTAAAAAAGTTCCTACATTTATTTTTAAATTGCCTATTGTACAAAATTCATTATTAAATAAAATAGTCGTTTACATAAAAAAAAAAAAAACAGTATATTTTTAGGAGTTACATATATGCAATAACGAAAAACTATAGTTAACATTTTCTACAATTGCTATTTCATTAAAAAATATAACATATTTAGTAGATGCAATATGACAGGACACCAAATATCCGATTAATTATTTAAAACTATCATAATAGTAAAATATCTTTAATACGAAATTGCAATATCGGACAAATAATTTGTTTTTACATTTTGTTGATTTACACTAACACTGTTGTTGTTGCACTTTATATTGTAAAGTGTTTCGTAAATTGTTTAGTCTTGGTCTCCCAGCTCGAAAACGACACAAAATAGCGTAACGAAAATAGCGCGGCTACTTTAAAAGAGTCGTCGTCGTCATGCAAACGTTTTAGCCAAAACACATATTTAAGACTACACTATCGTCATAAATCGCAAGGAGATTATAGAACAGAAATAATCACTTTTCAGGAGAGAGCAGACTAAAGCATGTTCCGTGTGTTGTAATTTTAGCCATTAGTTTAAGTAGACTGTAACTTTTTTTTTTATTATTCTTATCATTAATTATAAGTATTCGAGTAAAAACGAACAAAACGATTATGGTAAGGACTATGGTAAGTTTTACCATGGTAAATAAATAATACTTTATTTGATTTGGACGGTCATCAAACATATTAAATGGACGTTTGTATATTATTGTATTCCTGTGAGAATAGAACTGATGTAAATATTTAGATTAACGTACCTCGGCAGTCCTAAAATTCAACTGAGTAGGTACATAAGCGTCCCCAGGAGATATTTAGATGCAATTGCGGTTATCGTGGACATCGTGGGATTATTTAGATGAACATCATTTGTGATAACCGTATTAATAACAACCGTTATTGTATATTTGATAGATATTATCCTAAGATATACATACAATATTATATATACTTGATGATAATATTTAACGCTTAAGTGTCCCGAACAGTTTTTTTCAAATCATTTGCATTCGGTGTCTTCGTACGACATTGGTCTGTTGTATACCAAAGAAAAGCGAAAAGTGATCTTCTTATTTAGAGTCCACTACAATTTAATTATTCATTGAAGACAATGAAGTGGTAGATTTCGGAACAGCCATTTTATATTAATTGGTAGTGATCGTTTAAAAGTTTTGTGTACGGTCATAAACAATTCATTCTAGCAGATTGGTTATTAAAACTTTGTCTGTGCCATTAATACCATCAACTACATCTTAGGTCTGCTCTTAATATTATAATATACTACCTATAACGTTCAAGTGTTGACAAGCTAACCGACTACTTGAAAGATAATAATTATTATTACAAAATTTAATTGCTTTCGTTTGCAACTGGCACACAACACTCGAAAAATAATGATCATTGTGTCTTTAATAATAACTATGATAATATTAAAAGCATAATAAGTGGCCTATATCGAGGCGCATTATTTCAATTATCAAAATACCGTCGCGCCGGGAATAAAAAGTATATTAATATTCTGGATAATTCATATGATGCTAATTTTAGATTAAGGGGTTTGCATGCGGTTGT